CTTTTATATTTTTTGCTTGCCGGCCAATTAGCGTTGGGATCGGGGCGTTGGGAGGGTTGGGGGTAAGAGGGCGGTTGAGACGGCGGGGGGGGGGGGAGGGATGTAGGTAGGGTAGTGGTTGGGGGATTGCTTGTACAAGATAGTGTGCTACTTGTTTGACTGTGGTTTGAGGACGGGCAGTGGGTTGGCTGGTGTGGAGGGTGATGCAGTACTTGTAGTCTGTACCTAGTGCACCGTGCCTACATGGTACACAACTCCATGAGGATGAGGTGCTCGGTACGGGTACCTAGGCCTTGTCCTACCGACTCGGAAGAGAGAGGACTTGGCAGTCTTGGCTAGCGCTTCTTTCTTCTTGCTGCGAACATTAATCGCCTTAGCCCCCCTCCCTCCCATTCCTCCCCCTCTGTGCGCCTTTGTTTGCAAACGTTGGGCTCGGCGCAGAGAGCGTTCTTGTTTTCCTTTTATCATCTTCGGCTCGCTCGAGTCTTTTTTTTTGGTTTTTCCGCACAAGGCATCCCTTGTCTGCAACCAAGCGCGGTTTCTTTCTTAAGAACAAACTTTCCTCGTGCTCGGGCGCTCGTGTTGGATTTGGCCAGCGGGCTGTGCAGAATCGGGACTCGTGAGTAGGGTGGCACAAGCATAGTGTGGTATGGTAACACTCGTGCGATCGCCGACAGGGATTGGAATTCTTGCAGTTTGTGGGCCGAGTGCGTGCATGTGGATGTGGATGTCTATGTCTATGTGGATGTTCGTTGGTGGGCAGGTGGTGGTACGGTACCTAGCCACCACTGTACCACCTCCACCAAGCTTCTTCCAACCAACACCCCCAAACACCCCGGAACCAGCCTACAAGACGTGCAACGTTCCTGTTCGGCGTGAACCCTCGCTTCTCACACGATTGCGTCCAGCCAGCTGGGCGGTTTGGATGCAAAGGGCCTCCCCTCCTCGGCTGTGTTGCGCTATTGGAGGAATCCCACCATCCTGCGCAGCTGCACCCTACGACACGCGCATGCACGCTAACACGAGGGGGGTCTAGAATGCCAGCCCTGTCCGGACCTAGAACGGCCAATTCACTCAAAAAGAGGGACGTTGCGGCCCTTGTTGCCCATCATCGTGGGATTTCCTGTCCCCCTCTTCCCCCTCTCTTTGCATCATTCTTCTCCTTGTGTGTTGCCATTTGCACCTTTTGTATTCAGCCAGCCGTCCATTCATCCATTCATCCATCCATCCATCCATCCATCCGTTCAAACATTCCCTCACCAGACACACACAACAAACACACATACATACACTGCCGTCATGTTCTCCTCCAACAGATTACTTCTCTCGCTACTACTCACCTTGACATCAACAACAACCGTCCTCGCCGCACCCACCAGGGACACCAGGGAACCCAGACTCGAAGACGTCCAATGCCGCTGCCTATCCTTTTCCACAACCGCAAAACCCACGCCTTGCACGTACCTAGAGTCCCGCACCCTCGACTGGCACTCCGCATACGCATTCGCCTCGGACAACGACATGAGCATCCACTTTGCCAGCAAAGCCACCATCACAAAGGTCCTCTCCATCCCAAAGCCGCTGCCCAGTACTGTCCTCTTGAGCATCCAGGGCACCGAGGCCCACCACTCACATGCTCGGATCCAACCACACGCCGCCCAGCACCACCACCAGGCAGCAGAACCCCAGGATCCAACCGCAAACATGAATAAAATCCTCTGCGGCCTCGGCAACGAAATTCACAATCTCGGCGCCGACATGGAGCTCTCGGAACCAGAGTTGCATTATGCCGGCGTGGTTGTGGCATCTTTTATGCTGTTCCTCATTCTCTCCGTCGCAGCAGAGTACCTGTGGTCCACGTACGTTGCTTTCCCCCCTCTCCTTTTCTTTCTATAGATCTCCGCAAAACACACCCCTCCTTCATACATGTACACACAACCAAAACTGACCCCAAAACCCCAGCCACTTCAGTCGTGGCGGCGCCATCAAGCTCGAGGGCGATGAGAAGAATCTCTCAGCCATGAACGAGCACGTGACACCGCACCAGTCTTGGATTTCTCCTGAACAAGAGACATCTTGAAGACTGTTTTTTCTGGCACACACAGTACTAGTCTGTAATTGCCATTTTTACGAAACCGTCTCGCGCGCGTGCGTCTGGGGGTATTCGATGCGGCGTCTGTGCGGTTTGGGCGGATGATTGTTTTATTGGGGTTGGGAATCGAGTATGCTCACTGGAGTAACTGCATCACATCATCCAGCACCCAGTTATGCAAACTACCGATTCCTTCCCACTGCACGACAACGCCAACGCCAGACCCCCGACAGAAACACCCTGGATCCAATAAATCCCGCGCGGGATCAACTCTGACGGGATACCATTCTTCCACATGCTCATTCACCACGAGGAATCCTCCTCCCCAGACCTGGACACGCGTGCAGCATGCAGTTCGTTACTGGTACGGATTCTGTACAAGGGGGAAGAGGTCTGGTGTCTCGTCTGTCTGTCATGTTTGATAGCAAGTTTGATACATGACAATCCCCGATACACATGCACGATCCACGATGCACGCGTCTTTTGGTTGTCTGGTGTCTTGTATACTTTGACTCCAATCCCATCCCGTCAAGCACCCCTTCCCCCCCAAAAAATCCACAAAACAAATCAAAATCAAGACGCGACCAAAATGCCAGCAAGGAAGAATTCGGGAGGGAGAGTTGGCGGGGATTTTGTCTGGTTTGTGGGATTTTGAGGGGGGGGTTGACGGGAGAGGGAGTGGGAAAGTGAGGGACAAGGGGATTGTGATTGTAATGATGAGTAGAATTATGAATGCAGAGTAGCATCACCATCACCATGATATCATACCCAGTCAAGTCAAGTCAAGTGTTCATCTTCATCTTCATCTTCATCTTCATCTTTAATCCATTGATTACTCACTCATTCTCGTCTGCTTTCCCACCCACCTTATCCCACCTCCTTCCATCCTTTTCCATCCTGCCCTCCACTCTCACCCCACATGTAGCTTCGACAGTACCTCCAGCCCCAGTTTGAAATCACATTGACGAGGCTGGAGGTGATGCCCTCTTTTCCTCTCTCCCACTCGCCCACTCTCCCATTTACACTGCACACCTGCTCACTTTCCCGTGTCCCTTGTCCCGTGTCCCGTGTCCCGCGTCCCTTGTCCCGTGTCCCGCGTCCGCCTGTCCGCCCATGTACATGAATAAACGACGTCCGACATGACATACGACATGACATGACCCACAACACTAAACGAAAACAGAGTGAGAGTGCTCAATTAACTAAAAACAGCCCCCATCTCAAATCGCCCTCCATGTCCGTGGCCCGACGACAAAGTAGGACAACCATCACCAGCAACCAACCACAACAACATCAGCACCAGCAAATAAACACCACCATCCCACATTACCCCCATCAGGCTCAGACGTATATGTGCAAGTATATGTGTATATGTATCCATGTACATGTGTGTGCATGTGTGTATATGTGTGCGAGATGAAAGACGCCCTTCATTTCATTCCACACAACAGACCAAGAATTTCGCACAGAAGAGAAAAAAAACAGTTAAAAAGGCGCCAGGATTATATGCAAAAGAGAAACAGCCGGGAAAAGGCCAGGCTACGTATGAGCTCTAGCAACCCAAGAAAAGACAAGACGCTAAATGGGGGGTATAAACGCTTTCAACATGCGCCACGTGTGTTCGTTTCCGCTTCATCTTCTCCAGGTGGGGACTGTACAAGGTATGGCGTTTGCCCAACGTCCACGGTTTGGTTGGGGCGCTGGATGGCTGGAGAATCAAGTGGATCTTAGGGATCGGGTGGGGGGATTATATTAGAGAGGTTCGTGGTGAGGCACGTCTTCCTCCTGTGGCGGAGGGACGGCCAGTCATGAAGCACTTTTCGGCCATTCCAGTTGTGTTTTGGGTTCGTATAACCTGTCGTCTGTCAGCCTCATGCTGTCCTATCAATCAACACCCATCAAACTTACATAAACGTCTCATACCGCACCCCCCGCTTTTGCGTCCGCTTGACACGGTCGCCCACCTCGACACCACTGTACAGCACGGGTTCCCATGCCATGACTTCTTTCCACCGCTTAATCAAGTGCCTCCAATAGCACGTTTCCGCGGCTTGTGTCAAGTATCGCTCACGAAACACCTGTACGCTGTTGTCCGCGATGCGCTTCGCTTTTTCGGGGTGGTCCAGGAGATCTTCCATGGCCGAGGAGAGGTCGGAAAAGTCACGCTCGACTTCGACAAAATTTTGGTTGCTGCCGTTGGAGCGAAAGAGGTAGTGGTAGTGTTGTATCCACTGAAGCTTATGGGAGACGATGACGGAGCGGCAGAGTTGGCGGTACTTGAGGGAGCCCGAGTAGGAGCGTCCTAGCAGATCGTTAGCATCCTGTACCATTGGATTGCCCGAGGTTGTCAGCCCGATCGTACGAGGATGCAACCAACCTTCGGCATGTGCAATAAACATGTAGTTGCACTGGTCCACTGGGCCCAAAAACTGCTCCTTGAAATTTGGGTCTGTCCATTTGAGCTGGCCCACGTCGCTCCACGGCTTGCCCTTGGCTGCGTCTAGCAGGGCCCTCCGCAGCTTGGGCGCAAATGTGATCTTGCCCCGCCACACGAGCTTCTCCATTTTCTGGTCCCAAGGCTCTACGGCCTCGCGCTCGACCGCCTCGTTGGCAACCTCGTCTAGCGTGCCCAAAGCAGGCATATCCCAGCTCCAGAAACCAAAGTCGGGAATCAGCCAAAGATTATGGTCCTGCACACGGCGGGCCAGCGACCACATGGGCTTGTTGGGTTGAGCAGGGAGGTCTTCGACGGAGAAGACGAATTCAATGTTTGGTATGTCGGTCGAGGGGGGGGCCGAGAGAACGGAGCGATAGAGGGCACTGAGGGTGGCAAGAGCCTTTTGTCGATTGACATTGTCGACTAGATAGGTCTCGATGATGTAGAGCTGTCACAGTCCTGTTAGCACAAGTACACGCCACATGTTCGCCATGCTCGCCCTGTCGCAACGCACCTCTCTCTCAAAGAGCAAGCCTCGGACCATGCCTTTGCTCAGGTCGAAGCTGGACAGGTCGGCCTCGGTCACCTTGCCCCATCGCTTGCGCACCTTTACGGCACGCTCAATGTCCTCGTACTGTCCCGGAAAGGCACTCATTCATTACTTGAGCTTCGCTCAAGCCATAATTTGTTCTTGTCGCGTGCATAGTTGAAGGTCCACAGATCCTCCTCTTCCTTGGTGGTTTGGTGGCGGCCAGAATGGCCTGGTTGGAAGCGCAGTCCAGACAGGTGTCGCACGAGAAGGTGGTGCTGAACTCGCAGAGACATCGGCCCGCGGGCATGTACTCCTTGACCAAGGGCGGCAATGTGGGGTTCTCGGTGCGGGTGCCATAGAGGATGGAGCAGATGAGCAGGAAGAGCAGGGCGCAGGTGGAGACGAAGAAGAAGGACAGCACCTCGGAACCACTAGGACAGCGACGGCGGTAGACGGTCTTGTCCTTGCGCTCCTCTACTATCCACATCTTCTTCATCAACATTGGGGGTTACGTCGGATCCAGACGGCCAAGACCAGGGCGGGTTGCGGCGAAGCAGCGTCGACACGCGCTGCAGGAGGGTTGCGCGTGTGTCTACAATACTGAGGGTGATGCAGGCGACCACGGCGGCGACATGGATGGCGACGGAAAGGCGGAACTGGCGATGATGTTGCGACAAGGCGGTCCAGGGCCACGAGCAAAGCAAAGGGTGCGACTGGTGCGGATTACGGGGCCAAGCCTTGGATTCGGGGGTGGCAGGGTTGCAGCAACAGGAAACGACAGGACAGGAGAATTTCATTCACCGCGCGGGCTTTCGCATCCTTTTTGGCAACGCGACAGTGGACCTCCGTGAGAAGAAGGGGGGGGGGAGGATGGGAGGATAGGAGAGAGGAAGAGAGGGGGGACGAGAGAGAGAGAGAGAGAGAGAGAGAGAGAGAGAGAGAGAGGAAAAAAAAATAAGAGAAAGAGATGAAGATTGGGGCAATAGAAGAGGGAGAAGATAGGAGCGACAGGAGCCGTTGTTTGAGTAGCGGAACAGTGAGCGATTGTGGTAGGCGCGATTTGCCTATGGAGCAAGCACGGCGGCGAAGGCGGCAGGGTTTGTTGAGCACTGCAACCCACGACGCTTTGGCCCATGTCCCGCGCCATCCGCACCCCGAATGCTGTACTATACTATCCTGACTGTAGTATTGTGTAATAGTAGCTAGAGTAGTAGTAGTAGTAGTAGTAGCAGCAACAGAAGCAGTAGACAGATTCACAGAGAATTGCATGTTGTCTGTCTGATTGTGCGGTGGTGTGGTAAAGTGCACCTAGCTGTCGTGGATTGACTTGCTTCGTCTCACCAAACATGACTGGCAAAGAGAGGCAGATTCTGCGGCCAGAGAGATGGACTGAATGAATGAATGAAAGAAATCATCATAGCCAGTCCTCTCATTCCCCCTTCTTTCTTCCCATCTATTCTCTTTCTCTCTTTCACTCTCTCCTCCTTTCCAGTCCTGCTAACCGTCGGGAACATGCAGACACGCGCGTCGCCTGCTCCCAATCGGGCAAGGCGTCTCTCGTGCCCTCCCAACGTGCGGTACCATTGCACTTGCTCTTCCTGTCTTCACGTCACTTGCCAGAATCCATGACGGACACAATACTCACCACCTCACACACACACACTCTCTCTCTCTCATTCACACTCACACACTCTCTCTCATTCACACTCACACTCTCTCTCTCATTCACACTCACACACTCTCTCTCATTCACACTCACACACTCTCTCTCATTCACACTCACACTCTCTCTCTCATTCACACTCACACATAAAGTATACTATACTATAAACATACCATTCGCCCCACGTTTATTCTACACACATCACCCCCCCAACAAGTCCTCCTCGTGGATTTTCTCACCAGACAAATGCCATGCACCAACAAGCTTTTGCTATACCCCCCCATCTTACACACATGCGGAATTCATGCACACACAGACAAGCTCCCCAACACCTAGCACAACCAAGCCTTTTGTGCCGCCAACTGATCACTTATATGTACACATCTATGCACGCACGTCCCTACCACCTCTTTGCCATGTCTACCACCCCATGCCCATGCCCATCCGCCCAAGCCAAGAAACCGCCTGTGCCTGCCGCGGCTAAAAAACACCGGGCCTGGCTGTCGCCCCCCCTCCCCCCCCCCGCTTCCCTCACTGAAATTTCCATTTTTCCACCCGTTGTGCAGCAACTAAACCAGGTCCATGCAAGATCTGCAGAGGGAGAAAGAAGAGAACAAAGAAAAGAAAAACCGCCGATTGCCATTGGGCTGGATTTGTCCATGGGTTTTCCCACAAAAATGGGCAACTTTTGGGTCTGATCCAGCCAAGTCACCATAGAGTCCTGGGTTTGTTCGCTTTCCAAGGAACATGGCAGTAAGCATTGTAGTAGTAAAACTCGTGAAAATCGTTTGCGCTAGATATTTGCCACCAAATGCTCAACATGAAGAAGAAAAACAACTCCCCCATGTGGGCGCTCGACCTTCATTCTCTGGAAAGGGAGGCCATGAATGCTAATCGAATCGCTGTCTTCTTTCCCCCAACACAAGAAAAGAGGCCGTCAAAAGTACCACCACCACCCAAAGAAAAAAGCCACAAAGAAAATAAATATTGCCCAACCAATCTTCCTGGCAAATTGTACAGAAACAATCCATAAAAGAATAACACGGCAAGCTATGTACATGAGGAGCAGCCCATCCAATAATAAAAGTGAAGAATATGCATGTTGTTTCCTTTGGAAAGAAACATCAACATGCCAGAGAAGGGAAGAGATAGTGATCCAAGCAGTGAGATCAGCGACCAACAAAGTCCAGATGACTAGACATTGTAAATAGGTGCCGGTATGCGTCGGCGGCGCTGATCCACACATGCCACTGCCCTCTAAACAGACAAGACGTGCATGTCTTGCTGATCAGCCGCAGTCGGGATCTGGAAAGGTCCAAAGGCTGTCGTCCTTCCCTTGTGCGCGTGGGCAGCCAGACCCATCTCGCGCATGCGTTCGGCACCACGGCCTGGTGCCGGCCGCTTCTCCTTGACCGCCTTGCAATGTTGCTTGCGGTACAATCGCTCTCTGCGACGTTGCCTCTTCTTCTCGAGCCCGACCTGGATATCAATAGCCCGACGTATGGGCATGTCGTCAGCGTTGGTCTCCTCCTCGTCCAGTTCAAATGGGTTCCTCATGGTAATGGGCGTTCGGGGTACCGACGCCGACACCGTCGGCGCAGGCCGTTCCGCCAGACCAGCAAAGCGGATCGACATGTCGCCGCGCTGACGCATCGCCACGGGATTGACGGAACCACGACGAGTAGGCGGGGGAGACCGTAAACGAGTGGGCGGAGGCGAATGTTGTCGTCTGGGTGAGGTTCCAAACAGTTTGCGAGGCGGTGGTGACCGATGCGCACTGCGCTTGGTAGGCGGGGGAGGCGAACGATGAACAGCCCGCTTCATTGGGGGTGGTGAGCGGAGTCGCTTTGGTGAGGGTAGCGGAGAGCGCTTCACGGGAAGGGCTTTGCGACGGCCACGAAGGTCGGCATCAAGAGGGTCCATACGGCCATGGAGGAAGTCACTCTCTGAAGCAAGATTCTCGACTTCAGACACTTCATCCTCGTCATCGTCTGGTAGTTCAGGATCCGAGGTCGGAAAGGTGGGGTCGATGTCTTGAGGGGTAGGCTTGTGCTTGGCTGCACGTCGACGCTCCAGAGTTGCCATGTACATGGCCTCTGCAGGTCTGTCCTCATCTAGGGTCCCACAGACAAAGTCTGTACTGTCGGGTAGCTCTGGACTCGGAACGCGGATGTTGACAGGCCTCGACTTTCTTCGCTTGGAAGGCACATCTGAAATTTTAAGATGTCCGTCGCGGCTCTCCAACGATCCAATGGAAGACTCGGAAAGCGTACGATGCACTTTGAGTCGAAGTTGCTCAAGATGTTCAATAGATGTCGCGGCAGTCGACGCCCCGGGGACCCACCAGTTGTAATCGGAGCCAGCGTCACTTTCATCATCCGAGACAGCAAACCCTTCCTCGTCATCGGTCTGAAAGCCCTCGTCAGTCTTGTCGCTATAGGCATCGCTGTCCTCATCGTCATCGTCCAAAAGCTCGTCATCGTCATCCATATCCACGACATCCTCATCATCCTCATCTTCGTCATCCTCCAGTGCCTCCTCTTCCGCAACCTCTTCGCCTAGCTTGCGGAGGTTGTTTTCGATCTTCAAGGTATCTTGCACAGTAAGTCGATTGCGATGGCACGTGACCTCTTGTGTCCACTCTTCGATCTCTTCCTCTGAGCTTGCAAACTCATGGAAACGGTAAGCCTCGCAGCGAGCTAGGTCTGAATTGGAGCTCAAACGGCGAGTTCGATCCACGGTAGGGGCTTTGCGAACACTCACGGGTGAGTTGTTGCGCACAGTCGAATCAGAGTCGCGATGAACTTTGGAAGGCAGTTTAGGAGATGTCATTTTGACACGAGCCAACGGCGCCGGGCTAGCCATGCGAGCGCGTGAGCTACCCTCTTTGGAGGGCGCATCTGTGGAAATTTTGGTTGGGCAGGCAAACTTGATGGTGCAAGCTCGCTTCGGAGGCTCTTCCGATGGGGGGCCAGGGGTCGGATTAGCTGGTGCTTCTGATGATGTCTTCTTCTCCTCCTTCTGTCCACAAGCGAACATGATGCATCTCTTCCTTCCCAAGGCGGCTTCCACTTGCTTCTCAGGGTTCGAAGGTAGTGGAGAGTTCTGAACGTGCCCCAGGGTATCTCCCGCTCGCAGCTTCACCGAGATGGGAAGCTCAAACGGCTTCTTCTGGATGGTGGATCCCATACCGTGGAACATTGTCGAAGGCAGTGGTGGACTAGGCGTAGTGGTTCGTGTACCCGGGCTCGTAAAGCCGCCATCACTGGTCAGTTCGGCCGTAGTGCAACTGCTGGTGTTGCTGCACGTCGATACACATGACATGCCGCGGACGGGACTTCTATCGGACTGGTCGTCGATTGGCGAGCTTGTGCTGGAGTTTGATTTGAGTGCGCTTGTCAAGAGCGACTCTTTGCGGTCGACGGTAGGTTTGGATTTGGCGAAAGAAGAGTCTCTGGGGGCTAGAGGTGCTGGCCGGGGAGTGCGCGATGGTTCTGGAGGCTCGTCCAGGTCCGCCACCACCTCCTCTTCTGAACTCATGGCTGGCAATGATGTGCTTGGCATGTTGCGCCCAATGTCGACTCCTGCCATGTTCTGTTTTGCAACGTGGTCCTGGTCGTTTGCCATATATTGATTGATGGTATTAGGGAATGCGCAGTTCAGAGCTGAACAAAGCAACGATTATCGACGGGATGAAACGTGAAGTGGTGCAATGTACAAGTAGTCGCCTTGAATAGACTTCAACAACGGCAACCCAAGGAAGCGCGTCTGATTCAAAGACGCAGTGTAGTGCAGTGCTGGAAAAAGGCCGGAGACAGATCGCAGGTTGAGCACAGAAGAGGTGTGGTGGTGCAAGTCGAGTGAACAGTCGAATGACGAAGAAGGGGCAGGCAGTTGTTTGGTGGTCTGTAAGTGACTGTCTCGGTATGGACGGTGATGGGCGGGGGGTGGGGGCCCAGAGGAGGCGTGTGTTATAATGTGGAAAGCAACATGATGATGGAAGAGTGAATGGTCGAACCGGAAATGGATTGAAACAGGCTGAGGACGTGTCAGAAAAGCAGAGGCGTGGGGCAGTGTCAGTGTGGGAAAGGGTACCTGGCGAAGATGATGCAACGCAGTGCTGGCTGTGGCGACGGACCGGCGCAGGGCTGGAAAAAAACGGCGCCGAAAGTGGAAGAAGAAGAGAGGATAGGGCTTGGCGGGCTTTTCTGCAAGATCGGCGTACGCATGCGCAAGTCGGGCAGAAGAAGCGCGGAGAGACAGCCCACGAGTGGCAGGACGCGTGTGTAGGGTCTGATACTAGTAGAGTATGATGGGGAGGAGAGAGAGAAAAGCGAGGAGCAGGGAGGAATTTGACGTGCAGTGTTGGTCGGGGGTCTCGGCATGCGATGGGCACAGACTGGACAAGGCAGGGCTGGAGTGTGGGCACTTGGGCAGGCCTGTGGGCGTTACTAATCTCCAGGGCTTATTTGCAGCCACGGGAAAGCCGGCGAATGCGAGCTTGGCTTTTGCAATGGGTAAATGTTATCAAACTCTGCCAGTGTGTGTGTGTGTGTGTGTGTGGTGCCAAAAATGCACTGGGTGAGCTTACGCTAGGAAAAGAGTTTGCAGCACTTCGACGGCAGCGCAGCTTCATACTCTCTACTTGCGGTAGTCTAGTAGTAAGAGTCTGACAAATGCTTTCTGCCCTGCTCCTTGCTCCTTGTTCATGACAAAATGAAATCAAAGGCGACGACCAGTGCCGTCTTCGATGTCAGCATCCGACGGAGACAAAGAAAGGCCTTTTTTTCTTCTCTCGGGCAGCCCAGTACCTTCTGGACACGGAAAAGCAGGTTTCAACGCACAGGCGCTCCCAGAACAGAAACAGCGCGGCGTAGCACACAGCACAAGCATAGTCGATCGAAGACGCAATAAGAACACAGCATTGGAATTGGCTTTTCATGGATCCGCCGCCGCCGCCGCCGCCGAGCCGATGGACGTGGGTGTGTGGATGGATGCACGATAGGGACGACGGACAGAAAACAGGCCAACGAACGGGGTGTATGTACATGGATTCAACCACCAGTGTGACCACCCTACCATACACACAACACACACAGTAGGGTAACAGACACAAAGTCATAGTACACTCCCAGTACCCAGTACCTGTCATGCATACCGCTGCATGTCAAGCTGAGCTCGCGCATAGTACGATGCTGCTGCTCTTCTCTCTTCCAGCCCTTGTTCTCATCGCCGAAACATGGCGGCATCAGCCCGTTGCCCCCCTCAACTAACTGAGTGTCTTGTGTGCCATCTCCCATCTCGCCCTTTTCCGCCTCTCTCCACCTCTCCCCCCTCCCTTCGCTCCATGCCATGCCCTCTCTCAAAGCACCACAGTGCGGTATTTTCTTTTTGGCTAGCAGCTCACCGCCCCCCCCCCCTTTTCACCGCCTCTCCCAGCTCTAGGTAGATACTGTGATAGGCAGAAAGACCACTTCCCCCATCGCGTCCTGTCGTGTCTGCAGCGCGGGATCCATCATCTGACAACACACACACACGCACCAACGAAAGCCCCACGCCATTACGCGGGCGTGCGGGTTACCCGTTTGATCCCACCATTCCCTTCTGTACCCATCCGCACATGCATGCTTGGCCGCGCCCATCGTAAACAGCGCCGAGCACCAGGGTCCATCCTCCCCCAGCTTTCTGTCCGTTGCCAATGCGATGCCACCACCCTGGCCACGTTCGTTTCAATGGCAGGTAAGCGCCCCAGCCGGCTTCACACAAGCTTGTTTGTTCCCATTGTAGGTACGGTAGGGAGGATGGTGCCCCGCATATGTGGGGAAGTTGCTTGCTTGCTTGCGTGCGTGCGTGCGTGCGTGCGTGCAATGGGGCTTGGTTCATGGAGAAGAGGATGCCTTTGCCGGATGGGCTCGTTCTCGCTCTGGCAGTTGGGCGATGCTATGTGTCGATGACATGACTGTATGCGCCGCAGCCTTCGACTCGTGCAGCACTCAGATACCGAATAGGGTATGTAGGTATGATGGGAGGAGGGGTAGAGTAGAGTAGAGCTGTGCGTGTGCTTCTCCAAACACACTCCCACTGCCCCTCCATACCCATTGCCGGTACCCTTCACCCGATAACCAGACCAGCTTGCCAATGGCCGGGCAACGCATGCGACGGTGACGAATGGCCTCAGCAGAGAGTAACCACTGAAACCTTGCCATCTGCATTTGCAGCTGCTCCGTGACGTCGTCTGTTTCCCATGGCTTGCCTCACTCGCCGCACGAAGGCGTACTCCTAGAGGAGAGTACTAGGAAGCAAGAGCAGATGCAGATGCGCCAAACACTACTCTACTCTACTACGCATTGGACCAAAAAGATGCATCAAACATTCCATTCCACCTGTCCAGGTGTCGCAGCATGGCTTGGCATTCGACGTTGCCAACCTTGAAACTTGCATCATCATCGAACCTACCAGGCTGAACCATGGACCCTGACTCTTGCTCCGTGGCTCTGTGCTCTGGTCCCTCCTTGGAAGCCTGTACTCTACTAGGTTGATGGACAACTACTCTACCGCCTCGACCGTACGGACCGACTTCGCCACACCTGACTCCCTCAAACACACAGTAACGTCATTCCCACGCGTCTTGAACTCTTCCGCCTCGTTCACGAAAAGGGCGAGTTGCTGGCTGCTGTAGTACCACCACATGCAGAATGCTTAGGCATACAGTGCAGCATGCACCACCGTTTAGGCGTAGTATGTCGTGTATCCTCACAACGTTCACCCCGCAGCACATCTCTGTCCTACCACAGTACAGTACAGTGCATACCTGGTACCTACTCTACTCTACTCTACTTTCCATCACACACACACACACACATACAATAGAAACTTCCGTCGTTACACTTCCCTCTCCCACACAGAGTACCTACCCTACCTACCTACCGAGTAACTGCCACACTAGCCTCCTTGCTGCGCCGCACCATTCTAACAAGGAGCACGCACTCTAGACACAGACAGGCAAGGTACGAAAATAGCAATACCGCAGAATTCACCACAAAGTCACAAACCGTCTTTTGCTTTCCTGGTTCATTTGTCGCACGTGGTAGTACCCATATCACCATACAACATGAAACTGTCAAACACTCTACCCCGCATGATGCCTCCAACACTGTACGTGTACGAGATATACCATATCATTCCTACCACATCCAACTAAAACCCCCTCCTTCAACCAACCACCAACACTAATCTCCCATAAAGGGTACCCACCAACACAGCAACCAACACAGCAACCAACATCCCGCGCCCTCTGCAGTCTCACGCTCTACCATGCTGCATTCAGCACTCGCGTGTACGTACACCACGAAATGCCAGCAGAGCCAGGCGATCTTCCCGTCGCACTTGGCGTCATCGCTGTGCTTGCTTACTGCGAGTCAGATGGGTTGTGGTGACGCGGTGCGCGGGGGGCGGTGGGTGATTGGGTGAGTTTGTGTACGTGTCTCACATGTGCGGTGCTGGGCTGATGGTGAGCGGGGCGGGGACGCTTCTTTTTTTTGGTTCGTATTTTACCAGTCTTTTGTTCTGGCACGGTGGTGTGGCATGGCATGATTTGGCATGGCGATAGGGAGAGTGTGCTGCTCGTCTTTCTTTTTCCTGAGCACTTTCTTTTCCTTGTGATGACGAGGAGCCTTTAGCTGTGAGTATTTACGCAAGGGTGTCTTGTGGGGATGTTGTGGGTTGGGAGGACTTTGTGTTCTAAATCCGATTGGGAGGTGAATTCTTTTTGTTGGATCAGGTAGACAAAGGTGAGATCTACCTACACGGATCCAAGCGACCCTCTTCTTCTTCTTCTTCTTCTTCTTCTTCTTCTTCTTCTTCTTCTTCTTCTTCTTCTTCTTCTTCTTCTTCTTCTTCTTCTTCTCCTTCTTCTCCTCCTCCTCCTCCTCTTCCAACACCACAGCACTCACTTCTCCTCTTCCTCCCGTCCATACCCGGTAATGCCCCCAAGAAGGCCACCGACACCTTTGCCTACACCCCCAAGCGTGCTAGATACAAGTCAGTAAGCACATGTCCCAGCACTACAACAAGCCATAGGGAGAGCACTTTACCTTCCCACTCCCCCAATTACATCACCTTTCCCCAGCTTCGTGACGCCGTCGCCCAGGCCACCGGTGATACCCGTGACGGCGTTGTTTGCGCCTTTGCCTACATTGTCCACGACGCCTCCAATCGGTCCCCCAATCGTACTGCCAACGCCTCCTACGGCATCACCTACCGTTTGACCTGCGCCCTTGCCAATGCCCGTCACCGTATTGCCTGCGTTGAAGAATTAGTATAATCAATGTCACAGTCAGCACCAAAGGGGTTTTCATCACACTCACCAACACCACTACTCGCGCCCTTGACCGCGCCCTTGGCATCCCCCTTGCCAATCGCTCCCGTTGTCTTACTAACCGTTCCCTGCACGCCCTTGGTTGCTGCGCCCGCTGTATAGTATACATTGTCGACGGTGCCCGTTGCCGTTTTGCCCACAGTATCGGTCACATGTTTGGCCGGCTTGCCCACCCCAGCTGGTGTTTTATCGAGCCCTTTGCCCGCAACGCCGGTGATGCCATCGATGGTAGAAGTGACACCCGTGGTTGCCGCATCGGTGACGGTGTTGACGCTGCCAGTAGTCACGCCGACGGTTTTGTTGAGCGTGCTGGTTGCTGTGTTAATGCCCTTGTTAAATGTGCTAGGGGGTTTAGTCGTGGTTTGGCCTGGTGCGGGATGAGCTTTGATGATGTGGAGGGGGGTGGGGGAGGTACCATCTGGGTTCACATCCTTTTTGACAGTTGTGGAGGGAGTGGATGATGAGGTTTGAGAGGACTTTGCTGGAGTGGAGCTGGCGGTTGTCTTCTTGACAGTGCTCACAGGCTTCGCTGCTGGAGGGCTAGAGGTATTCTTCGTCACAGCTGTGGGTAAGGGCTTTTTGGAAGCAATGGGAGTGGGTTTGGAGGATGGTCTGATAGTTTTCTTTGCAGGTGTTGTGGCTGATGCAACTTTGGGTGCTGATGTGCTTGAGGCTGCCAGCTTGGTTGCTGTGGACGATGTACCAGGTGGTGCTTTCGCTGGCGTTGTTGTAGATTTGGTGGCAGTCGATGAAAGCCCAGCATTTAGCTTTCTTGGAACCCTCTTGACCGGTGTAACTGCTGCATCTGGAGTCTCGGAAGCAGTGGCCGCTGGTTTCTTCACTGGTGTTGCTTTGGTCGTCAAAGATCTAGCCTTGGTAGGTGTCACCGTGGTTGGTTTCTTCGCTGTTGATTGAGCAGTCTTTGAAATATCGCCTATGTTTGCTAAATTCCACAATCAGCTTCTGTCCATAGCTGTATTGCGTCGCAACTAACACTGTAGCGCAGCGCTCTGCTGCTTGAGCTGATCGGCTGCCGTCATTTTGGATGGATTGAGCTGGCTCCGCAACGGTTCAGTGCGAGCCTGTAATGTCAAATAGATGAATGGGATGATCAAAAGAAATCTGGATCCCGACGTGTCTGGAAGCTGAGAGCTCTCTTCCAAACATGATGCCTCCTATGTCTTGCCCATACGTCATTCGTCACATCCCTGTTGTGACAGAGGTACGAACGGCTCAAGTGCGGAGATCCTGTTTTTTAGGTACGGCAAGAACATTTGTTACATGGGCAATCCTGAAACCCTGACGTTATTTATCAGCTTACAATCATGGCTGCATATCATTTAGCGTGCGCACTCATGAGAAGCGTAATGTTTGAGTAGATGTGTTCGAGGTTGGCTGGTAAATCAGTCGGAACGGCAGAAGTTTTTTACATCAATCAGTTGGTTTCAAGCACGATATGGCAGCAGCAACACAGAAGAACATCGCACCAATATGAATAGATGGACATCATTTTTTTATAACTTAATTCATTCGTGAATCGACTGCTGAACTTTTGCTCAGAGTCGCTCAGAGGTATTATTATCTACCAAGAGCTCATTCCGGGAAATCCATTTACTCGTTAACCATGAAATGCCACCACTCTAAGACGCCGCCAGAGACTAAACTCTGTCATCATGCAAGTGAGGTTGAAACAGATAAAAGAAAGCCATGACACATGAAAGGGATATCAGAGCGCCGACCAGACTTTTCGAAACCGCAAAGATGAACGATCCGCTTAGTCAACCTCCTCCATGGCGCTCTCGCCAGCCGCCGCGGGAGCCTCTGCTGAAGCATCGCCCTTGGCCTCCTGCTCAGTCTCAACATCCTCATCAACGTTCAGGCCAAGAGAGACGAGCTTGTGGATGCGCTCAGCATACTGGACGGGCTCATCAATAGTGAAACCAGAGACAAGGAGCGAAGTCTCGAAGAGAAGGAGGGTGATGGACTTGACTGTGCGGTCATCCTCACCATCGGCCTCGACCTTGCGCTTGAGTTCCTTAATGATGGGCGACTTGGGCGAGATCTCGAAGGTCTTCTTGGAAGACATGTACGAGCTCATGGAGGTGTCACGGAGAGCCTGTGCCTTCATGATACGCTCCATGTTGGCTGACCATCCGAACTGGCCGGTACGGATGGCGCAAGGTGAACCAACGAGCTTGTGTGAGACGACGACCTTCTCAACCCTGTCACCAAGAACAGTCTTCAAGCTCTTGGCAAGACCCTCAAACTCCTTCTCCTCAGCCTCGCGCTCCTTCTTCTCCTCCTCAGTCTCCTCAAGCTCGAAGTCCTTGGTGATGTCGACAAGCTTCTTGCCGTCGAACTCCTTGAGCTGAGTCATGGCGTACTCGTCAATGGGGTCAACGAGGAAGAGAACCTCGAAGCCCTTCTCCTTGAGAGTGTCGAGGAATGGTGACTTCTGCACAGCCTTGAGGGACTCGCCAGTGATGTAGTACATTTGCTTCTGGTGCTCAGGCATGCGGGTAACGTAGTCAGTGAGGGAGGTCATTTCCTCGCCAGACTTGGTGGAGTTGAAGCGGAGGAGCTTAGCAAGAGCGGCGCGGTTCTGCGAATCCTCGTGGATACCAAGCTTGATGTTCTTACCGAAAGCAGAGTAGAACTTCTCGAACTGCTCACGGTCCTCGGCAATCTCGTTGAAGAGCTCGAGTGTCTTCTTGACAATGTTCTTGCGGATGACCTTCATGATCTTGTTCTGCTGAAGAGTCTCACGCGACAGGTTCAGGGGCAGATCCTCAGAGTCGACAACACCCTTGACGAAACTGAGCCACTCAGGAATGAGGTCAGTGGCGTCATCTGTGATGAAGACACGGCGGACGTAGAGCTTGATGTTGTTCTTGGTCTTCTTGGTCTCGAAGAGGTCGAAGGGTGCGCGCTTGGGCACAAAGAGGATGGCACGGAACTCGAGCTGACCCTCAACAGAGAAGTGCTTGACACCAAGGTGGTCTTCCCAGTCGTTGGACAGGGACTTGTAGAAAGAAGCGTACTCCTCATTGGTGATGTCCTGGGGGTTGCGTGTCCAAATGGGCTTGGTCTTGTTGAGCTCTTCTTCTTCAATCTTGGACTCCTTGACCTTCTTGGTCTTCTTCTTCTTGTCTTCCTCATCGTCGTCAACTTCCTCGACCTTGGGCTTCTTCTCATCACCCTCCTCGGTGGTCTCGGCGGCATCTTCGTCCTCAACCTCCTTCTCGGTCTCCTTGAGAACGTGTAGGTAGATGGGGTATGAGATGAACTCGGAGTGCTTCTTGACAACCTCCTTGATCTTGCTCTCGTTCAGGTAGTCCATCTGCTCATCCTTGAGGTGAAGGATGATGCTGGTACCGCGACCGAGCTGCTCGCCCTCGGTGTCCTCGGTGATCTTGAAGGTGCCACCGGCACTTGACTCCCAGATGTACTGCTCATCATCGTTGTTCTTGGAGACGACGGTGACACGGTCGGCAACAAGGTATGCAGAGTAGAAACCAACACCGAATTGACCAATCATGGAGATGTCAGCACCAGCTGACAGAGCCTCCATGAACTGCTTGGTACCAGAGCGGGCAATGGTTCCCAAGTTGTTGATCAGGTCGGCCTTGGTCATACCAATACCGGTATCCCGGATGGTAAGTGTCTTTGCCTCCTTGTTGGGGATGATGTCGATGCGGAGATCCTTGCCGCTGTCGAGTTTGCTAGGGTCTGAAAGAGCCTCATAGCGGATCTTGTCGAGGGCATCGGAGGCGTTGGAGATGAGTTCCCGAAGGAAGATCTCTTTGTTTGAGTAGACGGTGTTGATGATGAGGCCGAGCAGCTGAGAGATCTCAGCCTGGAACTCGAAAGTTTCCCCAGACATGACGGCGTTTATCTGTGTGTCGTGCTTGTCTGCAAACGATAGAAATGTCAGTACAGACCCGACACTGGAACGTCTAGAATGCAAATGCTGTAGGGTGCTGTGGATTGGCGTCGATGAGAGCGTGGGAAGAGGGGAAACGTACGGATTAGGTGGGGTAGTGGGGACTGCTATGTTCTACCAAAGTCGTAAAGGTGAAGGTGAAGGTGCGCTCAAAGACAATTACAATGGTTTGCCTGGTGAGTGTAGAATGGAAGGAGCAATCTGACTGAAAGACGACATAGAAGTAGCGCTGAGTTTTGAGGCTCATATAGGTTTTGGTGGAGCTCGAGAATCTTCTAGACAGAGCGGCAGAAACGCAGAGAAAGAGGCAGCCTAGCCAATCAGCGCACGGCTGTCCGCAGTCCAAGGCCTCACCGCCCCACGCGCCCGCCTCTGTCTTTTGTAGCCAGGCAGGTGAGTGAGAACAATCGCGACTGTAGACTGGGCAACTATCCGCAAGTTTGCTGGTCCGCGACTTCCTCAGTTGCTGGTCCGCGACTTCCTCAGTTGCTGGTCCGCGACTTCCTCAGTTGCTGGTCCGCGACTTCCTCAGTTGCTGGTCCGCGACTTCCTTTGTGTTGGTCCGCGCCTTCTGCTCTGCTGATCCGCGACTTCCTCACCCTTCTTCACCCTTCTTTACCGCCGCCCGTGCTTGCTCTTGCCCAACAGTTGTACGATACTATTCCTGTTGACATCCATCGTGATCGCCTACCCTGAAACGTCCACTTGCCAAATCCACGCTGTCATCATGCTGTCTATTCCGAGACAGCAGCAGACCTTGTGCGGCCTCGCGCAGCATGTTCCAATATCAGGTACCACATGCGTAGTACGTACCGTATAACCCTACGCATCGTCAACAGGATCACCTTTTCTAGAGCATTCACAACTATTGTGCCCGCTCATATCGTTTGCCATTCACCTAGCCAACCGCACCCCATCGCTACTGTACCTGATCTACTGCCTGTACCCGCCGTCCCTTGCCGGTCCATCGTAAAGCACAAGCCATGGCAACCACTCCCGCTACATGCGTTGCCCCACTCAGTCCAGCAGTTCAGCAATCGCCCATGTTTCATATGCCTCTCGAGCTCCGCGACAGAGTGTACGACTTCATTTTCGGCGATTCACCCATTCCACCCAGTGACGACGTCACGGCTGCTGTGCCTGCTTCTTCAGAGCTTGCGCAGGCGCGCCTTGTCAGCCATCAATTTGACGACGAGGCTCGTGAGACGTGCTTTGGAAGAATTGTGCACTGTATCAACTGGAATCCAAAAGCTGTCGCTGAACGCCCGGGCGACTACACTCAACGCGTCTGCAATCTGGAAAAAAAGATTCGTGAGCAAATCAAGCACATCGCCTTTCGAATCCAGGACGGCAATGTGAACTACATCGACCCATTGCACCTTGACCAGAACCCCGAAGATCCTGATCAAGTGAGCCCAGACCGACTATGTGTCATTCGTGGACTTCGACTGCTCGACTCGGTCACATTCGTGCTCGATTTGCCGTTCATCAACACGACTGAAGGTAGGCGAACGAGGATAATGCAAGAAGGCAGACTGGCCGAGAAGATATCCGAGCTCACACATGTGAAACAAGTCACTGTACAGAACATTTTTCACAGAGAGCAATTCTCATATCACGAAGAAAATGGACAGCAGCACTGGAAAATCCTCGAGTGGGAGGACGATTCAGACATTGTCAATGATGACCGCTAGCAGCTCCAATTGACACTGGCCATGTCTGTTCCCGGTCGCACTCAACAACCAGACGTATAGTCGTGAAAAGTATGTGGTCTGTTTTGCACAGCCCCTTTTGTTCTATCCCAAGGAAGGGTTTCCTCTAAAGAGGTACTTGATTGAGGATTCGTCAATAGATAATGGACGTGTCGTTAAAGTTTGGTAATGTTGTTAATTCCACGTGCAAGTTACTTCCAAGAGTCTTTAAGTAAGATCACTTAAGCTCGGCGCTGGCCTGCTTTTAGCAATCACCCCTAGCCGCGTTAATATTTCCGATACAGTGTTTGCCCACACAGTCGAGACCGGATAGAGTTGTGCAGGAGTTTGTTGTAAACGTATGAATACATGTCAAATTGAACGCCACAGATGATATAGATTTACTTGTATTCATTGCTTTCAAACTCATCTAGATGAACGTCCTCATAAACTCGCCCAAAGCCATAATGGCCATAGCCTGCCCATACGGCATACTGGTTAGAGCAATATCCTTGTAATGCTTCAAGTCATGGCCCATCGCGGTTCCAAAGCTGACCTCCAGCAGCTCGCCCTCTGGGTTGATCTTGCCCATGACGGCCTTGATAGCCTTGACCGCAGACTCCAAGTACACGTCCCCGCTGATATACCGTTTCCTGCACGCCTTCAACATGCCGTACGCGAAGCCGGCGGTCGCAGACGCCTCTTCATACGAGCCCTCTGACACGGGGATATCAAGCAATGTGCGCCACATGCCATTTTCTGCCTGCAGCTTGACCAAGGCCTTGCACTGCGACTCGAGGATGCCGATCAAGAATTGCCTCAGCGGATCACTCTCCTTGAGATCCAACAGCTCGATGAAGTCGGGAATCGCAATCGTAAGCCACGAGTTACCCCGCGCCCATCTCGCCTTGGCAAAGTTGTGTCCCACCTCCAGTCCGTCCTTCTCCTCCCACTTCCAGCCGTGGTAGAAGAGGCCGGTGGATGTGTCGAACAGGTACTGGCAGTGCAGCATAAACTGCCTCTTGGCCTCTTCCACGTACTCGGGGCGGTTGAGCGTGAGCCCGATCTTGGCAAGCGGCAGCGCACTCATCATCAGCGTGTCATCCCACAATTCATCCTTGTTGAACGAGTTGTAAGTTTCGTGCTGGAAGCCGCCAAATTTTGTGCGGGGCAGGCCGTGCATCACCCATTCTGCCCATGTGTCTAGCCAGGGCACAAAGGTCTTGTTGCCCGTTTCCTCATACAGATAGGCGAGTGTGAGAAATGGGCTCATGGTGTTGATGTTCTTGGTGGTGCCTTTGGCCAGCTGCTTGTCGAACCAGCCCTTCATTATGTCGAGGGTGGCGGTGCTGCCCGTCAGTGTGTAGTAGTGCCATAGGCCGTAGAGACCGATGCCGTGGGTCCACTCCCAACCGTCCCAACCTTTGGTGTCGATTATGCGGCCATCATCGAGTTTGAGCAAGAACTCGCCGGTTGTGTCGTGGATGTTGATGAGGTTGTGTGTGAGGAGCAGGATTTTGGAATCGATGTCCTCTTTTTTGAGGCCGTGGATTGTGAGGGTCGACATTTTGGACGCGTCCTCTAAGATGTTCCTTGGGATGGTGGGGTATATCTTCACTTGGAGTGGGCGAAGCTTGCCGAACGTCCTTTTTTGGTTCCCAAACTGGAGAGAAAGGGAAGAAAAGAAGAAGAGTGCAAGGTGGGAAGAAGACAGACAGAATGAGAAGAGTTGGAGGAGCAGGGGAAAAAAAAACCTTGTCTCACGCGTAGCTCAGCAAGTGGGTATAACACCTCTACACGGCGTCACGCGTTGTTTGAGCGGGGTGTCAAAAACTGGGGACGAGTCCTGGTCCGGGGATGCATTGCATTGATTCCCTTGACCTAGAGGAATCGGGCCCGAGGCAAGTCTTCACCATGTTGGGCCTGTTCGTGCCCTGCTGCACCGATTTCGTCTCCTCCTATACCGACACAGATGCCAATCTCCACGTGGACTTCGCTCCAAAGGTTGGGTTCCTGGAACCGCGGCTCTCTGCGGCGAGAGTCGACATCAACACCAAGGCCTTGGATGAGGTTCCAGAAACATGAACCCCTGCGGTGCTCGCGCGGCACTCCACCGATGTTCGTTGACCACTACACCGACGCAACACAGACAGAGGCCGCCTGGTCGCTTGGAAGAGTCGGATACCCAGCATACCCAGCACCGGCGAAGGGGAAGAAGCTGGTGGCCTGACTCGCCGCCGCGGGTGTCAAAGAGCAGCAGTGTCTTACGGTTGGTGGCCTTTCTGCCTGCCCGTCCCCAGTTTCTCACACGAGCTTATTCCTTCACATGCAGCCGACGACTAGAAACATCAAGTCCTATCAGCGTGCGCCGTCGGTCTGTATTGCGCCGAGCAGTTGCTGTTGTTGGTAAGGAGCCAAGCCCGTGGCAAACCCTGCTTGTTCGTGCGTGCCTGGTGATCCTACGACTCCGCACCCCCACAGTCTGTAATGTCTGGACGACCAGCCCAAACGACACGGCCTAGCGACTCGGCAAGCGATATTGGCGCCCACTTTAACGCTGCATTCCTACTACGGTAGACGGTGTGGGGAACCTAAGCTGATTCTCCATACTCTACTGTATTGCATACTCTAGGTACTGTGCGCACTAGCTCCAATGCAGCCTTCTCCCGACCGACCTGAGTTGACGAGTCGCGAGTCGCATGGCCTCACGACCCAGGTTTGCGGAGTACCCAGCCTGTCCACAATCGACCGGGGTCCGCGCCCGCATGGGGTAGAGATTGGACCGGGGAAGGCCTGGGGACACTCGGACGGGGGCAATCTAAGCCAGGTAGAAATATCTGGTCGAGCGCTCCGCTCTTTGCTTCTTGTTGTGAGTCCTGGGGATTTGTCTGCATCCCTCCCACTTTCTTCCTCCCATCGCCAGCCCACGGAAGCTCTTCACAATGGCCGCCAATCGAGCCAGTGCCGACGGTGTCAACTCGACACCGCACGCCACCACCGACTACGACCAGAAGAAGGACATCAGCCAGGTCGAGCGTGTCCTGTCTGCCGAAGACGAGAAGAAAGACCATGTCAACTACGACCGTATTGACAACGAAGTCGCAAAGTATGCCGATGCGGTTGCCGTTCACATCTCGCCTGAGGAGGATGCTCGCTTGAAGAAGCTGATCGACCGCCGTGTGCTCCCCATCATGGTTGTCACCTACTTTTTGCAGGCGCTCGACAAGGGCACCATGTCCGCTACATCGATCATGGGAATTCGAGAGGATATCCCAGTTCTCCAGTCGAACCAGACAGTGAGTGACGAGGCTGACAAGGTCCTGCTATTGACCGCTTACTAATCACCGTACAGTTTGGATGGCTCACGACCTGTATCTACCTTGCTGTGCTCGTCGTCGAATACCCAACCAACTGGATCATCCAACGTGTCCCTGTCGCCAAATACCTCGGAGCCAACATTCTCGCATGGAGTCTTGTCCTCTGCTGCCATGCGCTCTGCTTCAGCTTCCCCGCTCTTGTCACCGTGCGAACTCTGCTCGGTATCTTCGAAGCGGTTTGCCAGCCTGCTTTCCTGGTCATGACCTCGATTTGGTACAAGCGTGATGAACAGGCTCAAATCGTGACGTACTGGTACATGATGAGTAAGTGCTGATCAGCGAGATGGTCACGGCGTCACAGACTAACAATCGATCACAGACGGTATGCAGCAAATTGTCGGTGGTCTCCTGGCCTATGGCTTCTCCATGATCAAGCACCCCAGCCAAGGCGGCACTGCTCCCATCCGGTCATGGCAAGCCATCTTCATCGCCTATGGCTTGATCTCCTTCCTCTGGGGTATTTGGGTTATCATCAGACTCCCTGACAGCCCTATGCGTGCCAAGTGCTTCTCCGAAGCCGACAAGAAGCTCATGGTCGAGCGCGTTCGTTCCAACCAGACTGGTCTTCAGAACAAGAAGTTCCGTGCCTACCAGTTCAAGGAGGCTCTTCTCGACCCCCAGACCTACTGCTACATGGGTATCCAATTCTTCACTACGCTCCCCACCTCCGGTCTTGGTGCTTTCTACAACATCATCATCAAGGGTCTCGGCTTCACTGTCCTCCAGACCCAGCTCCTCGCCATGGTTCTCGGTGTCGTCATCATTGCCACTCTCATGGGCTCTGCCTGGTTGGTCAAGAAGACCAAGCAGAATCTGCTCACCATGGCCGTCTTCATGATTCCGTAAGTTTTGCCAAAGATGCACTTTTCATTTTGCACCACCACAAATACTAATGCTTTGCCCAGCGCCTTCGTTGGAACCATCATCATCATGACGGTCAAAAACACAAACGACGCCACTCGCGCCGGTCTCCTCATCAGCTACTGGATCGTCTTCACCTTCTGGGCTGCTCAGGGTCTTGGTATGAGTATGCTCACCCGTAATGTCGGTGGCCAGACCAAGAAATCCGTCTGCATCACCATGAACTTCTTCGCCTGGTGCGCCGGCAACGCCACCGGCCCGAAGGTCTTCTTCGACGGCGACCCCCGCTACCTCAAGTCCCTCGCCATCCATCTCGGCTGCTACTCCGCACTCCTCTTCGTCATCGCCTTCCTCCGCTTCAACCTCACGCTCCGCAACAGGCGCAAGGACCGCGAGTTTGGCAAGGAGACGGATGCAACCCATGGATTCGACGATCTTACAGATAAGGAAAATCCCAACTTCCGTTATGTTTATTAGACGGAGCTGGACCCGCATCGGTGGTGGCTATGTAGTAATGATAACGAAAGTGGGTTTTTCTGTTGTTGCGGCTATGCGATGCGTGGTTCGTCCTCGTACGCGGCACAACGATCTTTGTAACATATTTATACAAAGACGACACTTGAATCCAAGCGGTCTGTTTCTTCACTTGAATTTCCCACAGTGCCCTGAATGCGTGCTTTGCTTCTCTTCTCTCGCTTCTATCTACGTTGAAAAGACTTCAACACTTCTTTTCAGCGTGCCAGGCAGCCAGCCAGCCTTGTAGTATCCCAAGCCCGTGCCAAATATCCCTTTTAGGACACAACCACGCTCTCCTACAAAGCATTCCGTCAACCCTACCGATATCTCATCTCCACACAAGCAATCCATATCAACGTGAAATTTCTATACAAGTTCGCCCAACCCAGAAGCAATCTTCCCCGCATTTCCAGATATATACTCACTAAATATTGTACATCGTGGTGATATCGCAACATGTTGCAAATCATGAGATGTATCGACTATACAAGGACAACATCCCCCCCCCCTCCCGCCCATCTCACGTTTATATATGGATTAGAGACCGAGACTGATCCAAAGACTATGTGGGAGTGCGAAAGTGTTGGGTCGGGGGAAGAGGGTGAAATGAACTCCTTTCCACCCACGCTAGATACTTTACGTGGGTTTACTTTCTCGCTGCCGATGGCTTCGTAGATGGTGGTGCTTGCTTACCGGGTACAAGTGAGATGCGTGGTTTGTTCTCAATTTCTTCTGATGAGTAATTCATACGTTATTTGATTTGGGCAGAAAGGGCTTCAAAATCTCTTTAATCTGAAAGGTGTTGAGTGATCGTGAGCAACGGTCACTAGTGTTATTCATGATATGTAAGACACAGTGCTTTAAGGGCGCTCTCGTTGCCAGACCCACCGATATTCGATACCAAAATAATTCAACTTCAAGCTCATCCACCCTCGCTCTGTAGATCATCGGGTGGCGCAACTTCCTCCGCCTGCTTTGGAGCAACGCCGGATATCTTGCCAGCCGTCTCCAGCCCACGCTCGATGCCTTGAACCAAGCCATGCAAAGCTGCGAAAATATCGCCCTGACTCTGATCCCTTGCCTCTTTCAATTTATCCTGCCCAGCTTGCCCTTTGCCCTTGCCCTTTGTCTTCCTCGGCAACTCGACGCCTTCGACTCGCAGCATGAAGCCTTGATCCGGCGAGCTCTCGTCGAACGAAGGTGCGATGCGAACGTCAGTGTTTGTAATCTGCCATGCTGAGGAGAGTGATTGTGCATCTTCGATTGTGCGTCCGTCGGCTCCGACGTCTATAATGAGGTAATGCTCCTTGACGCCGGCTATTGGTGGCGGGAGCGGAGAGTCAAAGGGTAAATCTTGCTCATCCACACCTTCGATGTCTCGTAGCCGCTGTCGCTCTTCCTCCTCTTCTGCATCTCGCGGTAGGTACTTTGTTTCGTCTAGTCCCAGACTGCGCATCGATGCAGCAGTCACAACGATCGGGTCGTCATCAGCAAAAAGGTAATGGACATAGGGGTGGTAGTGCTCTCCTGAAACGGTATCTTCTACTAGTGTGAAGAAGGGTTTGAAGTTTGGTGGTGGCAGGAGTGTTTGTTCAGAGCTAGGCTCCAGGTATGGTATGTCTTCCTCATCAGGCGCGTCGTCCTGCTGCTGTGGCGCATAGTATTCAGTTTCGTGGGTATCTTCAAATTGTTCTAGAGGGTTGGAACGTGGTGATTGTGCGCTGTGTAATTCTCGAGCATCTCCCGTTACATCTGGGTTTGTGGACATTGTAAGAGAGTTGGCGGAAGGCTGGAAGATGGAAGCTAGTGAGCTGCTAGAGCCTAGGTGAGTTGATGCTATCGATAAAAAAGTGGGTCCGTGCATATCGGCATGTGAAGGCTTAATGTTTCGGAGGAGACCATGTAAGAGAACCAATTGATTGAGCGAGAAAATCGAACTCCAAGGGTATCATCCATGCGCCAGCCGTAATAACCAACAAATCTCAACGTAGCCTCAGCTTTGACGGCCTGGTCTTGACTCTTGAGGCCTAGTTGCCTGACATGCTCATGCCTCTAGCATCCCTCTAGGTCATAGGCGATGAGAGATGAGTGTCAAGGGTAAGAATTCATGCTGGGCTAGAACTAGGTTCTTGTGTTTGAGGGCGACCTTCAATGGCTGCAGGCGTGTTTGACGCATCCTGACTTTTGGACTTGAAAGCTAGAAACTTTGTCAACAGCACTCAGAAGCATAGCGAAGCTATACTCACGTTGCCGACACATAGGACACTTCTCCTGTGAGCTCTCCTGCTTGAGCCATGAAAAAATGCAGTGCTGCCGCCATGACATTAGTCCGCGGTCTTCGTCAGGTTATCAGGTCTTGACATACCATGTGGAAGGAATGGTTGCATTCGCCCAAAACTGCATGTTATGTCGTCAGTAACTTTCAGACAATATCCAGCGATCAAAAAACTTACGCAGCGGACACTCGTCGCCAGGGAACTTGCACTTGGAGCAAGTACTATCGTACGGATTTCGGCAAATACCACAGACGTCGTCTTCGGGTAGATCCCATCGCCAAGCGGCGACTGCATTCCACTCGCGAATAGTGACCTTCATCGTGTCTGTCAAAGCGCCAAGTTTATAAGGTTTGTGTTTCGCGTGGATAGGATGATGAATCGAAAACAAACAGTATGGCGGGACACGGCAGAATCGCGTGGCGGTGACAAGGGCGGCGACGCGCTACGGTCAATGAGGGTCCATGCTTAAGCTTGAAGAAGCTCGGGGAACCTCCACACGGTCGGAAGACGAAGCGTGAGCCCTGACACCACCACCAACTGCGATATCGCCTCTACAGCTGCTCGTAGGCACATTCCGGCAACGTGACACGACTTTGAACATCCACAAGATTTTGACAATGATACGATGGCCATTAAGAATCCAGCACAGTAGCAAACAGTTGGCCATTGGAAACAATCTAGATGCATTGAGCGGTTTCCCCGCATTTCGCTGAACCCTGGCTGGAGCCCCTCAGTTTGGGTACTGAGCTCACATAATCAGCGAAGCTTCCCTTCTCCCTCGCCCTTGATCTGCAAGCTCCGTCCGAACCTCGCTCTCTTCTGCCCGAACTAACGAGCCGTGAACATCCACTGCATCCGCCATGTTCCTGTCAAGATCCCACTGTTCTCTGCGCCCAGCACCGTTCGCCTCAACTCTGCGATTGCCCGTTGCTGGCCGTGGCAGGCGTGCAATGTCGTCTCACTACACGCTTGACACATACCTAGTCTCGCCGGCTGATCTCAATTCGGCATTGCAGAAAAATGTATACAGCAAACTCTCCACAGCGCCGAGAGTCATCCCTCTATGCGCCTCGTGGTTTCTCCCCAATGATGGACGAAATGGCTACGATACCTACGTTGCGCAACGCATACCGCATGCACGCTTCTTCGATCTCGATGCTGTCAAAGATCCACATTCGCCATATCCGCACATGTTGCCTCCACCCGAGCTGTTCGCCGACGCAATGAGAAAACTGGGTATACGAAGAGAGGATAGCGTCGTCGTATATGACAGCAAGGAGATGGGTATCATCTCCGCACCGAGAGTAGGCTGGACGTTGCAGGTCTTTGGACATCCCAATGTACATGTACTAAACAACTTTCGCAAATGGGTTGAGGAAGGGTATCCGACAGAAAGCGGCGAGCCCGAGAAAGTGTCTCCAGTTGATTATCCAGTCCCTGAATTAGAGGCCAGCAGGGTGACCGCGTTCGAAGAGGTGCGGGACATCGCGAAGGAGCAGGGTAAGGAGGGCGCCGAGGAGGTTCAAATTCTGGATGCACGGAGCTTGGGACGGTGGAAGGGCACTGATCCAGAGCCTAGAGAAGGTACGTTCTACTCGCGTGATCCATAGCCAGGATTAACCAGCTAATCTTCGCAGAGTTATCTTCCGGACACATACCGCATTCCATTTCGGTTCCCTTTACCGATCTTCTTGACCCAAAAGACAAGACCATTCTACCAGCTTCTGAACTCAAAGCGGTCTTCAAAACAAAAGGCGTCGACCCTTCCAAGCCTATCGTGAGTAGTTGCGGTAGTGGTGTTACAGCGGCGATTGTCGATGTTGCACTCAACGAAGCTGGCTTTCCCACCCAGCAAAGGCGGATTTACGATGGTAGTTGGACTGAATGGGCACAACGTGTGAAGCCAGGTGAAGGCCTGATCCGAAAGTCAGAATAGGGTGGTGGTACCCCCCGTATTACTGACGGCGTGGGGCGTCGCGAGTTTGAGATGGATTCCGCTTCCGTTCAGCAGAGCGAACTGCGGTCGTAACCAAGACATATTCTATGACGCATATCCAAAATCGCAGTTATGACTGCTTCATGTACAGCTTCTCTCTTGAAAGGTGGTGGTTCATGTACTTCGCTCGGTAACATCGACAACTCTGGGTTCTTGCTTGGACAAGTCGTCATTCAAAGGCCTTGTGGCACAAGTGCTGTCCTCATTTCTTGCTGAGGTACTTCGCAAAGAACTCTTTGACTTGTGCGTTAGCCCCACCCAAGTTGCGTTGTGGGAGCGCAACGACTTTCAAGCCCTTGAGTGATCGAGCTCTACTGACTTCCAGAAAGTTAGTACCTTGTCATCATTCGCAACACACTCTTAAACCTACGAGCAACATATATCTGACTCGGCTCAAATGCCCTGCCAAGATCAACAATCACACGATCCAATGTCATGCCCTGTGACTTATGCACAGTGATAGCGTATCCGGCCATCAAGGGGATCTGCGTCCGTGAGAGCAAACTGTAGGGCTCATCATTTCCTAGCTCGTTGGCCGTACAGTCGGCATATATGGTCCTCGTTAATCCGTTATCAAATTTCACAATAGGCCACGGCTGATTTTTATTCACTGCTACGAATGCTTTGATCTGGTGCTCAGAGTACTTGGCGTGTATGCCTCTGAGCGGTGCGGTGGGCAACTTCGCCCCAGCATCCCTATTTTCAGCTTTGCGTGGGAGCTTCAGTGGATCATATAACTCAAAGCCAATAATGGAGCCTTGTGAGCCGTTTACGAGACCAGCACTAGGCTCAAGGTTTGCCTGGAGCACCACGCGCATGCCTTCTTTTAGTTGTACAAAGACTTCATACCGGTGTTCTTTCTATGGCAGGGAATTAGCCTAGCATAATCTAGATTGCTTATCCACTTACCAGTGCATGGAGCGTGCCATTGTCATCTTCGGCAAGTCTCGTGTTCTTCTGCAATGACTTGTCGTCCCGATGGTGCTCCCTCCATTCGAAATGGTCGACACATTTGTAGCGGTGAGGTGCGGCCGCGAGCTTGTTGATGTTTTCGTTGTTTGTTCGGTCGACATCATCACGGGTGGAGAACAATTTGATTGCATCTTTAGTCTCGGATGTATGATTGAGAAGGACTCGCGCATGATTCGGCAAGATGACGCCATCTGCTACATGTCAGCACAGTCCCCTACCTACAGCTTCTGTTCCAGAAAAAGGAAACGAGACTGCGTGGCTACGACTTCCCAGAGAACGTACCTGTTCGGATTCTCTGTAATATGCTGATGAACATCTTGTCATGCTGGCGGTGGATTTCCGTCAAATTGATATGCTTGAAATTACATTCCTGTTGATATTAGGACAATTGGCCAATGCACCAATACAAAATCTTTCGGCGGTCACGTACCTGCCACGCATCGCTGCGGAACGCCCACTTGTCAATATCGTAGAAGACATCTCTGTTACACCGTCTATTTTCGCAACGGTGCTCTTTCGGGGCAAATTTGTTGTCGGGAATAAGCTCCCAGCCACACCCAATGCAGTGCTTGAAGGGCTTGACGGGTGCAAGTTGACAGAACTATTGTAGTCAGCGTGTGGACTTGAATAGCGTGGTCATTGGGACTTGCATCTCCCGTCACAATGACCTGAACACCACCGAATGCGCCTCCACCCTTCATCTCTCCAATGGACGCCTTCATGATCTGGTTCAAGCGTTCAAACATAAGATTCTCCACCATGCTGACCTCGTCAAGGACGAGCACATCCGTACTGTTGAAACGCTCCCAGACTTCTTTTCCATGAGCAGCTTGCATCAACTTATCCAACGGCTTCTTCATGCTATCGGGTGTCCATCCAGCATAATTCCATGTCGTTTGGCCGTTCACATTCAGGGCTGCTAGATTTGTGGGCGCCACAATCTTCACGCGTTTATGCTGAACTTCCATCTTCTTGACAAAAGCTTTTAGTATGGTGCTCTTGCCACAACCAGCTGAGCCAGTGTAAAATACATTGTGGCCCTGGAGTATGAGATCCACCACTTGCTGCTGTTCAGGACTCAATGTAAGCTCATGATCAGGTTCAGGATTCTGTCCTGGAGGTGCTGGTAGACTTGCAGGATTCAGTGCTTGTAAGGGTTGGAGGTGCGTTGATGTAGAGGTGTAGTCTGTGTTCATCCCATGTTGGTATGGCAACAATTGGCTCTTGAAGTGGGGGATCTGAGACGGCGGCAATGCGGGTGCAGGATAGATGTATTCTGCGTCCATTCCGGTTTGGTTTGGCACCAAGTGGCTAGTGGATTGGAAGATCTGAGATGGTGGCAATCCGGGCGCAGGATAAGTGTACTCTGTGTTTAGTCCAGTCTGGTATTGCACCAAATGACTCGTGGAATGAGGAAACTGAGGTGGTTGAAATGAGGGTGCAGGATAAGTGTACTCTGTGTTCAGTCCAGTCTGGTATTGCACCAAATGACTCGTGGAATGAGGAAATTGAGGTGGTTGAAATGAGGGTGCAGGATATGAATAACTTGTTCCCCAAGTAGGCTCAAGGCATGTTGCAGGCGCTATCGGAGGCGGTTCCCGGTAGGCGTTCTGGCGATTCAACGATGTTTGTACAAGACTCCTGTGCTGGTCCAGATATTCCAACGCTTGCGCCTCGGTAGAGAATTTTTGTTGTTTTGCGCCAGAGAAGCCTTTGATCTGCCGCTCCACATCGGTCCATTCTGTGTAAACGCCCGGCGCATGTCCACCAGCAACGGCATAATATTTTGGCTTCCGCACCGAGCTGTCGACCTTCTGCATGACCAGTCCCGCTGATCTATGTCCCGTGTGCGATGGCTGTACCGGACTTGTCGTTGCTATTGTTCTTCTCGATTTAGTCGCTTCGGGCTCCGGCTCTGGACTCGACTCCAGCTCTACTGGGTTGTATTGTGTGCCCTGAGGTAAGTCGTACGGGCTCGTTGTCTGTCTCGTACGACTGTCGGCTGCCGTTGGTGTCCCGTTTGGTCCCCGTCTTATGTGACTGTAGTCGTCTTCTGTGCCTTCAAACCTCCTTTTCTTTGGCCTAATCCCCAAGACTCTGTCCGACCTCGGCGCAGACATGTGTGTGCAGTTGTTACTGAGGTTGCATCCCTAGAATCAGTCATCATGTACAAGTCAACCGACTGGCGGCCATGCAAGTGGAGAGGTGAGTGAGAGTCTGGATCTCCAAGCGAGTCCTCACTTCTCCCTATGCAGGTACCCACACAAGGGGGACGGATTTGCGCCCATTTCCTTGGATGAAAAGAAAATAGGAAAGTGCTTACAATTGACGCAACAGCTTAAGCGACCCGGAAAATAAGATATCACCCCAATATACACCGTGGCAAGCATTGAGTCGTCGTCGAAGAATCATCAGAATATGTGTGGCTGTTATCGCGCCGATAGCCAATGGGGTGACCGCGTGTTTTGCATGATGACCGGTTCGCGCTAAGGACGCGACATCATGCGCTAAAAGTGGCTCCCGCTGCATGCCGTCCGCATTTTCTGTGTCGCGCCGAGGTCACCATCCACTCAAAGAGTCCCACTTGACGCCAAGGGCTACAGCATCTAGGTACATCGTATGTGTGTCAATCGTTGTAGAAGATACATAGCCAGCAACTAGAAATCTGCGTCCTAGGTATCGTATCAATGCTAAAGTACTACACATCATTCATTTCACGAACATTGAACAACACGCAACAATGGTGCTCTTTGAAACTATTCCCTTCTTTTGTATTATTCATTGCGTGCTTCTGTGCCTAGACCTCGACAGTCTCGACAGCATCCACCGCATCTGCATCTGCTGACTCTTCATCCCTTTCCCGCTTCTGCTTTTTGCTCGTCTTGCCGGCCTTCATCCTCCCATGACCTAACCAACCCGGCTTTACTGTCACAGGCTGAAGAAATCCATCTATTTGCACTCCTCCTAGTGTCCTTGTTTCATTATCATTAATATTAGTACGTGGGTCATATCCATGCACTCGAATACAGTGTTCGACGACACGATACGGTAAGGCGAAATCTTTGGCATGGCCATAACAATCCTCATGAGGACATCGTAATGTGCCAACCTGGAAAAAAGGGCGCTTACCCGAAGACGACCCCAAAACGGAGGGCACATTTGGAGCAGGTATTGTGGCGGGCGAGAATGTCACCGGCTCCGGGAGCGCTTGTGGTACTGCATCTGCGTCAAAGGGCATGAAAGACATACTTTCGCCGAACAGATTTGCACACCGTTGGGCTGTACGCGCAAGAGCTCGCTCATCCCAGCCTTTCACAGCTGCGAGTCCGAGGACCTCACTCCAGTCAATGAGCCCAGCTCTTGCTCTGTCGCGGATGGCGGTCTCACTGCCCGCAGATGCGGTACTCGCAGATCTCGCTCGTTTTCGTACGTGTGATTTTGCAGACTTGTCTGTGTCGGATGTGTCACCCATGACCGAATCGTAGTCTGTTCCTTCTGGAGATCCTGATCTGCTGGTCGCAACTTTCGCCATTGTGTCACCCTTACGTGGCGATGCTGCCCGTGATGGCGTTCTACTCCGCGTATACCTGCTTGTCTGTCTCCTCGATAGTCCCCTCACTGATACATCGGACTCTTTTCCAGCTGACTCAGTAGCTGAGTTGAAGTCACTCTGAGACGATCTGTCACCAGGTTCGCCTTGTGCAAAGTGGTTCAGGCGCGTGCGCTGAATGGCTATTGCGAGCTCGTCTAATTTGATCAGCATCGAGTTGATGGAGGGCTGCAACAATCTGTATGCTATCTCGTCGTCTGCAAGGAATGTGGGCTTTTTCAGGGTCTCCATTTGGACTTTTCTACCGCGCTTCTTTCCTGATGTTTCATTTTCGACGTCATCTCGAACTTCTTCGTTCTCTTCGTCAGCCTCCTCCTCATCTCGGTTCTTCATCTTTGTATCGTCTCCTGACGCCGAACGTTGCGATAGGCTGGATCGGCGGTTTTTTGACTGTGATCTGCTCCGAGATAAGCTGTTGCGCTCTTTGTTGGGTACCTCCTCCTCATCTGTGTCTCTGGCATTCCAGTTCTCTTTTGCTATTCGTAGGAAGACCGCTAGCATCTCATCTCGCAGCTCGCGGCCCGCGTCTTGATTGTATTCACCGCCAATGCTCCATTCGTGTGGCGCTCCAAGACCCTGTCCAGCTACTGCATCATCTTGCAATGGGACACGATCTTCTGGAGGCAACGGCCAGGCTGTCCAGTCTCTTGATGGCACCAACTCAGTCTGCGCCAAGCCTGCAGCATCTGTATTTTGCAAATTCTTCCCCGTTCGCAACCAGACGTCCCTACTCTGCCAACTTTTCAGTTCAGCAAGTTCTTCGATGGGTCTTCGCACGCGACACTTGAGAGCATGCGCATTATAGAGATGAGCTGCTAGATCCGAGTTTTGTATACGCTCTAAAGATGCTGCTATTTGACGGTCCGCTGCTGTGTAGCCCTTCCATGTTTGAGATTGTCCTGTGAAGCGATTCGGTCGAGAAATGGACTCATTGTCAGATTGTACCTCCTCATCGCTGTAAATTTCATCAGAGGCATCAGAGTCGATCAAGATGCTAGAGTTATGCGTGCTTTGTGGATTGGCAGTGACGGCGATAGGCGGAGACGATCGCTCATTTGCATGCGACTCGAGAATTTCTGACTCGGAGGATCCATCTGTAGTAGTAGGTGCACTTTCTCCTCCAAACAAGGACATGGTGGGGCCTACAATCGTTGAACATCAAGCGCTGCTGGCATGACGTTGCTGTGCGCTCCATTGCGATCACGGGGAGAACTCGCGTACAAAAATAAAATGGAGCTTCGAAGTTCAACGCGAACCCACGTGAACACTAACTGCCCACTTACCGGTACGGTACATCCCTGCCATAGGTTGGTACGTGGGTACTATCATCTCGTACCAAAAATTTTGACCTCACATATCAGCCAGTCTATTTTTTTTGGTGCTTTTCAGGTACTTATCCTCGGTGCGCTCTTCATAACTCCGTTGCATTATCATTGTGTGGCCGCTACCGTACCGTACACCTATGGCTTATCTACCAGAGGTACCATACCATTTCCCATTGACCTGTGTCAGAGTCATCCAAAATCAGATCAGGTCTAGGTTACAAACGTTGCAGCGCGGAAAATCATGGAATTAATGGATCGAATTCTGTTGAATGGAATCTCGCATTATTGCAACGCCTCTAGATTACCGGTAGCCTAGGTAAAGCGCGGTGTTGCCCATGGTGCGGCATGTCAGCGCTGGCTTGCGATCGCGCTGGTACCGGTAAGACTCTTGTGCCTAAGCATGAGTCTTAAATTAAATTGTCAGAATTCAGAATTCGAGCACGCCTACTCTGGAGGTACCATTCATCACTCTCGAAAGTTTTGTAGAACTTCTCTTCATCAATGCTGTCGCCATTCGCCATGTCAATGTCTTCTTACTCGCTTTGTGCTCTACCGTTGCTGTCCAAGTATGTCAACAACATTGTCGGCTACGCCCTCGTCTGCTTCTCTGATCTCCTCATTAAATAACTTCTCGTCGCAAGCTGGCAATGCTATCGTAACAAAGACACTCTGCCGCCTTCTATGCGAAATTATCGATCGTTTTCTAGCGCTTTCCAGGCCCCGCCCCTTTCCTCTCGAAGTACCATGTGGAGTAATGCTCAAGTGCCCATGGTGAGCTGGAGCGCAAAATGTATAAATGCCGCGAGCGAATAGTTGCTGAGATGATGGGGAGGGACGTAGGTTGAAGGCGTTCACTATCGTCGATGATGAGGTTGACAAGCTGGTGCGCCACGGGACAGAGTGGCTTCTCGACATGCTCGTCGACAGAGCATTTTGTGAGTGAATGATTGGTAGCAGAAAGTAGGCTATATGGCCCAACTACATTGCTTGAGAGGTGTACCGGAGCAGGTAGATGAGGGAAGGGCGCACGACAGGGACCTTTACCTCTGATGAACACGCATGGTGATTGAAGCCGCTGTCAGTGCCCACATCTTATCCGAGACCTATTGTCTGTCACCACTACGTACAAGGCGGTTTCAATGAACTAAGAGAAGGTAAGAGCTCTTAAGTAAAGCTGCGCGGTGATCGTATCTGTTGATCTCGTCAGACTCTGCGCGCACGCTGCTCTAGGCAAGTGCACTTCGGACGCTCCGCAAATGCTGGCGACGCAGTGAAGTCTCACCTCACATAGGTCACGGCGTCCATCCGTGGCAATAGCTTTCCATGACACTTTGAAGACATGATGATTGCTACGCCGGTCTCTTTCGTGGTTATAACGCGCCTTGCTTTCAGTACGGCAGTGACTGCCTATGCGATGTGGTCTCACTCAATGATACAGTAGTGGTACTTCACATTTTAAATTTCAATCACTCTCTGAATGTGAATTATCAAATTCATGCCTTCTTGTCTCGCAATTGTTCTTGATATGACAATCTAAATAAAGCTCTCGTTACCGGATTGCTTCAACGGTCCTCAACATATCGCATCTTCAGTGGCCAGTGTTTGGCCTGACGTATCTCAAAGAGAGCATAGATGCCGTGCAGTCTGATAGCTTCATGGATCATTCCTGGCCTAGAGCGTACGCTATCTGATCAATCCGCGACTCGCTCCGATTGCCCAGGCTGATCGCGCTCACACAGACTGCAGTATTTGACCTACTAACACCATCTTTCGGCTTATCCCCAGATCATATCTTGACATGATGTTCATTTTTCAATGAGGTCGCTCGGATGACATACAAACAAGCCGTCTGCAGTTGCTTGCTAGAGTCACCTTCACCTCCATTATCGTCACCACAACTACGTCACGACCTTCTGCGACCTTCTATACCCGCCTTCACCTCGCCTTTACCGTCCAATCGTCGGCCCCAGCTCTAATCCGCCGGAGCCCTCCCTCTAGCGCGTTTCCAGACCGATAGCTCATGTATATAAAGGGTGCCGCCTCCCTCGATCCTTTGCTCTCAATCCTCCACCTCCACCTCCACCTCCACCACCGCCTCCGCCAGCCAACATAACAATAACCAAATTTCAAGAATTTTTTCATGCTTGGTCTTTCCAAATCATCTCAATTCCACTCTGATCACTTTTTTTTGAAGTCACATCTTCACTCAACATGATCATCATCAACCAAGACGACCATAGGCCTTCACCCAACATCACCGTCGACAATATCGACCATGAACCTTCACTCAACACCAACATCATTCAAGTCGACCATGGACATATCTTCACTCAACATCAACATCAACCATGTCGATGATGATAATCATTAGACATGTCACTTGATCAATAAAACACATGGTACCTTGACTCCTTAACTGTTTGTTGGTATGCTAACATATATCAGCCTGCTGATCACCACGACGAATATGCAAGGACTTCGGATTACCTCATACATCTTTTCATTCGTTCACGACCCACAAACAGTCCACCTCGTCCCAGCAGAGCATGACGACCCTCAATCGACAGCCGACCAACACCACGGAACATCACTCGACACGAATGTGACGCTGACTGAATGTCATGGATGTTGATCAAGAGGAGGACTTGCTTTGGGGTTGAGAGACTTGGTCCCAGCCTGGTGTAGGAGGCTTGAGTCGGTTCATCATGGTGCTGGAGGATAGATGGTCAATGGTGCTTGCACTAAACCAGGCCTACCATGTTCAGCTAGCTACACTTGCATAACCCAGAGGGCGGCTCCTACCATAGAGTTCAGGTCAAATCTGGGCTGCAACAGCATTGGTGTGAAGGATTTTACAGCATTCAGTCAGCGCCACCGATTGGAAAATATGGCTTTCAGACTTTTTCGAACATGGAAATCGAACTTGGGTGTGGAATATGGCATCACAGGGTTGGATCATATAAGATCAAAGGGATTGGAAATGAAAAGTTCTCAGATTCTCAAGGGTATAAAGGGATGGGCATCAAGGGAACAAAACAAAAACAAAATGAAATAATGAAGATATCAATTCAAGATCAATCAAATCATCATCATCACTTCTTCCTTGAAAATGCACTTTGCTTCATCGTGACATATCTCAAGGCTTTGTTCGGTTCATCATCCTCCCTGTTCAGTAGTATAGATATACATGATTTTCCAGTGTGATTTATGATTAGATCTACCGGTACTTCGACTATTTTACATTAGCCATGTCACACTGATTGTGCGGTATGAATGCACAGGGTATATACATGAAGACAATCTTAAAATAGCTTCTAAATATTGCGATGCTCCTAGGATAGTGCTGGATGTGTGTGTGCTTGGATGGCCTGGTGTGTTCACGACGTCCAATGTCATGGGTAAGGTCAGCGGCTCACATGATGGCGCGTTGTGGCGCTCAGCGGCTCAGGCGACAACGTCCCGCCTAGAAGTCGCGCGCCGATACCCAACGTCACTGCCAACTGGTATTGCGCCTGCAGCCTGCAGCCAGCTTGACACGTACGATATGCCTCCCTCGTGGTGAATAATCCCGATAAGCGGCTATAAGGACTACATACAATACAGTGTGATACCGGTAACCGTCGCAAAATGTGGTTTCTCGAACACGAAAGCCTCTTTGGAGGGAAGCGCGTCTGGTTGCGACCTGGCTCACAGCAGCTGTTTGGACGTACTAAATCTAGTGAGGGGAACGCAGATGGACCAGAGGGCAAGCAATGGAAGATCGAAAACAAGGCCGTCTCGCGCAAGCATGTCATGATCAAGGTCTACGACGCACTCGCGGAGAACGGCACGAAGCTGCACACACGGTCGCAGATCGAGGTCACTGATCTCAGCTGTCGGCAGGGCACGACAATTGATGAGAAGGACACGCTGAAGAGCCATAAGGCAGGGGATGGCACAATCACATACGCAAAGACAGTGTTGACGGGTACGGAGCACACTGTCAGGCTGGCACAGGGCTATGCTCCTTTCAAGATTGTATGGCGCCCAGTCGTGCTTACTTACGCCTCGAAAGAGTCAAGAGAAGGCAAATCTCGGAGTGCGCAGCTTCATGCGCTGGACATCAAGACGACTTCTGAGTTCCAATACGACAAGACTACCCATGTGGTCTCCTCGAAGCGCAATCTCCCAAAAGTGCTCTCAGCACTCACGGCCGCCAAACATATCGTTACTGCCGAATTTCTCGATGCGGTCCTCAAGGTTGCCACAACATCTCTCGACGCGGAAGGCACATATGTACCCTCAAAATTAGAAGAGGACTTTGATGCCTGGTGGCCGAAGGAGAAGGAATTCATACCACCGATAGGTGCAGAGCCCGTACCACAGCCCCAGGAGAAACTAGAGCCAGACCCCTCACGCTCAGAAGTGTTTTCGGGCTTAACTTTCATCTTCCTCAATGATGACCAATACAACAGCTTGCTTGAGCCGATCACTGGTGGTGGAGGCAAGGCGTTGCTTTACGAAGTTCGCCCGGGTCAGACGACCGTGCAGGAGTACGTAGATTTTGTCCAAAGCGTAGCCGGCAAGAAGCGACGCTCAGCGACAACCAATGAAAAGCTGCCAGTAGTAACTGTGCGCTTGCCAACCTATCCAGATGAGATGGAACAGTGGGCTGCTGATTTTGTTACTGGGACTGACCAAGCGCTTGGCCAGCGATCGGTGCTACAGAACGAATTTCTTGATGCCATCATCACCAACAACAGGAGCTCACTCCAGAGACCGCCCGCCGAGATGCAAAACATTCCTTCGAAAATACCCGCAGCTGAAGCAGCCGCAACAGGACTTTCCATTCGTGGAACAACACCAGTAGCACAATCGGCAATACAATCACAAACACCAGGGGAGAACATGTCGCCTGCTCAGCCCGTGAAAGAAGAGTCTACGAAGACAATATCACGGAAGCGTGTACAACGTCCCAAAACCAGTCGCTTCACCGGTTTTGATGACTACGAGCCGCCTACGAAGAAAAAAAAGGTTGAAACAACGCAAATGGAAGATGTTCAACAATCCATCGCAACGACCGGTCCTGCAGAAGTAGCTCCACAATCCAACGGTACATCAACCTCGCAACATCCAACAGCCCCACAGTCATTCGCCCAAGATTTCGCGGAAAAAGAAGAACAGATAGACACGCTCTTCCCGACCGCAGCCAAAGTCCGCCGCGAACGAGCAGCAACACGCGCACCCTCGGCCCCTCCAGAAAAATCGACTAACTCACCAGCCGAAGATACCAGACACAAAGGCGTCGAAGCACTGAACCGTCTCAACCGCGCAAAAGCCAAAGCAGAAAAAGACATCAATGTCCGCGAGCACACGCGCATGCGCATCAAGGAAGAAGAGGAGCGCCGAAAAGCCGACGAGGAAAGCTTACGTGAAGCACTCGAGGGCATCGACATCGCTGAACTCAAGAATCTGGCGCAAATCGAGGAAATGGAGGTCAGACGCCCGCGCCAAGAAGCAGGTACGGGGCAGCTGCAAAGACAAAGTGACCGCTGGAATCCTGAATGGAATGGTCGCAGGAACTTCAAGAAGTTTCGTCGACGAGGCGCCGAGCCCGGCGTGCAACCGCACAAGGTGATTGTCAGGCTCGAAGAAGCGCCGGCCAAGAAGGGATTCGGTGTTGGTGATGCTTTCTTTCTCGAGGACGTTGCACCCTCGTTCACGTCTCGCCGTGGTCGCAGGCAGGCAGAAGACGATTCCTCGGAGCCCGAGCCGGGATTCACGATACGCAAGCGCACGTCGCAGCCTAGCGAGGTCGTCCATGTGGAGGACAGTGCACCGGAGGAAGAAGAGGAGGGTCCTGTTGTGACAAGGACGCAGAGGAGTAGCGGGAAGACGCAGAAGGTGGTGGAGACACAGCTTGACAATGGGCCGACGCAGAGAGGCAAGAAGAGGGGATCTGGGGCTGCGGCTCTGGAGCAACCGGCAGCTAAGAGAGGCAAGGTGAATGCCAGTCGACGAGAGGATGATAGCGATGAGGAGGAGACTGGGTTCAGGTTTAAGAGAAGGGGGTAGGTGGTGGTTCGAGGCTTGCAGAGGTCCCCGCAGTATTATACCCAATGCTAGATGCTTGATGTACATGTCCCGTGTTAGTTTTGAGAAAGAAGAGATGGTCTTGTTTGTGTCGAATTCATGAAGTGATTGCGATAGTTGCTCTACCACTTCTACAGAGACCCCATAACGCCTTTAGCCTGCTGAACGAGTCAAGAGACAAGTCAAGTCGTATGCCAATCATCCATGCTCGTCATCCCATGTCATCCTCTCCTCTTGCCCTGCCCTATACACACCGCGCCACATCCTCTAGAGTAAACACCCATCTCCCCGAAGCCTCTACTTTAGACATGTGCTCGCCGCTCCAAGCGCCGCCGCCGGCCGAGCCTCCTTTGCACAATTTTTTCCTCTTTCTCCTCGCGATACGGGACTGTGTCGGCACTATCGCTTGCGCTCAAAGTACGAACTTGCACCGAAGAAGGCGACGCTTTGGTCCATGACTGTCTCGCCGACCCAGAGGTAGTTGTCGATCCACTTCTTGACGCCGGGGTTCTCGGCGAACTGATCGGGCTTCACACTGGGACTGTCAGCGAGAGAATGTTAGCCTGGGTTTTGTTGTGGTGGGGTGTCGGGTGGGGGGTTGGTGCGTTGGCAATAAGGGGTGCTGGGATGGTGGAGGGGAGGGAAGGATGTGAGACGTTGAAGACAAGATGTGGGAAAGAAGGAAGGCAAGGGAATGTGTATGGGTGGGCTAGATTGTGGTGCAATGGGGTGCGGTGTGGTGTGGTGTTGGGTTTGGCTTGGGGCGAGCACCTACGTGAGACCGGTTGAGCGACGAACGCCGGCGAGGAAAGCGGATACTGCACTCTTGTCAGCTGTCTTCTTCTTCTACATGGCTGATGTATTCAAATGTATACATACTTAGTACCGCGTCAAAGGCATAATGTGCAACCTTGCCGAGCTATCCCGTGTGTAAGTAAGTTGGCTGCATTGCGACTCGAAGCCGTCTTCTCCACCTCAAGCTGGGGAGAGCGGGCAACGTACAACCATGGCTGGGATATAGGTAAGGGTGGAGAATACGATGGATTCGATGATCATGCGGAGATTTTGTGCTGAGTGGAAGCTGGTGGAAGACTGGGTTATTCGAGGAGCGGGGGGTGTTACTGTGCAGGTAGGGCAATGTGTCGGAGGTGGAGAGAGAGGTCGGTGTGGAGAGAGGTTAGAAAGTGTGGCTGGTGCCTCTCTTAGTCAATCCATCCATCTTCCTACAACTTGGATGCATGTGAATGGAACAACTCAGCCCAGCTTTCGCTGACACGCAACCTCGAGCTGGCCCCTGCATATCCACGGTAGAGACAACAAGTTTTGGTGCAGCAGTTGTCTCACTCCTGGCTGGGCCCTGCAGTTTCAAGAATTGGTCGACAACTATCTACTCTACGACTTACTTACCGGCGGTGTAGCCAAGTAGGTAGAGGCGTGGAGTGAGCAGGATCGCACCCTCGTCGCCTGCTGGCAGTCTTTGAGGCTACAGCCGAGTTCACCCTCGGATGGCCCTGCGGAGCCCATGCGGGTCATTTAGGAGCGGGTCGGGTCTAAGCTAGGTGCTGGTGACTTTGGTATATAGTTGGCCGCCGTCGCCATGATGTGCACCCCGTTCCTGGAGACCTGGACTGACTTTTATGGATTTTCGCCAGGGACACACAGCCGTGAAACAACGACGTCTGCGGCGGGGGGAGGAGGGCTGGGACTCCCTCTGCTCAGTCCACACTGCAGACCACGCCAGCAGCCGGCCGCGCAGGAGAATGACGACTCAGGATCAGGACAGCCTAGTGCTCCTCTAGGCATTTCTCATCTCTAGCTATCTATCTATCTATCTATCTATCATTCGACACGGCAGTGCGACGAGCGCGAAACCGAGCGTCCGAGATGCATGTTTCAGTCGCCCTGGAAAGCTGATTGCACTGGACTGTACTGCCCTGAACACTGGCCTGTACTTGGCCTGTACGGTCCTGCACTGCCCTGCTCTCTTGCACACCCGTATCTTGGGGCGGGATGATGTCGTGCAATGATGCAACAACGTGGGTGGAGCACTGGGGACAAAAGAAAAGCAAGCCCGAAATCCATGACAACGGCCGTAGGCCAACTGGGCTCGACACGGGGTGGATGGCGGTCAGCAGGATGATACATGGAAAGCCCCCAACACAGGTCCTGCACTGCACTGCACTGCACTGCACTGCCAATCTGCACATACTCTACCTACCTACCTACACATACTAGGGTTACCCAAGGCCGGGAGGGCAAAGAGAAAAAGCCCCACGCAAGCAATCGCCGTATCGCTAGCTAGCGCGCGGCGGCGGACTAGACTGTGCTGCTGCCCCTCCAAAAGAAGCTCTTCTCTCAACAGGGCCCTGAGCCAACAAAACTTCTAGGCCACTCAGTGTTGCTGAGAGGAGAACAAATCATCTTTCCCGGCGCACTCTCTCTCTCTCTCTCTCTCTCTCTCTCTCCCTCTCTCTCCTTTCCCCTCCCAATACACATACACCACCATCTGTCTCGTTCCACTTCGCTCTGCCTGTCAACAACTCACAGGCAATTCGAGAGTCTTACCCACACAACCCCCCTTCAACGCCAGCAACCGGCCCCGCCATCCGCCCAGAGCAGCTTTTATTACGCCCGCTATCACAGCCTGATTTCATCCCCATATCAACCTCCAGTGATGGCGAACGCGTAAGTTATACCCATCCTCGCGATGATTTCTGTGTCCCAGTCGTACCCCAAGACAGCAGTCTCACCCAAAGCTCCGAGTCGCAGGGTCTTCCCTTGCGGCAGCCACCAACCAACCACTGACAAAACTCTCAACCAGACTCGATCACCTCAACGCTGGCCGGACCCGAATCGAATGGCTCAGCCAGCTCAACACCGAGTACCAACCTTCCAAGGAGTACCGCCGCACCTCGATCATCGGCACCATCGGCCCCAAGACCAACTCTGCTGAGAAGATCAACGCCCTGCGCAAGGTCGGCCTCAATGTCGTGCGCATGAACTTCTCCCACGGCTCGTACGAGTACCATCAGTCGGTCATTGACCATGCCCGCGAGGCCGAGAGGACACAGCCCGGCAGGCCTCTGGCTATTGCCCTCGACACCAAGGGCCCCGAGATTCGCACAGGCAACACGGTGGGCGATGCCGACATTCCCATCAAGGCTGGCACCATCATGAACATCACCACCGACGAACAATACGCCACCGCGAGCGACGACAAGAACATGTTTGTCGACTACAAGAACATCACCAAGGTCATTGAGCCTGGCCGAACAATCTACGTGGACGATGGTGTCCTGTCGTTCGAAGTGCTCGAGATTGTCGACGAGCAGACGCTCAAGTGCAAGTGTGTTAACAACGGCAAGATCTCCTCCAAGAAGGGCGTCAATCTGCCCAAGACCGACATCGATCTGCCCCCACTATCGGAAAAGGACAAGGCCGATCTGAGATTCGGTGTCAAGAACGGTGTCGACATGGTCTTCGCTTCCTTCATCCGCCGCGGGAGCGACATCACTGCCATCCGCGAGGTGCTCGGAGAGGATGGCAAGGATATCCAGATCATCGCCAAGGTCGAGAATCAGCAAGGTGTGAACAACTTCGACGAGATTCTGAGGGAAACCGACGGTGTCATGGTCGCTCGTGGTGACCTCGGTATCGAGATTCCTCCCAGCCAGGTCTTCATCGCACAGAAGATGATGATCACCAAGTGCAACATTGCCGGCAAGCCCGTCATTTGCGCAACCCAGATGCTCGAGTCCATGACATACAACCCGCGCCCTACTCGCGCTGAAGTGTCCGACGTCGGAAACGCCGTCCTCGATGGCGCCGACTGTGTCATGTTGTCTGGTGAGACGGCAAAGGGCGACTATCCCGTAGAGGCCGTTACCATGATGCACGAGACATGTCTTCTTGCTGAAGTCGCTATCCCCTATGTCAATGCCTTTGACGAGCTCAGGAAACTGGCGCCTTTCCCATGTCCGACCTCCGAGACTTGCGCCATGGCTGCTGTCAGCGCCAGTCTGGAGCAGAACGCGGGAGCCATCTTGGTCTTGACAACCAGGTAAGTTTCAGACCGACCGACTGATGGTCGCTTGTGATCGTGACTAACATACGTTAGTGGTACCACTGCTCGCCTTGTGTCCAAGTACCGCCCTGTGTGCCCGATTATCATGGTCACTCGTAACGCAACCGCCTCCCGAGTAAGTGGTTGTGTAAAACAGCTCGATCTTCTCAGGCTAATTCGTGTAGTACTCGCATCTGTACCGCGGCGTATACCCATTCTATTTCCCCGAGAAGAAGCCAGACTTCAAGTCTGAGCCATGGCAGGAGGATGTCGACCGTCGCTTAAAGTGGGGTATCATGAATGCCATCAAGCTCGGTGTTCTCAGCAAGGGCGATCCAGTTGTCTGCGTGCAGGGCTGGAGGGGTGGAATGGGTCACACTAACACCCTCCGCATCGTCCCGGCCCAGGAGGATCTCGGCCTGGACACGGAGGCATAAAGTCAACACGGGGATGACATGCGCATGGACTCATCATCCTTTGATTATTGGGTGGAGACCACGCTGTCGAGCATGACTCGCGAGCGCAAATGACGGTCTGGCGCATAGAACGCTGGCACTAGCGAATACAAACCAACTTCAATATAACTTACCTTTTCTACAATTGCCATATCATTCTGCCACCCGTAGTGATTCCTTCTCACTGTTTCGTGTCGAGAGAGGCAGCACGCGACAAACAAAGGAGCCAGCTGCAGCGAGGGTTTTAGCGCGCGAGGTCTTGGCGTATCACAGGAGCATGAAGGACACCGTAAGTCACCTCGACGGAGCACAACCCTACTACATATATCACACGCCATGGACATATCTGCGCTAGTGAACCACGACACAGAGGCAGCGGTGCTACCGCGCCGTTCGCTCTCGCGGCCCACCTCCCTCTCTGCATCCAGTCCTGTGACCTCTACCGCAAAGAGTCCCACTGTGCATAAGCCAACCCTCAAGCAGATGCCACCGAAGCGCAGACGTCATGACCCGAAACCTATCTGGGCCTACAGAGAGGGCGAGGAGCTCCCTCCAGAGCTTCAACAACTGGAAGAACAGCAGCGCCAACAGCTGAGACCGCCGCCACCACCCCCGGCGCAACCCCATCCACCTCCGTCCCAGGCACCACCACGCGTACAAGCCTCGCCAATAGCCCACCGAAACGGCCCTCCGGCCAGCGCACACGATTTCGCACATGCGCCGCACCCCGCGGCTACCACCGAGCTTGTTGGATTCGAGCGACCGATCTCTGATAGCCCCCAAGTGTACGATGATGTTTCGCGCCAAGTCTGCGATTTCCTCTGGCGCGAGGCCATTGGAAACGACGTTGTGCGCAACGCGATCGCAGACCCACACGTGAAGCTGGAAGTAGAAGCGCGATGGGGTCAGGTGATAGACCGGCACAGTAACCAGCGGCTTCGCGGTGTGTGGGAGTCGGAATGCGTACTGAAGAGCGGGGCCATGGATGTCAAATTCGAAAGCACAATGACTTTGGAACAACACAAGAAGATGAATCTCTACTTGAACGAACAGATTCAGCGATCCAAAGCGCCTGGTGCGACGCGCGTTGCCATCAACTATGAGCACACGCGCGAGATTGATGAATTTTACGAGCTTAATCAGGAGGAATTTAAAACGCTGAACCCGATCGTCCAACGCTTGATCCACGCTCACAGCCAAACCGGGGGCAGGTCGCGGATACGCGTGACAAAGAAGAAGGAGACGGGCGAGGTCAAGGACGCAATCATCAAACACCGGTTGGCGAACCTGGAGATCAGCTCTCCCCGTACAGAGTGGGACTATCGCATTGGCATCAACCTCGAAATCGATTTCGTCCGACCCATCGAGAATCTCAAGCCCGCCCTCGAGGCGGGGAAGACAGTGGAGAGCATGCAGCGCCAAAAGGATCGTATTTCGTACGCATGGCTGGATGCCTATCAAGTCGACCTGACGCAGGTCACGCAAGGCATGAGCAAAAACCACGAGCTCGAGCTGGAACTGGATTCCAAGATGCTCCTAAGCCATGCAGACAAGGCGAGGCGCAAGGAGCCAAACCAGTTCGAGAGCTTAATCACTGGCATGATGAACAATCTGCGAGTTTTGTCACGCGAGATGACACCTTCGGCTCCTGTTGCTTAGGGCTGGTGACTGGAGGATGGCCTATATGGAATAGGTGGAGTTTAAAACTTCATCTACTACGATACCGGGTACTTATCACTTAATGACGCTCAGTAAAGGGGAGGCGAAACAGCATAGACCGACCGGAGTTATTCCTTTTGAACAAAGATACCCCATTTGCTCTGAATGTAGACTTGGAGAAGAGGATGTGTAAATTGTGACTCTGATTGTGTTTCATGTACGAGATTTATCACGTTTCTAATGTCTAGGAAAGCGTTGATGAGGCATGGACAGAGTATGACTTGTGCAAAATGATGCGATACCTGGCCAATCACTATGTGCATGGTGGAAAGTCGATATGTGTCCACCATAGCAACTACGTGTGCCCTCACCGGTATAGAGTATCATGAGAAGTAAAGGATCATGAACAAATAGGTGGCGAAGATGACGAGCCTATTCCATGCATGGCGCGGGCACGAAATGCAACAGTGAAGCTTTACCCGCAAGATGGCGGTGGTGAGGCAACAGCGATTATGTCATGCCCCTAGTGGGCCAGGATCGCCGCACCCGAGACTCTCACGAGCGAGCTCTGTTTGGGAACATCTCGTACACGATCCCCCCCAGCCCCAACACCACGGCGCCACGCCATCTCCATCAACCACGCACCTTCCCCTTCCCGTCCCTCCTTCTCGGCGGCCATCGCTACAGTCTCTGGCTTACCACACCTTGAGCTATTCCTTGGACGCAGCACGATCGCAGCCGTCCAACACTCCAGCTCCACACCCTTCCACCACCTTCCCCAACAGCTCTCTTACGCTGCACAGTCGCAGAACTCGCGCTCGACTACGCCCACACCAAACACTGCCCCGGACAAGACCATCACCACCATGGTCGGCCTCACGTCTGCCGCCGGCGTTGTTGGCTTTCTCTCCGAGCCTGACCCGGCCTTGCGCTCATTCGCCCTCCAGCGTCTGAACGAGGAGATTGACCTGCTGTGGCCCGAAGTCGCAGGGTCAGTCAGTCAGATGTAAGTGATACAACACCAATGGGCGCGACGCTTGAGGGTCCACTAGGCTTGAGATCCAGCTGCTGACATGGGGTTGCGTCAAAGTGAGGCTCTGTATGAAGACGAATCGTTCCCACAGCGAGAACTTGCCGCCCTCGTTGCGGCCAAGGTCTATTACCAGCTGCAAGAGTATAATGAGAGTATGGTGTTTGCACTGGGTGCGGGCAAGCTCTTTGACATCCACAAGGCCGCTGAGTTTGAGGAGACGATACTAGGTAAGATACAACCAACACTTGAGATAGACTCTCGTCGCTTGCCATTGGTGGGCTTCAGTCTACAAATGAATCCTCTCTATGATTGTGTTGAATCATTTACTAACTCTCCTTCTCCCAGCCAAGTGCCTAGATACCTACATCGCTTTGTCCGTCATGCACAACCCCCCAACACCAGTCAGCAAAGCAAACCAGGTCCCGCCACAGCTCAGCACTTCGTTTCCCGTCAACTCGGCAGGAGCCGCCAGCACATCAGCCAGTCTCGCGTCACCGATAACGCCCTTCTCCCAGTCCGCGCTGCCGTCAAAGTCGCTCTTGTCTCGTGAGGACTCCTCCACATTCGACCCCACTGTCCCTGGCGGCGGTAATGCCGGAGTTCCTGGAGCGCACCCGACTCCCATGGTCCTTCAAAGGAACGTCCAGAAGAGCCTGCAGGGCACCGTACGGCGGATATTCGAGAGCTGCTATGAGAGCGGGAATTACAAGCAGGTAGTCGGAATCGCGATTGAAGCGCGGAATCTAGAAGTTTTGCGTGAGTCCATCGTCCGTGCGAGTCAGGATGAGAAGAAGCAGGGCAAGAAGCCTGTTCAAAATTCGTCTCCTCAGAGCGAGGAGCTGATGGAGTACGTCCTTGACATCTGCATGAATGTCGTGCAGGAGCGGGGGCTGAGGAACGAGGTTTGTCAAGCCTGCACCAACTCCGAGCGCAGCTTGAATATAGGCTAATCAACTTCAGATTCTCCGAATGATTCTCGATCTTCTGAACGATGACGAACTTCCCAACCCCGACTACTTCTCGATTGCCAAATGTGTGGTCTATCTGAATCAACATGCGCTTGCCTCAAAGCTCATCCTGGATCTCATACAACGAGGCGACGACAAGTCGCGCGCAATTGCATACCAGATTTCGTTTGATCTTTATGAGAATGGCACACAAGAGTTTCTTGCAAAAGTCATGGAAGAACTCCCTGCGGATGAGAAGGACAAGTCGAAAACGTCAGCCAACGAGGGTGATGCGCAGAAGGCTCACGCACGGGAGTCAGACTCATTACTTGCAGACGTCGACACAAGCAATGTATCGACCGCAGTATCGCGTACAAAGGATCAGCAACCAACTGAGGCTCAAGCGAAGGCATTCAGCTCGGTGCGCCATATTTTACGAGGCACCAAGAGCATTGAACTCAACCTGGAATTCCTGTACAGGAACAATCACACCGACAAGGCCGTTTTGAACAAGGTTCGTGACAGTCTGGAAGCCAGGAATTCAATCTTCCACTCGAGTGTAACATTTGCCAATGCTTTCATGAACGCTGGTACTACGAACGACACTTTCTTCCGAGAGAACTTGGACTGGCTTGGCAAGGCTGTGAACTGGTCCAAGTTCACTGCGACTGCTGCGCTAGGTGTGATCCACCGAGGAAATATCACACAGGGCCAGAAGTTGCTCGAGCCATATCTACCCAAGGATACCGTCTCCGCAGGCTCTCACTACGAACAAGGTGGATCCCTCTACGCCTTGGGCCTCATCTATGCCAATCACGGAAGCAATGTCTTGGACTACCTCCTCAAGCAGTTCCAAAACGCATCCGAGGAGGTGATCCAGCATGGTGGCGCACTCGGTGTTGGTGTTGCCGGGATGGCTACGGGGTCTGAAGAGATCTTTGATGCGTTTAAGAACGTCCTCTACACTGACTCCGCCATTAATGGTGAGGCTGTTGGCTTGTCGATGGGACTGGTCATGCTTGGAACTGGTAACATCAAGGCTCTCGAGGATATGATTCAGTACGCGCATGATACACAGCATGAGAAGATTGTACGTGGTCTTGCCATGGGTATGGCTCTGATCATGTACGCGCGCCAAGAAGCTGCGGATGAGCTGATCAACGGTCTTCTCGACGACGCTGATCCAACTCTGCGTTACGGAGGTATCATGACAATCGCTCTAGCATACTGCGGTACAGGCAGCAACAAAGCCGTCCGGAGGCTACTGCACGTCGCTGTCAGTGACGTGAACGATGACGTTCGACGGGTCGCGGTCATGAGCTTAGGGTTCATCCTCTTCAGAAAACCAGGCAGCGTGCCTCGCATGGTCGAGCTTCTTGCTGAGTCGTACAACCCACATGTACGGTACGGTGCTACAATGGCTCTGGGAATTGCCTGTGCTGGTACCGGTCTGCCCGAGGCGGTGGACCTCTTGGAGCCCATGATGAAGGATTCTACCGACTTTGTCCGCCAGGGAGCGCTGATTGCTCTTTCAATGATCATGGTCCAGCAGAACGAGGCCATGAACCCAAAGGTAGCCTCCATTCGGAAACAGCTTGCCAAGGTTGTCGGTGATCGTCACGAAGATGCTATGGCCAAGTTTGGCGCGGCTTTGGCGCTCGGCATCATCGATGCTGGTGGCCGAAACTGCACAATTGGGCTTCAAACACCCAGTGGCAATCTCAATATGACTGCCATTATTGGTATGGCTGTCTTTACACAATATTGGTACTGGTTCCCTCTTACCCATTTCCTATCTTTGAGCTTCACACCCACTGCCGTCATTGGTCTAGACCAGGAACTGGATATTCCCTCGTTCAAATTCCACAGCAACACTCGGCCCAGCATGTTCGATTATCCGCCAGACGCAGAGGTCAAGACAGAGGAGGCGCCAGAAAAGATCAAGACAGCCGTTCTTTCCACAACCGCTCAAGATAAGCGTCGACGGATGGTCAAGGAGCGACAGCGCCGACGAGAGAGTATGGATGTCGATCAGACTCCAACGACGCCGAAGCCAAGTGCGGATGATGACAAGATGGATCTTGATGAGGAGACGAAGGAGAAGGAGGATGCGGAGAAAACCGAGAGCACGCAAGCAGAGTCTTTGAAGAAGAAGGCAGAAAAAGAGAAGGTCGGCTATGAACTGGAGAACATGTCCCGTGTCCTATTACCTCAAGTGAAGTACATTAGCTTCCCTGGGGAGCGATATGTTCCAGTCAAGAAGGTCAGTACATTCCCTCGTCAGCCTAAGAACATGCAAGCTAACAGACACCAGTCAACCATTGGCGTTATCCTCCTTGTCGACACTAAACCTTCAGAACCAAAGACACTTCTTGAGCTGAAGGTCAAGAAGGCAGCGCCTGCACCAGCGCCTGGTGCGGCCGGCTCATCAGGCCGAAACGCACGAGAAGGTGGCTCTGCGACGACAGCCGGTGTCATCAGTGACAACATGGTGGATGAAGGCGAGGAAGAGGCATCAGTGCCAGGCGAGTTTGAATACGAGTCCGAAACTAATCCAGACGACGACTAGGCGAACGTGGTTTTGAATCCTTATTCGGATCCAGAATCTAGTTCAGACGTGGAGGACTATTACAACGTGTAATACTAGTCACTTGTGTTTTGAGGGCAAGTAGGAGGGCGCAAAGTTTTGGCATTAACATATCCATGGGCCGGGGAGGCTTGTAGTGTGCCACCTTTCCCAGCTGCCTCTTGAAATAGACTTGTGCATGCATGTATGATAGGTCAGAGGACGTCTATTCTTTGGACGTGTAATTCCTTGGTGATTTTTGCACTGTTGCGACATCGTGTACGTGACGGTGGGGAGTATCCGTATCATCACTGCCTTATCTATCAATCCATACACATACATGCACTCACTCACTCACTCTACCTCACAACCCACCCTTCCCTCCCAGCCCATATCTTTCCACAACACCCTATCTACCTCTACCCGCTCCACACCGCCGGCCCCGGCGGCGTATAACTCGTCGGCACCGGATAATAAATATTCACCAAGATTCCAGGATCGCTCGCCTCATACGCGCCGGGAAAAGCAACCATTTGGTCTGGCGGCGGCAACTGCCCACCACCACTACCGTTCTGCACCGTCAACTGCGCACACGAAATGTAGAATTGGGCGCCGCCGCGGCTGGAGGCGCTGTGTAGGGCTATGTGCTCGATGCGCAGGAGGTAGTCGCCCGAGGGGAGGGAGGCGGGGAGTGAGATTGTGAGTTGGGATTTTCCTGGTTGGGAGGGGTGGGGGTTAGAAGCGTGGTTTCTGTGGTAGTGTAGGGGTTTGGGAGAAGTTGGTGTTGCAAAGGGTATGACGTTTACACCTTGGAGATACGAGAATTCCAAACGGGCAAAGAAACGAAGAGGACATGGGTGAGTGCAACAGAGGCAGAAAATTTTAAAATAAATAAATAAGAAAAACGAGACAAATCTCACAAACATACCACTACTAGCAAACGCCATCCCCCCACCCGGACTAAACGTCGCACCCTGACTGTACACCTTAAACCACACCTTGCCGCTCCCATCAAACGTCGCCGCCGTCTGGCCCTCCGGCGCTTTAGCCATGTAAAACTGCAAGGGCCCCGGGTGCGAAATGGAACTCGCGGCCGTGAAGCCGACGTCATCGCCCGCACTGACGTTGTAGGTTTTCGAGGGTGTGCCGGGGGAGAGCTCGTAGCAGCGGATAGAAGGAGACGAGATGTCTGTTATAGGGCCTGTTCGGGGTGGGGTGGGGAACTGTCAGAAGGGGGGTAAGACAGGTGAGAGGGGAAGGGGAAGAAGCGGAACGGACCGTTGGATTGATAGTTTGCAGTCTTGCGGACATAGGTCCAGAGACCGGTTTTTTTGCCATTGACGATGAGTTCGGGGAAGGTGTAGTGTGCTGTTACTGTGGTGGCTGCGAGGAAGGAGAGGAGGAGGTGGTGGGGTTTCATGGCGAGATGAAGAATGAAGGCGTTAACGATGTTCGTGTATGGTACGGTGCGGTGAGAAAGTGAATTGATTGTCTCTTGTAGGTTTGGTAGCCGTTGGCTTGTGATAGGGAAATTCCATGTGTGCTTTTATATAGGTATGCATGTACTGTCCATGGTTATCAAACATTTCCGCATGGTTGACCGTCATGTGCATGTAGGCGACTTTCTCTGTCGAGACCGTACTATGCACATCCAAAGCTTCATTTAGCTTGCCGAATGCAGACAGCGGGCAATGGGGCAAGCGAGTTCACATCCGGCGGATAAAGCCGTGCCGAGCATGGGGAGATGGCAATACCGAATCTAGTCGTATTAAACTCTGGGAAAACAGATTTCATTTTAGATGAGAAGGGTGGCTAATGAGGGCTGTGATTGGTAGTACAACGCCCCAAAGTCTTTGGTGCTTGAAACGCGTGACCCGAGTAATAGATTGCTTGGAGGTCTCTGGTGACGGTGGGTAGATTGGACTGGGACTTGTTATACATGTGTCAGTGCGAATGAGGGACATCTTGATGGCTGGAAACGGCACATGTCCTAGTGCGTGGCAGATGGCTTTACAAATTGCTTTGAGATTTGAATGCGTTGAAGCATGACGTAGACATGCAGTATTGATGACTGGGAAGGAGAAATGATAATGCCATGGAGCCTGGAAGTTTGTTTCCGTGGTACAGCCTGATGCAACCTTGTAGATCCCCATGTTGATGACATATAATACAGTAAGGGTATTCAGAAATGTGGCTGTGATGGCGGCTCAGTAGGTCGGTCGGTACATGACATCGATCGAATATGCCATCGTCTAGCTCCTATCCGAGGCGACCAAGGCATGATCCTGCTCTTCTTCGTTTTCTCCTACCTCATAGTAGAGTTCATTCTCGTCAATATCGGCGTAGCCAAATACGCTTCGATATAGCCGCTCTCCAAGGCCTTTCTTCTGTGCCATGGCAAGTACCATGACAATGGGAAGATGCCACACACTGGCCCAAAAAAGGCCTCTTGCTGTACCCTTTTGACCTTCTGCCCTCCAGAATTCCCATGCCTTCAGCGCCATCCAGCCGTTGATGGCACTACTAGTAGCTATGAAGCTGTAGTCTGTGACACCGCAATATGACAGGCCAATGCAAACAGGGAACATGAGCACCGCATATCGCAACGCAACCCGTCCGTTCTGTGCAGGGTTGACCCAGGCCAGCATACGGTAGCCAGCTTTCTTGTATTCCTCACGAATGGCCCAGCTCAACGAGTTGAAGTGTGGGAATTGCCAGGCAAATAGAAGTGCAGCACACAGCCAGCCGCCAGCCGAGTCCTCTCCAAATAGAAGCTCCTCCCATGTGCCATCGTGTGCGTATTGACTTGCTGCAGCTGTCCAACCCATCAGCGGGGGGATGCCACCGACGATGGCACCAACCCATGTATTGAGCACCGACATGCGTTTCATGGGCGTATACACTCCTGCATAGAGAAGGATGTTGGCTGCGCCAAGAAAGGCCGTGGTCGGATTCACGCCGTAGTAAAGCGCACCGACACCCACGATTCCACATGCGACTGCGAAGACGGTGGCGCCTCGCATGCTGATGAGCTTTCGTACGAGTGGGCGATTCCGCGTCCTGCTCATCTGCGCATCAAACTTGGGTTCCATAAGCATGTTGAAGGCATTCGCAGACGCAGAGCACAACGCGGTGCCAGAGGTCAAGAAGAGCAGCGTGAGTGTAGAGAGTGATGGTGTCTCTGTGACAGAAGGTGCAAGCAGGCCGGGTACAGGATAGAGCGAGTATGCAGCGGTAGCGGTCAGGACGACGAGAAAGGAGAGGCGGGGCTTCGAGAGCGAGAGGTAGGTAGTGAAGATGCGCTTCACAGAGCGTTGAGGCAGGCTGGAAGATATGGCTGCCAGCTTTGACGATGCATCTAGAGCAATGGGATATGCTGCTTCTGCGTCGTCCCCCCTCGTCCGCTGCTCCTTTGCCTTCTTCCTCCGTCTATGTGGCAGCTCCTCGGCCTGCTGTGTCGAGGGCGCGACATCATTGTGCTTCGTTGTCTGCTGTACCGCCTCAGGTCTGATCGACGCATTTGGGCCGCACAGTCCTTGGCCTGAAGTCCAAAATTTCGCCTTGAGTATCGGATTGGCCCTGAAATAGTCCTTGCTGAATGCGTTCCGGCTCTTCCTTAACGCTACCACCACGTCCTGTCTATGTGACGAAATTCTGGAAAACGGCTGGCGCGACGGCACGTGTAATGGGGAAAGCTTCCGCCAGCATCGCAGACAGACTAGGTTGGCATCCCGAACTGCAATTGGCCGTGGCAGGAGCGGTTGAAAGCTCATGGCGGCATGGGCGTAGGCTTCATGGTTACGTCGTTGATGAGGAGATAACTTTTGGGAAGCCGTCTGCCAAGCCTAGTCGGACCGACCGGTCGCGGCTCACTGACAATGAACTACATCCCTATGGTCAGTAATCATTGAGGACGAAAAGATAGTTTGCACCATCACCATCCATAAAAAAAGTGGCCTTTGACGATGTTTTCGAGTCGCTACATTGATACTACAAGATGCACCTTCACAGTGTCGACTGAGGACTCTCCTCATCTACGTCACTGGTACGCCTTGCGATCAATAGAATTGTTGCAGAACCATCCATGGATCCCGCATATCAGCATTGATTATACTGATTTCTGTCATTCCCTGCCCTGAGTTGACCATGAGAAATTTGAAGCCTGTCAGCCGAAGTGGAGGCGCAGTTCAAGCCCATAACGCTTCCTCGCTGACAGTGCATTGTGTAGCCCCCTTGCTCTCATCTGTATGGGCCATTCCGAACCATACAGCCTGTTTGCAGTGTACGAGCGAAACAGCCTGCCCAGGTTCTGCGGCTTGTGAATCGCAGTAGCGTATTTGCTGCGACCATGTACGCATCTCATGCATGAACCGCCCCCAAACATTGCTTCACCGGTGGCCATGTAGCGAGAAGGCTTCTACAACGGTTTAACATGCTCATGCCCCGCTTACTCCAAGCTGCAAACACTACCACACGCTTCGTTCTTGTCATCATGGCGGAAGTAGTTGGCCTCGTCGCATCTGCTCTCACCATCGCAGGCGTTGCTGCAAGCGCAATCCAGTTGTCACAAGCCTTGTTTTCGGTTGCACATGCGCTCAAGAACGCACCGTATGAGATAGCCGAGATTGCAGAGGAGATACGTTGTCTGTCCAGCAGTCTATTGACACTCGACGAGTTTATTATTGCTCATCAAAGCCTCTTCAAACCTGCCTTGTTCGAGAACACCAAGTCCATTCTTTCACGTTATGTGCAGGTCGACAAGGAGTTGAGGAAACTTACTGATGATCCAAAGAAGCTAGCAAGGTTGGCATGGTATCTCAGGCGTCACAAGGCAAAAAGCCTCCTGAAAAAGGTAGAAGGTATCAAGACAGCTTTGTCTTTGGAACTGAGCATTGTGCGACTAGCACAAGAGGAAATAAGTCGCCCGTAAGCCTGTCGTCTCCATACTCAACGAGTGCTAACACTCCCAGGCGAGTGACCGACTCAGGGGAAAACCAGGCTCTACCAACGCCCAATCGTTTCCGCAGACTTGTGGAAAGCGCTGTTCAGGCGAATCGTCAAGTGATTGAAAGCGCGCAAAATAATGAAACCAAGGGAAAGAGTTGGGAAGAGGAACGTGTTGGCAAAATTTTAGGCAAGAAACTGGACTTGTGGAGTGAAGGTTCTTTCGACATAGCAACTTGGTTATATCACCTTGTTTTCAGTCCTTGTGTTCCTTCCTGTACTTCGCGCTCCAAAGAATCACCATATCAAGCATCAGTCTCCGAAGAGAACGATGATAACACTATCGAACTTCCACGTCCAGACTCTGAATGGGAAACCGAAGATGTTACATCGGACATGGGAAATATGGCAATGATCATTTGGGGAAGACAGACAGAGCCTAGCCTGGTGGTTGACAGATTGCTGTTCGATTGGACAGTCTTGACAGCGGAACAAATACTGCTGAGCTCCACACCACATGATGGAGACGGCTGGCTGGAATCGTTCGACAAAGTGATAGTCGAGGCGAAGGAACTGGAGGACGAAGAAGATGGAGAGGCTGGAGAAGTTATGACGCCTAAGGCCAGTCATTGGATGTCTGAGATTAGATACAAAGCCCTGAACAACTCGAAGAAGAATTCCGATGATGGACATTCTAGTCCTAGTGTACGCCATACAGATACGCTTTCCTCGATGGGCGAAAGATCCCAGCCAAGTTCCCTGACAATCAAGTTCAATCGACCTCTGGAGCGCTCAGATACCAACGACTCACTTGACCATAGGAGTAGCATTGTAAGCGACAACAACAGCCGGTCCACACATAGCCAGGATGATTTAATTGTCGACGAAGTCGAATCTCGCCCGTCGGCGCCGATACGCCAGGTGCATTTTAAGGATAAAGATCATCCTGTGAGGGATCCTCCGTTCGCAAATAAGTCAAAGCGTGCCAAGCGAGTTGGCCAGAGAAGGGAAATCTGGACGAAATCTCAGAGCGATAATACTAGCTCCCATGCAGCCTGGGACAACGATTTCTTCGCTTATGGCAGTCAATTTGCCTCCGCTGATATCGGCCACAATACGTTCGTACCGAATTATGATCATTTCAGTCATCTTCCTCCCAGTTCATATAGCTCATTTTCACCTCCGTCTCAGGGAGATGGAGGATTGGCCCCGATGCCACATCAAAGCTCTCCTCCCTTCACGTACTTACCAGCTGCAACGCCAGGCAGTTCTTGGGTGCCCATGCCACCTAGTTCGAGTTCAGCCGATGTATCATCGAACATCCACTCACAGCCGCAGATCGATAAGTCCACCGCTAAGAGAGAAGAAGCCATAATATCTGCAATTGAGAAGCTCCTTGCAAAGCCAATGGGTGAAAGTCGACCCGATGCGGAGAATTCTCGTTTATTGGACCTGGAAAAACTGATTAGGCAACAGGCCTCTCAGACAGCGATTGAAGAGGCACAAACGAAGGCAGCCATGGAAGTAGAGTTTAAGCACCTGCAGACCGCCCGTGAGAATGATTACGAAAAGATCACAAAACTAGAAGAACTAATCAAAGTACAACGTGACGAGCAGCGACTTCTCGAGATGACCTGGAAAGCCGAACGGTCAGCCTTGAATGAACGGTCACTTTTAAACGAAATCGCAGCCAAACAGTTCGAAGCAGCTAAAGAGGTAGCAGAGAAAGAGGTAGCGGCAGCTTATGCTATCAAGAAATCTGCAAAGAAAACGTTGGAGTTTGCTAAAGCTCAGGCTGAAAAAAGAGTCGAGGAGCAACGACAGGTTCAAGTTAAAAAGCATCAGAAGAGAATCGAAGAAGACCAGAGACGGCTTTTGAATCGGATGGAAGACCTCGTGCAAGCACGCAATGGCACTGCTGAATGCCACCAAGGATTCAAAGGACCTTATCCGGTGCGTCGCACTTGCATTAGGGATGGCGATCGCAGCGTCGAAGTCGCTGAGTTCACCACTGAGAATCTAGAGCCACTCGCTAACAGCTCGTTCGCTCCATTCTCTTTTGGTCAAGATGAAGCATTCATTCAGCATTTTGTTGGCAACTCAAGGGAAAGTCCATCTCATGAAAGGCGTTTCGTGAGTTCGGGGACTCCCTTATATTCTATAGACCCATCTCCAAATCGCTCGAGTGCTATGGGTCCGTCGAATATTGGGCAGAGCGTGATCGTCCTCCCGTCAAGAATTGATCGTACTTCAACGAAGACATTGCAGTTGCAAGCTACTCTCGCTGAAACTGGAATCCAAACTGTCTTTGAGGAGTTGGCAGACACCAGTCGTAGCGACGTGGTACCATATCAAAGGGGATATAATATGGCTACCCGCAGTACAATATTCTGGGAGGCCCCGATGTTAGGCTTAAGAAGCGAGCTCCTGTCAACAATGAAGCAGGCGGGATGGAAACCGTTCTACGTTCGCGCTTCCGGTATAACCCCACTGGCATCCACCCTGCTTTAACTCCACTGACTCGTTACAGAGACGGGCCAGACATTCTTTTATGGGGAGCAGCCGATCCACACATATATTTTTGAACCCCATCACAAGCCGCAGCTGAAAGTTCCCACAAATGCTTCATCAACCCACTCCGTTGTCATTAATACAGCTTTCATCGAGCATACTGCTCTGATGGAGCTAGGCCATCGATCCAAATCTGATGACAGTGGCGTCTATATTCTTGACGGTCGTTTGACACACGTGAGTACATAGAGTTCGAATAACTCAGAGCGAAGCTCAAAGTGAACAGGGCGACATCGAAGATCTAATTGAGCGATCTTTCTCTATACGAGAAACTCGTTATCGAAAGGAGTACAGAAGGATGGCCTGGCAACAAGAAGTTGAAGACGATAGTGATACCGCTACCGAGGGTGGCTTCACTGGGTCACTACATTCGCCAAGTTCAGATTACAGCGGGGACAGGAAGGCGGTCTATTCTGAGCCCCAATTCCAGCCCCAAACCTCAACTCAAACTTCACTCCCAGGTTCTCGGGCAGGCGAGGTCAGACCATTCCATCCGTCTACACTTGAAGATGATGATGTTCCATCCTTACGATCAGGAAGAAGCCCGTCGTTAACCTCACCCTCCATCGGCTCATGGTCTTCCAAATCCAGTGGTAACCCATACCGCCAGTATATGTCAGCGACCAAAGTGAATAATTTAAATGTGCGCAACCCGATTGATGAATTCCAAAAATCCTGGGATGATCGTATGTTGCACTAACTCGATCCACGACCTCATAACCAGAATGTTTCTCATTTGCAGAATTGCGACCTATCGATTATAGTTCACAGAAGAGGTCAAGATGCGAACATGCTGGGCCAATTACAAGTCACCCTAAATGATTTGAACATCGTTGTTTAAATTCTCGTCTGTTCGACATGGACTATATTGTGGAGATATACGTAACCTGACGTTATTAATCATATGCAGTACTACAAACCGCCAGTTCGTCCTTTTGTTTCATGTAAAGCATTTGCAATGCTCTCAATTTCAGAATATATATCTTAAGGTTGAGGCTATTCTCTGTGACTGGCCCGCGAGAGTCTTGAGCGCAGTTGGCAGGTACGTCAGCAATCACTATTGCATTCTTTACACATGAGATGCGACAGCTCTGCGAACGCTACGTACACTCTCAGGGACCAATATAGTTAAAGCAAAAAGGAAAGCACGAGTTTCTTATGTCCGCTGGAGCAGATATTCATCTAAGAAGAAATTACAGCCATTACTACGCGCAAGAGGGTGAATGTAATGATCCTATGGCGGACCATGAAATAGTTCAGTGAAATGATTGCGTTCACGGAAGGGACGCATGATGTCACGGGACAATCATGCCCTCGCATATGTTTACATTACTAAATAAAAGTCTATCTGGTAATTTCAGAACAAGATGGTTCCTCCGCTGTACCACACGAAGAAATCGTGACTCTTCTACACCGACTCCCACTATCGGCATCAAAAAAGAGAGTGGCGGAAAGAAAAGCGGCTCAGTCTAAATGCGAAACCCATGGCACAAAAACTACTGGTGCACATTAGCTTGAGAACCAAATATTTGCCAGTCTCACGACCCAAACACAATCTTACTCCTCCTCCACCCACTCAAAGGTACAAGCTTCTCAGTCTTCATGCTCTTCACTTTATGATACCTCCTCCAAATATTCTTCTCTGTTGCCTTCCCTTCAGTTTCATCGCCCCAGAAGTCACTCTCCCTCCTCCATGCCCTCAAGAGCGATCGCTCCCGCATCTCCCAGTCCTCATCAACCCACTTCTCCTTGCGATGCACAACATCTGTTGGCCAGATATCCGTGGTCTCATGGTGATGAAGATGAAGATGTTGAGGGTGGTAGTCTTGCGAAGGTTTTGGCCGCGTAAACTCAGCTTGGATCTTAAGTTGGAAGTCCCGCCCATCAGATTCGTAGACATCGTCCTTGTCTTTGGAGTAGTGGCGGTGGGTGGGAGTAGTAGTAGTGTACTTGTATACAGTGCGCCGCTCATAGCTTCTACGACGGGCGTCTTCGTCGTCGGATTGTGCGTCGCGGCGGTCGATGTCGGACCAGATGTTGAAGCGCTCGAGCTGGGAGGGTTGGTTACGGAGGGCAAGGGTGTGGGAGGTACGCTGGAGTTTCTGGGAAGACGAGTAGGGGTAGTCGTCATGGCCGTCATCTGAATCATCCGATAGTGTGATTCTGCGTGAGTATTTGGAGTCTTTGTGGTGGACAGGCTGCAAGTGATGTGTATCGTAGTCAGGAGTGTGCTCACGAGTGTGAGTGTGAGTCAGGTGGAAGTGAGACATGGTGGATGGCCTTGAAAGGCAGTGATCAGTGTCTTTGGATAGAACGTATTTGGCTGGTGACGAGAGAGATTGGGAAGATATGATATAGAGAGCTGTAAAACGGAATGATGTTTGTAACAGTCTGACGATGTTATTTATACTTTGTGTATGGAAGGGAGGAAAAGGCAAACACCGGACTCATCATCCTGAAGACTCTGTATATGCAAGAGTCACAGATGTTTCACCTGCCTACCATACACCAGGATCACGGACTTTTCTGACCGTTCTTTTCCCAGCATGGCCCAGAGAACCCATGGTCAAGCCATGATGGCACCGCCACGGAACTGTGGCTCAGCTACCATAACGCACATTCTGATTGGCTGCAGCGGCTCCCGCGTGCGTGAACTATCCTCCACAGACGAACACATGCTGGACGCCTGGCTGCTGGAACTGAGGCTTAAACATAATTTCCTTTCCATCGTGACGTATACGCTTCCTCCAACCCGCGGTGTGCGTTTTTCGTCAAAGCGTTATGCAAACTGAAGTCCCCTGCCGCCACTACAAGGCAGTCAAGCTTCACGGGTACAAGTGAGGAGTGGGGGCCAGATTTCTGACCCAGCAAGTATTTGGGAAATTATTTGTTGGCGAAAAGGATCCCTGGAGTTTTTTACGCCCTTGAGACCAAGTGCATGGGTACCCAGGGCGTCGGTGAGAGCAGAGCCGCATTGTCCGTCAGCAGGACCCTCTGTATTGCTTTGTCACAAGTGTTTTCCATGGCCCTGTCTGCTTACGGTTATGCGATGTGTTGGAGTCCTTCAACCGGTCAGTTGGACAGATGAGTTGTTAATCAGGTCAGGACATCGTTACGCAAACTTATGATTCACCCAGTTTGTGCAAACACGTGCCCTGATGACACGAGGATTCGCGAATCTGTGTGTATTCGGGGGTTATTTGTATATCATATTGGGCGTCCGTCTCGTGGAGGCTGTGATTTACTTCAGCGCAAACGCGCATATTCGAGCTTGCTGAAAGCGTTGACTATTATTAGGCTCAGGTCGTATAAGCTGGACCTCTGGTGGTGATTGCTATCTGAAACGTCACCCTTAACGCGAAGTTGGATGCCTAGTTACAAGGAATCGGTGGCGGCAGATCTTAGCCTCCTTGCGTACACATCTACTGTCATCGCGGTGAAGTCTCTGTTGTAGACAGCTGGCTAGGTTCGAAATATTTATCACCAGAGTAAAGCGCTTCACTACACGATCTCTCATCTTCATCACTGACATATGGTATGGCACTGGCCAGCTCTTCAAGGTACATCGATGGGAATCCAGGCCAACCATATTTGCCCCGTCGAGGTTGGCCTGTTTCCCACTTAGCTCTCACCACATCTATGGATGCTGTTGCTCAAAAGGCTTTTCTAGGCGTTGAAAATACGACTAAGCGGGCATAGGCAGGCGGAGTACGCCAGGACAAGTAAATCTTTCTCATATGTCAATGTATGCTATTTTCAGAAACTTTTGAAGTCCCAGGGCTCTTTTGTGGTGCTTACATTGGATGTGAACGTTGCAATGCCAATCATGGACATAGTCCTTGTTGCGATGATCAGATTCGGGTGTCATAAAACCATCCAGTTCTGTCTCGCAAACTCTTAGAAATTGTCATGGTGTTTTGCTTAGATGCTGCGTGACTCAGAATTTGTTTGCCTTGTAGGTGACTTGACCCTACGCATACTGACTGATGAAGTGGTTGGTACTACGTAGTAAAGCAAGATGTGAGTGACACCTCAATGTTCGTGCCCGTACCATGCATCCGCACTGACGACGGCATTGCATATGGTAACCAATAATGACGCTTTGACAAGAAATGACCGGTGAGCGAAAATGCCGGCTTAAAGTCTGGCAACTACCGGTATATGGGGTTGAAGGATCTTAGTGAATGGATGAGCAGGTGACGTGGTGGTCCATGGAGCAAGATGGCGAGATACCCACTAGTGTATGGTACTTTATTTCTAATCATTCGTAGCTCCTGCTCACCTTAAGTAAATAATTAAAAAGTGAATTTGATGCTGCATGATACATCTATCTCACCTGTTTGCTTCGTAAAATGCCCGTACCCATGAATCGCGCATGACACGCGTGATCACATGCTCTACGCTAACCTTGGGTACCGTAACCGCTTGCCTACATCTGCGGCCCGGACCGACTCTCCAATCATACCAATCAATTCTCAGTTAGTTCCCCTCCTCTACTCTTACACCGCCAATGCAATAATTCTCTATAATCCCCTCCTCTCTTCTCTCACCGCCAATATACCAAACTCCTATAACTCACCATCCTCTACTCTCCTTTTGCCAAACCGGCACACCCCAATCCTACCATAACCCCACCCACCGACGACTCAAACACATCCCAAAGAAACGTCACCAAGAACTCCATTCACAAACGTCACCATTAACAATGCCGTCCAACGACCCCAAGTCCATCACAAGCACCAATGCAGCAGCCAAGGACGCTGGCTTCCCTAGCTTTTACCATTTCCTGCTCTCGTACGGTCTGCACGTGCACAATTCAGAAGATATTGAGGAGGGCAAGGCGATTTTGAGGGGAATGGGGTATGGTGTGTAGTGTAAGGATATTTCGAAATCATGTGTGAAGCGCGTGAAACGAATGCGAGAGGTGGAAAGTGGGATATATCATGCCATCTTCTTTTGGCTACCTATTCCTACATTTTGTTTTGTTGTACATAGTATACTGTCTCATCACATACCCCAGTCGAGGCTCGCTGCTAGGACATGATCAAGCGCTGCAAAACCTCGCAGCGAATACGATGTTGACATACCCTTCACTATTCCTTCACGCTCAAATGATAAGTATCCCATTGCTCCCTGGTGACGCAATTCGGGCTCTTAACCAACAAATCCTCCCCCTTGCCACTTTTCGGAAAAACAATCACATCTCTCACGCTCTCCGTGCCCGTCATTACCGCCATTAGTCGATCCCAACCCAGCGCAATTCCCGCATGGGGCGGACAACCACTACGCAGTACGTCAAGAAGATGTCTAAAGTCTTCGATGCGCTCATATTTCATTTTGAGAATGTCACGGAAGATGAATTCTTGCACTGCAGCATTGTGGATACGGCGACTTCCGCCACCGAGTTCAACGCCGTTGAGCACAATGTCGTAATGTGCTGCTTTAGCCTTCTCAGGCGCTGTGAGAAGTAATTCAACGTCGGCGGGTGTCTTGGGTGCTGTGAAAGGGTGGTGTGTGGAGGAGAAGCCTGCAGTGCCGCCCTGACCTGGATCGCTGTCGTTGGAGGGCGTAAAGAGGGGAAAGTCTGTTATCCAGAGAAATCGGAAATCGTCTGCTGCTGGTGCTTCAATCAGGTCTTGTGATATGGCGGCTTTGTAGAGTGCGAGGCGTAGATTGCCTAGGGCTGTGGAGCCGCCTGACAGTGGGGCGTTGGGACGGGCCTGGAGAACGAGAAGTTCACCATTCTCGACGGCGAGGGCTTCGGGGCCCTCCATTACGTATTGATAGCCCAGGGGGCCGAGACCCTGCATAGGCTGGGACAAGTCGCCGATGAAGATTCCAGGTTGGCCATTCGGATTCTCGAGGAAGTTCTTTCCGTCTGGGCTGTCGAGAAAGCTGGAAACGAATTTTCGGGTGGTCTTGGGGTCGGAGGAGACGGGGATCTTGACTGCTTCCACGATTGGATCTTGCAGAGGTGTAATTTTGCCAATGAGATCTGCGGTCAGGTGCTGAGTAATGTTGTGTATCTATGTCTTGTTAGTTTCAGATAGTTATATTGATTTGAGCAACTTGCCTTTGCTTCGTATCGTAAGTCGGGTTTATCAGATCCATACGATGACATTGCTTCCTCATATGTCATGCGCTGGAACTTGGTAGGAATGGATCCAAGATCCATCTTGTCCCAAAGATCGGCTAAGAGCAGCTCGATAGTGTTCATAACGTCTTCTTCGCCAGCAAAGGCCATCTCCATATCAAGCTGCGTATACGTCAGCCATGCATACCTCCACCATTCATATGGAGTCAATTACCTGAGTGAATTCCGGCTGCCTGTCCGCCCTCAAATCTTCATCTCTAAAGCACCTTGCAAATTGAAAGTATTTCGTAATTCCTGACGCCATCAAAATCTGCTTGTACTGCTGCGGGCTTTGCGGCAACGCATACGCCAGACCCTTTTGTCTTGTTGGTACCAAGAACTCTCGGGCCCCTTCAGGCGTCGACTTGAACAGTATGGGCGTTTCCACCTCGACGAGATTGTTTTCGGCCAGAACCTTTCTTGCCGCCCTTCCAGCCCGGTCCCTGAGAAAGATGTTATTGCGCAGCCTGGAATCTGCGCGCAGTTGCAGGTGTCGCTGATCAGGCCCGAAGACGGTTTCCTCTGTGATGATCAAATCTTTGGATACTTCATTTATAGGTTCGACATGTGTCACTGCAATCTCGCGCGTGCCCACTAGTTTCATGCCTTGGTGCGTTGCTTGCTTGGGTGGTTGGCGTTCTTTGAGTATGCCGGTGACAACGACTGGAGTCCAGTTTTTCAAAGATCGTAGGCGCGCGTGTGCCTCCGCCTCTGTAGTACTGGTGCTGGAAACCAATTGTACGCACCATGATAGATTCTCGTTGCGAAGCATAGTGAAAGATAGCTTCTGGCTCACATCACGCCGTGAGCCAAGATATCCTACTAATGTGAACTCTGATCCCAGAGGAATCTTCTCCAAGATTTCAGGAGTCCAAACTCCCCCCTCGTGTGGCCATGATGGCCGTACTAGGTTGTGATTAGTATGGAGATTGGGCAAAGGTAGAAAATCGTAGCATACGAGAGGTTTTGAAATCATCGAGAGTTTTTCTCAATTGCTCATCTGGTTCAATGCCATCACTTCTCACTATTGATTGCGAAAAGCATCGTCCTACACCCTTCTTCCATCCTTCAACTCGAACTTGGACGATCCCAAGCTGGCGTGTCCGGCAGAATCTTGATATCTCCGAGTATGAGCTACGCAAACAAGTGGCCCGACTCGCTACATGCCTCGAAGCATGTCTCAAACTCATATCCTTTCAAGATCTGTAGGCTTCTGATCTTCTGATCCTTTTTACTCAAGGCAGTCGTTGAAAATGGAAATGCAAAACAGTCGATCCAATCGTGGTTGACCCCAACGCCAAGCCCGCACCCTGGTCCAAGCTCATTCGACACACCTCAAAAACTTCGTGCGCCCGTGTCCCACTTCTCTCCTCATCCTTCCAGTTTAACTCACGTAAGTACACCTATGCTTCCACCATTGTCAGTCTTCTCCAATACTAATATCCCATTCCGCAGATGATGAAAGCCTAGCGTGCACCCTAGGAGCAACCCACCCCACTCCGCCTTCGAACTCTCCTTTCACCGGGCTCAAGTGGTTCGCTGGCGGACGGGCGTGTGGTCGCATGACTTCTGCGTTCGGCACACACACCTTGTTACATACTCGGACGCTTTTGACGGCATCTCTGATTTCAAGAGGATAAACTGGACGGTGTTACGTGGGAATTGCGATTGCGATTGCGAATTCCTGGAGGTGCGAACCTGGGACGCGGCGCATGTTACAGGCACCACCGTGCCGTCGGGAAGATAGACGGGGCACATGACCCAAAGAGTGGGAATTGCAGGGCGCGCGCGATATGTCCAGGATGTGTTACGATATGTGAAGACCATCAATACAAGAGAATTTTACGTGTTGTTCGACTACATGCAGGGTGTGATGTTTAGTGCTGTAGATGAAGCCTTTAAGAATTGGAGCTTAGTACTCTTCTCGCCGTCTTTACAATACAAGAGATTGCGAAGGCACTTCCATCTTCCCATCTCTTCTCAAGACCGGCGAGAGAACAACCGCAGTGTCAATCATTCCTTGACCGTTCCTCCATGGAAAAAGGAACGTAAAACATCTCGCAACATAGCCGCACTCATATGCACGCGTGTCTCTTCAAACCTGAGCACCTGTGATGCATCTTTTGCCATAGCCCGCCAGCAACGAGTTACAAGAATTACCTCCAAATCATCCTCACTTTCTCTTTCACCTGAACTGGGGTCTATTTGCAAGCCATGCATCGTGATAATATTAGACTTCCCTGTGGAAACGGATACCATCCCCGCGTAATAGTCTTACAAAAAAGACATCTGGTGATCGATGACTACGCATTCCCCTCCCCTCCCCTCCACCCCTTTAAAAGAAAGCACCTGTTCACTTGGGTCCATGCGCGACCATTCTAGGTGTATATCCACGACGTGCCCCCGGCAACATGAAGAATAAGGAAAAAAGAAATCAGGACCGAAGAAAATGTTCAATAATAGAGCAGGACGCCATGCCACGACTGAAAAGAAAGAGATCATTTTCATCAACTGCCTGGGTTTTTGCTTGACCGGAAAGTTAAGCTCAGAGGCAAGGCAGGCTAGCCAGCTCTTTTCGTGCACTGGACTGGACTCGACTTAGTCCACAACACGCCCACTATTCCATCCCCCTTGATTTTACCCTAGGAAGTTTTGCTGCTGTTGTTGTTGTTGTTGCTGACCAGGTCTTGGGAAGACGCTAGTGGTAGGTACCTGGTCCAGACTAAGTCCACCCAATGTACCCTGCGTCCCTGTGTTCTGCCACCCTTGACCCGTCTGCTGGTTCACAAAAGTACTTTGTCGGAAAGGGTTCGTGCTTCCTGTCGCATGTACAGTCAAACTACCTTGTGGAGAGGTTGCACTCTGTGGTGACGGTTGTCTTGCAAAGGGGTTAGTTCCGGTGGGTGATGGCTGCAAGGGCTGCTGTTGCTGTTGTTGTTGCATGGAGGCAAAAGGTGAAGTTGAACCGGGTGATTGGAGTGGCTGCTGAAAACCGGTTGTTTGTTTTGCGAACGGGTTTGTTGACAAGCGATTCAGAGAAGAGGCGCCCGTTGGATTGTTGAGTAGTTTTGGATCCCCCATACCGGTTGCACTAGGTAGCATTGACTGCCTGAATGGGTTGGTGGACGTGGGCTGCGGTTGCAATGGCTCAGCGATTGTGGGAACTTGCATTTGCGGCTGCTGCTGTTGTTGCTGTTGTTGCATGGAGAAGTCTGGCATGCCGTTTTGCGGCGTTGTATTCTGTGGGCTGAAAGGCTGAGGCGTGTAACCACCAAAACCTGCACCAGTAAATTGCGGCTGTATTTGCGGGGGTTGCGATTGCATCTGCGGTTGTTGCATTTGTTGCGGCATTCCGAAAGGATTGGTCCCTTGCCCGTTTTGTATTGGGAGACCCGTTTGTTGGGGTGTTTGAAAGTTAGGCTGTTGTTGAAAGCCTGTCTGCTGTGGAAACTGCTGCTGCTGCATCATCATCGGTTGAGTAGACATAGTTTGTTGATTGTCCTCTAATGATGCGAATAGATCAATCAGAGGTGCGCTCTGGACGGCTTTCGATGCCGCTGCTGGTGGCTGACTATTGGTAGCAGCAGATGTTGCCAGCCTTGATTCTTGGGGTTTGCTCGCCCCATTCGTTGATAGCTTGCCCCCATTCTTCTTTGCCTCCTTCTCAGCCAAGTATTGCCGCCGGTTGATCTCGAAGTCCTTGTCGGCAAGGTACTCTTCCAGTGAGTTAGCTAGGCTGGTTGGCGCGTGCTTGATCTTGGGAATCTCCAGTCTCGTCGAGTGCTCGTGTGATCGTGCCAGGCTAAGGTATTGAACAACAGCCTCGGTCTGTTTGACGAAAGTGCGGTAGATGGCGAGCGCTCGGGTCGCATCAGGTTTTGACATTTCGAAATAGTGTTCTAGCGTCATCAGAAGAGAGCCTTGGTCCAACATGTATTCCCAACTCACCGAGGATATTGATGGTGCCCTCGTTCATGACATGGAAAAGCACCAAGAGATCCATGGTAAGTAATCGAAATGCGGTCAACGTTATCTCATTTTCCGGCTCGTCGTCGAATGGCTGTGTGCACCATGATCAGCCCGTTTTTTGTGTGACCCTGCTGACCAACGTACCTGACACTTCAACAACGCTCGGATCTGATCTTGCACGCTCTCCGCCTCACGCAGGAGGCCCTTTTCCACGCTCAGTCGCTTTAGACGTCCTTCTCCGCCGCGAACGTAGTCGACCTTGGTTGCTCCGTATTCAATGGCTCGTCTGAGGAGGTACTCCGAGTACGTCCGTATGTTGTGGCCTTGGGTTTGAACTATTGCGCGGAAGCGTGAGTGTCTGCGTATTCCAAACCATCTCCACCCGGAAGCCATTCCCTCCGTGACATCCGAAGAAGTAACATGGCAAGCATACCTTCGGTGAAATGATTAATGGCCAACTTCCGGTGCGGATTCTGCGCCAGATATTTGAGCGTGACCTCGGGCTCGCCTTCTCGAATCATCATGTGGACGATAATCAAGCTCTTGAAGACAATGGTCCATGTCGAGTCGCGCAGGCGGTTGGTGAGGGCGCGAAAGATTTCGGCGACGCCTGCTTCCCCTGCGTGTGTCGCGACGAGGATGTGCTCGACATATTTGGATTTGGGCGCGGCGAGCTGTGCAAACAGGTTAGCAGGTCGTAATTGAGATTTGAGTTGTGTTGTGGAGGGCAGGATTAGGATGCAGACGGGCTGTCGAGGGCGGCCAGAGAGGCGCATGGAGAGAAGTGGGTTACCTTGATCTTGGTCCCGCCCTTGACACTCTTCTCGAATGAACTCGCCATGACACGTACTTGCGGCGGTACCGTGCAGCTGGCTGGGAGTAGTTCGTGGGCCTGTGGCCTGCCTTTTGGGCGTCGTTGGGTTCGCAGGCGCGCGGGTTTGCGTCGTCGGCCAGTCTTAACGCGGCATTCCGGCAGCCGTGGCCGTGGGAGGGGAGGGGGGAGGGGAGGAGGGGAACGGATGTCAGGGACTCAGGGAGAAGTAGAGAGATGGGGGCAGCGATAGCAATGGCAATAGCGTGCAGAAAGCTGGAGGGCGCACAAGAACCAGCACCGAGGCGGGAGTTGTTTGTGGTTGCTAGACCCGGCCGGGGTGCGGTAATGAGGATGGGCGCATGGTGGCTCTGCTGAACAATGACGGCGGTGGAGGAGTTGCCGGTCACCATCCCTCCCTCCCCCTCTCCCCACCACTCTCCTCCGCTCAGCCCTCCAGCACTCAGCCAGGGTTCCGCCTTGCCTGCGCTTCTGCCTTGACCGTTCACGTCACCTAGGTCCTGTACAATTAAGTAGTTACTGCTCTAGTAGCTTCCTACTAATTCCCTAACCCCCCCCAGTGCAAGCATCCACCCCCGCCAAAAAAGCTATCAATTTCTCCCCCTCCCAAAACAAAACTGTCACCTGTCACGCCAACTCTTTTCTTTTTTTCGGTTTCCTTGCACTTTTCATAAACGTTCAAACCACCGGCCCCCGACCATGGCCGGCTCACCACCTCCAGCAGAAGAGCGCGAGAAGGCTGATGCAGAGGCGGCTCGCAAGAAGGAACAGGAAGAGCAGGCCAAGCTGCCCTACAAATGGGACCAGACAATCAAGGACCTCGACATCACAATCAACATCGATGCAAGATACAAGGGCAAGGATCTCGACGTCAACATCAGCCGGAATGCCCTGAAAGTGGGCATCAAAGGCCAAGAGCCCTTGATCGATGTACGCCCTCCCAATCCACCCGGTTCTACTACAGCCATGCCAAAGATCCCTACTAACATCCTACCCCCACCACCTCCAGGGCGAACTCCCCCACGCAATCCACGTCGACGACAGCACCTGGACCCTCACCACACTGTCCACCAGCCCGCCCCAGAAAGAAATCTCCATCCACCTCGACAAGGTGAACAAGCTCGAGTGGTGGCCCCACGTCGTCACCTCGGCCCCCAAAATCGACGTCACCAAAATCACACCGGAGAACAGTAAACTAAGCGATCTGGACGGCGAGACGAGGGGCATGGTCGAGAAAATGATGTATGATCAACGGCAGAAGGAGGCGGGCAAGCCGACGAGTGATGAGCAGAAGAAATTGGATTTGCTCGAACAGTTCAAGAAACAGCATCCTGAAATGGACTTTTCGAATGCTAAAATGGGTTGAAGGAGGAAGCTGCAGGTTATTATGACAGGAGAGAGATGGCACGCTAGGAGTTCTGCGGGATTGATTGATTCATCGGACATTTGGCGAAAGAGGAGTGTAAAAAAGGTAACCATGGTCTTCAGCGAAATCCCTCTGGCCATGCTTTCAATTTCATCCAACCAATATCCCACGGGCACATGAGAAATCTATTAAGAAAAAAAAATATCAACAGTATACGAACGTCGTCTTGTCTTGATCACGTCCCATCTCAAAAGAAGTGAAAATCGTCCCCTACACTAAGCAAACGGTGCGCCCAGTCCATCACGCTATGTAATTTGGGAAAAAGAAAAAACAGCCACCCTCCCCTTTACCAGTTTCTAGCCCGTCATATCCGCATTCAAATCATCAAGCCCCCTGCAGACCCAAACCCACCCCATCCCCATTTCCCATTCCAGCCCCATCATCCCTACTCCTCTCCCTTGCCCTTCCCATTTCCCTAATCCTACGGCCCTCCATGAGACCCCTGAGCCCACGCTTCTGCAACCCAACCACCGCACTAATCTCCCCGTTCCACACCTCTCTGTCATCAATCCCGCTGCCGTCTCCATGTCCGCTGTCAGAAGCAGAAGCAGACGCCGTCTCCGACACCGCAGAGCTCGACTCATCATCCGACCGCTCTCCCTCGGAATGCACATGCAGAGCGCGCAGACCGGCGTCTAGGCTGCGCTCCACGTCGTCAAGTGTGGCGCCGTTGCTGCCGCCCGGCGCGGCAACGCCGTTCGAGTCGCTGTTGGTGGTTACACCGTTGACGCCGAGGAAGGCGATGCCAGAGCCGCCGCCGGCTGCCATGGCTGCGGCATTGAAGATGGCGGCTGTGTTCCTGTTATCCAGGAGGAGGTGGAGGCGTTCGATGATGGCTTCGAGGAGGCCATCGATGTGGTATGGGCGTGCGAGTTGGAGCAGGGAGCAGAGGATTTGGGGAGAGCACAGAGGGGAGCTCTGTGGTGGGAGGGTGGAGGTGTAGAGGAAGTGGATGAGGGCTTGCAGTGTGAGATGTGTGTGCGGAAGGAATAATCTTCGTGGTCGAAGTGACGGGGTATGGGAAGAGGGATCCGGCGGGCTAAGTTGTGCGTACGAGTTTGAAGATACGGCCGTGGCCTCGGAAGCGGTCATGGTGTTTGCAGTGAGTGTGGTTGCTGCGGAATAGTTTGTCCTGATGGATGGTGTGATGGTGATGCTCGAATTTCGTGAAGGGTGCATCGTGGCCGTCGGTCGTAGCGTTGCAGTCTCTGCATCCGTTTTCTCCAGGCTTTGCATACTTCCGCGCAGTAACTGATTGAAATAAGGGCCCCATCGACGGGCAATGATGTGTGAGTTGACTGGGATCCGCTCCCCATACAATGCAACGAATTCCATGTCCGCAAACTCCTTTAACCCCAGAGCCATCTGGCCAAGCTCCGCTGCTGCTGGTGATAGTGTGCGTCCGCCAGCGAGCATATCCAATCGATCGTGCTGAGGCGGTGCACTGACAGATGTGAATCCTGACGCCGGGGTCACTTTGCGTGGGTTGTCGTATAGTCCGAAAGCTTCAAGCTCCACGACGCACATGTTTGAGAAGTTGATCCGTCGGTGGTTGTAATCTTCAACCAGACTCCGTTTCCGGTTTCCAAGAATCACAAAGCTGTTCCTTCGATTCCATAGCACGCCTCTGTTCCAACTCCCTTGGCTGAAGATGTTACCACCTGCTTCTATACGCCCCCAGCTGAGTGTTCGCAAGTCCAATGCCCAAAGTGCATACTCTTGCTTGGACGACGTCAGAAACGTCCCGCTCACTACAAAGTGATTGTTTATGACTCCACCGTTCGGGAACCGAAGTCCAGGAGGAGAAAAGTTCCCATGCATCGGCTTTTCGGACAGGGTTCCGTCCGGATGTCGTACCTGTAATTCTAATTTGACGTCCAAAAAATTGTAGTTCGAGTAGATCAACGTTGAAGATTCGCCTGAAGTATGCGGATTTTGTTCGCTCAATGATCTTGGCTCGTTATTCTGCCGTAATCCGGCACCGATGTCCTGTGGTGCTATGCTGGTCAGAGGCGCTACGACACTGCGGTAAGCACCGCAACTTCTTCCAAGCGTGCTTGTCTCTGTCCATTTGAGACTTCTCAAATTGAAAACACTGATCTGCTCAATGTAGTGATTTGCACTATCTTGACCACCGACAACCAGCATCTCTGCGCCGCCATCACCGTCCAACTGGACGCCAAGAGAGCCTTGATTGGGGTTGGATGAAGCCGGATTGTGTCTGATAGCTGTAATTGCGGCACTGGTGGAGCTGAATACAGCACAACTTGGGAGTATTGTTGCGCAGTGGGCATATCGACCCTGTGGCGCCTCGGTCGTAGCAATATGCATCCACGTCTGCGTTGGCGCATCATAGATATGAATGTCAGACATGACCACCACCTCGGGCTGAGCTTCTGAGGGAGCCCCCTGATTTACTGAAGTTGTCTGATTTGGCTGGGCAGCCGTGGGTGACATGCCACCGTAACAAACGAGTTTGCTGTCGCCAAGCGCGCACATGCTATGAAAATATCGTGGAGGGGGAATATCCCCTTTGGTCTCTATTTTTGACCAGTGTCTTTTGACAAGATCGAGCTCGTACAGATCTGATGTAAGTTGCGGTCGAGTCCGTGAAAGTCTTCTCCCACCAAAGACATATAGTTTGTCCCCCAAAATCGTGGTCGTCGCACCGACTAGCGCATGGGGCTCGCGACCAGTGGTACGATGGACATTGCAGACCAATCCAGATAATCCTGCTGTCGAGGTTGTGGGAGTCGCGAGTCCTGCGATGCTCGCAGGACTCGGGGCCATGCCTGAGCCCGGGGTCCGGGCGGTCGAAGCTGGCGGCCGTTCAGGTGCTGTATCTTGGCCATCTTGACGATGTAGGCTGGTCTGGCTACTATTCACGCTCGAATTATAGTATGGCGCAGACGTCTGCGAGTCGAGTGTGTTCGTCCGGCTTGTAGCCATGCTTGCCGGCCTGTGATTGCCACCCGGTAGAGTCTGCAGATCTTCGAGGTCAAGATTGATAGGTGTCGAAGAAAATCGTTGTATAGGTATAGCCCACTTCGGAACTAGAATCTCAACATGCCTTGCTCTTGCACTAGAGGAATCGCTATCAGATGTACGTTTCTGCTCAAGAGAATCGGAAAAACTGGGACGGCTACTCGAGACAGCGGTCGAGGTTCGGGAAGAGCTATATCCAGTCGATGTACAGGGGCTTTTCGGGCTATCCGGTGCTACAAGATCATAGTGTGGGACAACGATGGGAGAATGCTTAAGATTTTCTTGACAAGTAGGACTGTGCAGATGAGCAGCGTCAGGGGACGAAGACCCAGAGATTTCGATTGACTTGGCCGAATTCGCCTTGCGATAGGAACGAATCCGGGAAGATGCAGATTCGACAGAGCGTCTATTGTTCGACAAGACACGCTTGAGCTTCAACCCTTTGGGCTTTTTCCAGAAAGAGACGTCACCCAGGGGCTCGGTACTTGCGCCCAAGGCAGAGTAAGATAAGCCTAGAGGAAGTGCCATTGTCAGTACGTAGCATCCAGCCTGGCATTGGCATCGAAGGGGAAATATAAAATGGCAAAGGAACACCCAAAGGAGAGAAACTGCCTGGTCTTCAAGTACCCCCAATGCTGCCAGCTGCGAGAAGAGTCCAACGCAGGCCGTGAAGCAAGGTCTCGGCCACTAAGACCAGCCATGTTTGCAGATTTGGACACAGAACTCAGCTGTTGTGCAACTCGGGTTTGTAGTACGCAGGACGGGCGTGCATGATATCAGCGCCCCACGGTATGACAGAAGCCGTGGCAGATCCGAATGGATCGCAAACAACGGGCAAGATTCTCTAGGTAGACAAGATGAATAGGCAGGGAAGTGGATGGCGCGCCCTTGTCCATGATGGTGTTTGTACCTAGACAAAGGGGGCTCTGGCAGACTGGCCAATGGCTGGGATGGTGGGGCTGTCAAGAAAACGAGGATACCTTACTTTGAGACCTGCCACGCACAGCGGGCGGGGGAAGAACCAGCAGGACGGTTGGGTCTATGCAGAGAAGGAGGAAGCGGTTTCTCAACGGCCGAAACGTTGGTAACCAAGCGCCGTAGGAAGCAGACGCGAGGTAGAGGCAGATGTGGAGCTGCAGGAGGACTTTGGCTCTTCCAGAACTGGTCTGGGGGCTCGGCACAGTGGTGCAAGGAGAAACCGGGGCTGGGAATTAACAGTGGACGCAAAAGACTAGGATGAGGAGTATCGAGGTATTGAGGTCTGTCGAGGCGGCGCCGACAGGCAGCTGACGAGTGTGCGCGAATGCGGGTCGCAGAGACGCGGCCAGGCGAGTAGTGGGACGCCCCAGTGAGTGATGGGGGCGGAGATGAGTGGAATCTCCGAACGCGCGCCTTGAGTCGTTGGTTGACCGGATGGCAGACAAAGACCTGGAACAGCCGCGACAGCACTCCAGCTGGGGATCCGCCTGGTCGTTGCTGCGTAGGTAGATGGAATTGGTGTTTGCCTGGGGCCTTCAAGTAATCATCTCCTGGCTACCGGTAGTTACATAGGCAGAGCACGGCCCAGCATTAGTGGCGCTTCATTCCAGGAATGCGCGCGACAAATCAGGTGGTGAACGCACCAACATAAGAGACGGACGAGTCGTGCAGGTCGTCAATATGGCCCTCTTGAGCAGCCGGCCACCTGCACTGGCTGACCCGGCAAGAGAAACACACAAAAGGCGACGATGCACGAAAGGGAACGACTTTGTTGCTACCCTGCGGCGATCCCCCAATGTACATCAAACGTACAACCATCGGTACAGAGTGTCTGAGATCGCAAAAGCGATTCAGGGCCAGAGAAGGCAGTTGCAAATGTACAAGTAATGGTCTTTGGAACTGTTGTTTCTTCCATGTGGGGCATGCACGTTGGCTCAAAGACCATGGCTTTGTGGTCCTGAGCATGACATGTCAGGCATACCGTACCGTACGGTAGGCAGGCAGGAGTTGGCTGGTCATTAGTACCGGTAATGGTCTACAGCTGCAGCAGGAGCAGTTGACAAAGAGTAGAGGGAGAAGGGACATTTCAAATCCACGGTAAATAGCATGCTATTGATCAGCACGCCCCAATCGGAATCCTCTGCTAGGTTTGGATTAGATATATCTACGCCTGACGACGCTCCATAGAAGTCGGGATTGATTGATTCTATTTACCAAACACGCCTTCGCTATAAGTACCCTGGCGTTATATCAGAGTCCCTGCAGACTGCCTTATATATGTACCTCCCTACTAGCTGAAAGACGCAATTGGCGCAATTGCCCTGCATCGCCAACCATAACTAGGTACTACTGGAGGCTTATAACCTCCGAAGGAACCGCGAGGCCCACAGATCACTCTCCTGCGATTGATACCATACCCATGTTCTCCCAGGACATCGTCCAGACCGTATGTCCATTTCCAGTCATTCAGACAGACCGCTTTCGGCACCAAGTATGCACCAAGTACGAACAGTGTGTTTTGTCGTACATTATCATCTGGTGCCCTGGGCTCGACATGATAATTTCGCAGAAAAGTGATCGATTTCGAGCTTGTCCTCACGGGCCCAGTGGCTCTCTGCGAATATCTGTTGTGTTTCTTTGATGAGCAATGCTCATCCTCCGTCGGTGTAATTGCGATCAGGTGAGGTTTGGGCATCAGACATTCGAGAATCGATATTGTGTCCTCAGTCCAGACGACCTGCCCGCTGCAAGCAGGACACTATTGCCTATCATTTCGCGTCGAGCCAAGGCTAATATCAAATATACTATAAGGCTTGATATTCCTGCGCTACTATTCCTTCGCAGACCTCAATGGCTCTCAGGTGATGTTCATAGTCCGCTCTGTTTTGCAGCAGCAGTCACCAAATTGACACTAGCGATTGCGAGCAAAAGCACCTGGTATGCAAGTGTTGGGCCATCAATGCTTCATTAAGGTGGTTGTTCAGTCACACCATGACAACCTATCTAGAGTCAAACACGAGAACTATCCAGCAGCTTTTTCATGTTTCCAAACTGATACTAGATTTTCGCTCATGTGATGGCTACGCATCGGCTTCCTCTCCCCAAAAACCTCACGACATGATGCCACTTCCTTGTTGCCAATCCTCTAAGCGGCAGTAGTCTTCTCCTTTGGAAGAGGGGTGAAACGCAGGTAGGGCTTGACGATGCGGAACTCGGGGAAGAGTGTCTTGGCGTCCTCGTTCTTGACGCTGGGATGGACTAATGACACGGTGTTAGTGCATTTTCATGCGCATTTGATATGGCGGAGACGTACCGATTACATCGTCACCAGGAACCCAATTGATGGGTGTGGTTATCCTGTGCTTGTCTCCAGTCTGCAGGGAGTCGAGGACGCGCAATACCTCGGCGGTGTTGCGGCCAGTGGAGGCAGGGTAGGAAAGGATGAGACGGATGGTCTTCTTGGGGTCGATGATAAAGACACTGCGGATCGTGAAGGCGATGCCCTTGGAGTCGACATTGGTCTTATCTTGGTGGTCGATCATGTCGTACAGGTAGGCGATTTCGCGGCTCTTGTCGCCAATGATGGGAAACTTGAGGTTGCTCCCCGAGATCTCATCGATGTCCTTGATCCATCCTCCATGGCTCTCGACGGTATTAGCGGAGAGGCCAATGAGCTTTGCGCCACGCTTTGTGAACTCGGGCTCGAGCTTTGCGAAGGCACCAAGTTCAGTGGTGCAGACGGGAGTGTAGTCCTCTGGGTGCGAGAAGAGGATGACCCAATTGTCGCCGATGAACTCTAGAGAGTGATTGATTAGTTATTGACATGGCCATGATTTACAAACTAGAAAGGGTGGACAAACCGTGGAAGTCAATGGGGCCTTGGGTAGTCTCGGCCTTGAAGTTGGGGGCAACGCTTCCCAGACGGAGAGGCTCGGGGCGCTGTTCAGCCATTGTGGTATGATGTATCTGTCCATGTGGGTGAGCTTGGGTGCAAACCGCACAAACAGGAGGGGTGGCGGGGTACGAGGCGGCAAAGCTAAGCGGGCATGTCGTACCTGGCAAGATGATTGATTTCTTTGAGTTTTCAGACACAACTATCTCAACAATGGTGTCTACAACGGATCGATCGGTTTAAATTGACTTGGATGGAGGATAATCCGGGGCAAGGAGAGGCAAGCTGGCGATGCGTTGGTTTTGTATGGAATACTGCAAAACAGCTCGGCATCCGTCCCAGCTCTGATTCGAGCTAGCGCAAATGTCGCAATCCTCATCACGTGTTGGACCCTTGTGTCACATTTGCCCCAGACATCCTGCCATGAATCGCCCCGAAGAGCCTGCACTGTCGACTTCTTGGGCCACTCCCCAACCCTCTGCATACTCGCCGAGCCGTCGGAGAGGCGATTCCTCGAGCACATGGCGTCAGCGCACCAGGTATCCTGCCCAGACATCTACACCACTCCCTTTCATGCGGAGTCATGGCGGAGCCTCACAGGCGATGACGAGTTGCTAGAACATGGGAATGTACGGTACAGGATAGCACTGTGCGCTTGTCTTTCGAGGTTGCATTCAAAGCAGTCCTCATTCGGGTAGAATCGAGTTGTAGTTGTAAACAAAGAGGGAAGAGGGAGGATGTGAGATGGGGCAGAACATCTTGATGGCATCATAAGGATTGGCGCTGTCACATGCTCATCCACTATACGTGGGTACCGTAGAGCGTAGGTAGATACGGTACCTACCACACGTATCGTACCGGCAGCGGGCATCTCGATGTTGTCGAGCAAGTGACTCTCAATCTGGAGGTGGACGGTCAAGAGAAGAGGACAACATTGGCCCGAAACTGAAGGACATGTTCAGATATAGCTATGCTTCTTTCATAATCTGTCGCGCATATGCATATGGTACACGTAGTGCTTGGTATAGGTAGAGATGAATATGCGGCGTCATCCGGCGCCAAGAATTCTCGTAATACGCCTACCTACTACACATCAAGTTATCATCGACCTCGACTGGCCTATTATTGCCACGACAAGTCTATCCACAACTTCTGAAGCTCCTCGTGTTCTCTTCACGCCATCCATGTAACGAGCTTCGCAGTCGATATACACACCAGATAATTGATGGGGCAATCGAACGCCGTCTCAACACAGTTTTCCATCGGACTACTTGCCCAATGGTATCATTCCGTATACCGATACGCCTTGCATGACGAAAGTACTGTCCTTGGACTTCTTCGGGAAGCCATGAAGTTATCCGAACTAGAGCCAGCATGGGGTGCCTCCAGATCGGTTGGTGTACAATGGAACAACTCTATTGTACCTCCACCAATACAGCACCTATTGATTGGACATCGACATCATTATACAGGGAAGCCCCCTCATTCAGCCAGATGTTTTGGCCAATCCAGGTGCTCCATGCACATAAAATGGACAATGCAATTGGACATTCTATCATCTCCACAAGAGGAGATATTTCCTATTCCCGGGAGCGTTTACGCAGTCTAACGGTTTCGTCATCCGACGGAATAGCCTTAGGAACCGCTCATTTGTTCGTTTCCATGCGCATCGGTCTACCCTAAGGTGTGGGTTAGTGGATTCTTCGCCCGGCGCTTGACTGCCATGTGCGCCTGGGTTTTTCATATCATTACGCGCATGCACATCTACTGAATCTCTGGCCCATGCTATCGCTACCTCCCATACTCCTCTCCATCTGGTAGAGGAGAGCACCAGGCAATATCGAAAACATGAATACCAACAGAGATATCCAGCCCTCAGAAGCCTCTGAAAGGGACCTTGCAGGCTTGAAATGCCATCCGGAAATAAGGGCATATCCGGATGCGGAAGGACAATCCAGCCCCGCTCCCGATGAATCTGGCTTGGAGAAAAAGCATTCGCAAGTGGAAGTGTTTGACGTTACACCTGGCAGACTACAGTGTGGCGATGATATGGAGACTGTTTGGAGGTATTTGACGTTCGAGACTGAGTTACCGCATCCAACTACCATCCTACCAACCCATCCCAACCAAGCACCTCCTCCAGAACCCCCGAATCTCATCAAATACATGAATCCATTCGATTGGTCGAACAAGAGGAAGCAATTCACGATAGTGGTCTCGTGCCTCATCACGGCCCTGACAGCCTTCGCGGCCGGGTCCTATAGCCCCGGCGTGGGACAGATGAGTGAAGAATGGGAAATCAGCAAAGTGGCCGCCCTCGTGGGAATAACGACGTTTACTGCCGGCTTTGCGATTGCACCTATGGTTTTGGCTCCCTTCAGTGAGATCAATGGCCGCCGTCCAGTGTTCATTGCCTCTGGGGTCCTCTTCGTAGTCAGCCAACTCTGCAGTGGATTTACACGGTCCTACGCCAGTATGCTATTCGTACGTTTTCTAGTGGGGGTTGGTGGATCCACATTTTCGACCATGGTTGGTGGCGTGGTATCGGATATCTACCATGCAGAAGATCGCAACACACCTATGGCATTGTTCTCTGGTGGTGCTCTTTTCGGCACAGGCTGGGGTCCGCTTGTGTGTGGATTCATTGCGCAGAACAGTACGTGGCGTGCGATTTTCTATCTGCAGGCGATCATGTGTGCAACAATGGTCGCTCTCATCTGCATCGTCTTCAAAGAAACCCGCGGCTCAGTCCTCCTGTCCCGAAAAGCAAAAGCACTGAACAGGTGGTACGAGGAACGCGAGACCGCAGGCTATTACGGCTTCAAGACTATTGACAATGAAGACCATGGCACATCTTGCTCAGAACGCATACGTTGGAAAGTAAAATCTGACGAAGAGCGTACCTCGCTTTCCAAGATGATTGGGATCTCCCTATACAGGCCATTCCATCTCTTGTTTACCGAGCCCGTAGTCTTCTGGTTCAGCCTCTGGGTCGCCTTCTCCTGGGCCGTTCTATACCTCACACTGGCTGCTATACCCTTGGTCTTTCAGCATAATCATGGCTTCTCCTTGCAGCAAGCCAACGCCGTCTTCTCCTCAATGTGCGTAGCCAGCATCCTTGCAACGCTGCTTTCTATATATCAAGAAAAAGTGGCCAAAAGGCAAGGAAAGCTCTCCAGCTCGCCAGAGGGCAGGTTGTACTTTGCTTGTGTCGAAAGCGCTCTGATGCCGATTGGCCTCTTCATATTTGGGTGGACCAGCTCCTCCGACATACACTGGATCGCTCCTACCATCTCCATTGGCATTGCTACGATTGGCATCTTTGCTATTTACTTGGCCACCTTCAATTATCTTGCAGATACCTACCACCGATATGCCAGTTCGGCATTAGCAGCACAGAGTTTCTGTCGTAACGTGCTTGGTACGTACATTTCTTAACCCCGGCTCATTAGCGGATTAGTCACTGACATGGTACAGGTGGAATATTTCCCCTAATCACAGCTCAGATGTACAACAAACTAGGCTATGGACCAGCCAGTAGTCTTCTAGGCGGCATAGGTACTCTGTTGACGGTGGTCCCATGGATATTAGTATTTTATGGGCCCCGGATCCGTGCGAGGAGCAAGTTTGCCAGTAGCTTGTAACGACAGTTTGGAGTAATAGAGGAAAATTTGCGGAGATTTCCTAGCACATCGCACTCTATGCGTACTGAGAGAAGCTTTTAACGAGACTCATGACGAAATGTATTCATATGCTATTCACAAGTCTGTAGACCGCATTGTATCCGCATTTCCACAATTGGATTTGACGGGGCCTGAGCTGTTGGATCGTTGCCCAGGAATGCAATCTTGAGCTCTGACTTGAAGAGTAGAAAAGCTCGAGGGCCCGTTGTATACGTCGTTCCCCTTTTAGACATATCGGAATAGGATTACCTGACGTATGTTAGCGCGACGCTAACTAATAACGGAGTAGAACAATCCCATGCTCGATTGTATGTAACATTGCATCATCCCTCTCCCCAGCTGTACACATCTTACACTGCCACCCGATTTGACGAGCTCCTGAATGTCGCAATGTGCCCTGTTTCTTATATATGAAGCGTATCTGGGATTCGATACCATGTTCATGACTAGCCGAGTTCCGCGACTATAAACGAACCAAAAGCGCATGGCGCAGACACTCCGTGCGGGTGCCGGATGTAGTCTTGCCAAGTTCCAACATGGATGAATTACTTCCCTCGTACGAGTCCGTCACAGAACGCGACCCTTGGAAAAACATTCCGCAATATCTACCTCCGAAAGATTTATGTTCTGCAGCTCTCGTTTGCCGCAAATGGCACAAGGTCTTCACATCACACCTGTGGGGTAGTCCTGCCTCACATTTCAGTGCTGAGAACGACACGGCCTATACAGCACTTACAAGATTCAAACGCACACTACTCTACGTACGATCAGATGTGCGCGAACTTACTCATACCCTCCATTTCCTCCCAGCACATGCAGAAATTTACGGCGGGCCGCATGCCGAGTGGCTTCGCGACTGCCTTGAATATCTGCCACGATTACAATGTTTGATTGTAAATGGGCTTCCTTTCTTCGATCACGCATCGCTCATGAATCTCCAGTACTCGAGCTTGCGGTTGCAATCAACGCAAATCGACACATTGCCCATGTTCAGCCTACGCCTGCTGGATGCAGCCGGATGCACCAACGCCACGTCAACAAGTCTTGCGCAAGCCCTGCGTCACTTTCCAGAGCTCGTGAGTCTAGACTTGTCCAGTACATCAGCAGCAAAACATAGCGCGGTACTGGTCAATTTGAAATACCTCCGGAACTTGCGAGTCTTGAGACTCAGAGGCCTTGGACTAGGAGACGAAGAGTTCTTGATCATATCGCAGTCTATACGCACCAGAGTACAAAGTCTTGACTTAAGTCATAATAATTTAACGGACGTGAGCGCTCGACTTCTCCTGGATCATTGCATCAAGGACACTGTCCTCCAACCACACTTTACACGAGGGCTAGTACCACCTGTAGACGTCGAGCAACCCCACGGGGATATCTATGATGTCTTCGAGTCTCCAAATCTCATAAATCATCTTCGCAAAACGCTCACCACCGGGTTCGTGGGGAGCCTTGCTATTGAAGAGGCGCGAGATGTTGGCGTGACTCACCTATACATTACCAAGAATGCCATAACTGTAGAGGGAGTTTCGAAATTACTTCGATCTGGACGCTTAAAAGTATTGGATATTGGCGAGCTACCCACAGACACGAAATCTCCGCCAGAGCATCGTTTGGCAGAAGAATCAAATCAGGTACAATTACCTTGCATTTCGAAATGCACGCCTGTACTACCACGGTACGCAAAGCGATTAAAATATCTAAGGGTGAACTATCAAATTGTCACAGAGGATAGCTTCGCAGAAGCACACGAAGTTTCTCATGCAGAGCCTATTGGAGGTATTGAGGTGGCAAAGCCAACTCCAAAAGTAAATCTCACCTCGGAGCCTTCCTTCAAGGTTGAAGATAGCGCTCCAAATGCCCCAGCTCCGGTACTTACAGACTCCCAATCCACGCCGATAGACCCTATACTCTCTGATAGTGATACCGGGACCTCGCGTACATTACAAGAATGCCCAGATACACATGGTACTTTACCGCCGACTGCAGCGCCATTGGAATCTGGACCAGAGGCGATACCAAATACGCGTGTCCAAACTGTGTCTCGTCATAACTCCACATACTACACAGAAGAACAAAGAGCCCGCTTAGATTTCCGTCAATCACAAGAAAACCGCCTGCACCCTAACATGGTCCCTCAAGTCCACACCCTAGTACTAACCAACGTCCCCACAGCAACCACCAACCACCACATCATCCACAGACTCATCCAATTCATCAAAGACGCAGCAGCAGAAGCCTCAATCGCCCGCCAGCGCGCCCAACACACCTACAAGCTGCCCCCCGGCCGCAGCCGCGTGATTGCAGAAAACGAATACGCCCACAGTCTCTTCGCCCTGCGCCGAATCGTCCTTGAAATGGCGGTGGTCCCTGAACCAGCACAGGAGAAGATTTCATCTGGTTGGCGTGCCTACCCGACCAAGTCGTCGACCGAGGATAAGGATTCCGAGGCATTTTGGGAGGCCGCCGCACATGACTTTTCATTCTTCGCGGAGGAGGGGGAGGGGGAAGAGGCGTGTCGGCGAGAATATCTGGGGGTGCAACAGAGGCTTCCCCTGGCTGCCATGGGCGGTTTGGAAATGGCACCTGCTGCATCAGTCACGCCATTGGCAGCTCAGGCTGCGAACACCGTGCCAGCGGCACTGGACGTTGTGCAAGCGATCAGCCAATTTCGCAAGGATAGAAAAGCCGCGCGCAGTAGTCTGTCGAGGACAGGTCAGCCTGATCCAGAGGTCGAGGGCTGGTGGCCCGGCGATGTCACTGTGGTGAGGAGATCTGCATGCGCGGGTCGAGGTGAATTAGATTGCTTTGGGAGCCGTTATGGGGATGGGTGGTGCTGTCGTTGAGAGTTAGAGTGCTGGATGCGATCTATGGCTGGTTTGTGGTCAGCTCCCAAATACCCATGTATGCACAGTGGAAGCATTTCATGCTGCGTGAATGATCGGCGGCTGGGGTTCGCACGCTACTTGCCATTGATTTGATCGATTCATTTACGAAGCGAAATTACTGTACATCAAATACAAATACAGCTAATAGGCCCCTGCTATTTGGTATTACATCAAACCGAGTAGAAATACGGAGGTGGCTTTCAAAAGTTCTTGCTGACAGGGGTGTCGATATTACCGCCGTGATACTACCGAAGCTTAGACTACTTGGTCGCGCCGCCCCTCCTTATGCTTATTACCACCTTCTAGTCTAATAATCTGCTAAACATAATACTGTATACGCTCTATCCAAGCCTGGATTTGGTGTTAAGGTAGCTTACCCTCTGCTCTACTCTTAAGAGCGCCCTTCCTAGTAGTTCTCCGCTTAAGCTATGGCCAGGCTGCTTTAATAGCGTTAAGGTTAGGTAAATTGCTACACTAGAGAAGCTTCTCTACTCCCTCTCTCTTATATACTAGTTGTTAGGCATAGTAGGCATGTAAAGGATTAGTATTAGGAGCTATAGCAGAGTAAAAACACTAAAAGATTAAGTAGATAGACTATTACTACTACTATCTACAGCTTCAAAATTGAGTGTGTGTGGGCCAAGAAAGTCGGGCCGATAGATCAGCCGCTAACAAATACGCTAGCAAGAACTTTTGAAAGCCACCTCCGTACATGTTCATGTCCTCGATTCGGTTAATTTATCAAAACGAGTGATGAATTAATTACCCGCCCCTCCACCCATGTACCCAGCCACTCTTGGCCCCATACCATGAGCCCCACTGCTAGGTACAATTAGTAATCAAACAAATTTCCTGAACTAAATCAAACACGAATACATCTTCCTGAAAAACGCAATGAAATTGGATTAAATACATAGGATACCTCCTCGCTATTTAGACAAGTTGAACTCCGACCCTATGTTTGATTTGATTGATCCCAAATCTGGTTGACAAAGATATCACTCATTTTACCCTTGGTGCTTACCATCTGACCTCTGTACAGACCATGTATGTTTTGTGAGACAGGGTCGGACGTACAGGCTGGACACCAGGAGAGTACTGGAGAAGCAGCATCTCCCACAGCCAATTTACCAGACCTGTAGAGGCTGAACAGTTCGATAGGCAATGGCCGCACCGACTGTACAGGTGAAAAGCACGTACTTCAACCAGCCACCTACCGGTATCTCGGCACTCTTCTTCTCAATCTTGTTCACTAACTTCCACCCCTCCGCATCCTCGTTCAGCGTCCTCAAAGGCACATAGTCCAGCTTGGGTGCCTGGGTTAGAGACTCGGCGAGTTGCTTCACCTGCGACTTGTGCATCCAGGGGCCCACATAGCCGACCATGAACCTCGAGATGAGCGACTGGTAGGTAAAGGCTCTTGTCGCCTGGCCTGAACGATCGACATGGTCCTTTACTCGGTCAAAGCGGTCGTTTTGGTATTCGGTGAAGAGGGCGGAGAGCTCGGATTGGGTGAAGTGGCGGTTGCGATCATCTTTGAGGTTTCGGTGGAGGATGTTGGCTAGGGAAACGGCTGATTCGATGGCCATGTTTGCGCCGGCGCCGAGTTCTGATGTCATCTATTTTGAGGTGGAAAGTCAGAGGGTTGGCACTGGGGTTTAATGGTAGCATGGGGAACAAGGAGAGGATAGAGAAATGTGGCATGCATTGTGCTCGGAGGAAATGTGAGCTTACCTTCCACGCGGAATCACCAACGAGCACCATTCGTCCCGCGTGCCACTTCTGCAAAATACCCTCTTCTATGTTCTGCGTAACGTCAGCGCAGGCGTCTTGGTGATGATGATGATATCACCTACCAATAATCCGTGAGACTCTTTGTTCTCCCATAGATCCCCGAACGTGAGGGTCTCAGTAAGCTGGTGTTTCGCAAACCGTTGGGCCAGGCCATCTATTATCTCCTGGGTGACCAAGTTTTTCTTAGGCGGTTGGCTAAATTCGCCTTTGAAGATGATGGTACAGTAGGCCTTTCCGCTTTGTGTAAAGAGCAGTTTTGTGACGTCTTGACCGAAGATGTGGTTGAAGTCTGCTGCACTCAGACCAAAACTCTCTTTTTGGGGCGCAGTGACAAAGAAGGCGCGGTATTGTGTGAAGAGTGCTGACTTGTCGGAGTCCGGTATGGCTGTTTGATCGAATTTGCTGGCGTAGTTCCACATTTCTGATCTGACATGGCTATGAACACCGTCTGCTCCGATCACGATATCTCCCTCTTCGAATGACCCATCGGCGAAATGGACACGAACGCCGTTTGCTGTATGTTCAATGTAGTCGAGTTTGCGGCCTCCGTGAACTCTGGATTTGTCTGGGAGATTTTCGTACAAGTGGGAAACACATTGTCCGCGGTTCGTCACGATCATTTCTGTCTGGAACCTGTCGACAAGTCAGCCACCCAGAATGATTGCAACGCAGTCTTATATCCAACGTACATTTCATCTAGCTCCCGCACCGATGTTCCACTTTGATGTACACTACCGTCAGGCCAACGGGTGAATTGTCTCTGCACTGGCGATATGGACTTGTGGATCTTGTCAAGAAAGCCAAACTGATCAAATATGCGTGCTACGCCGTGCCAGATGACTACTGCGGCCCCTCGTACAGAAACGATCTCGTGGTGCTTCTCAAGGACGATGTGATCGATATTTGCCAGTTGGAAAGCGTGTGAAAGTGCAAGGCCTGCAAAGCCAGCTCCGATAATGATGGCCCTGAAAGGCTTTGGGGGCACTGAGTCTGTTTGTACCATGATGAATATGTTATACTCTGTACATGAAGATGATATGGAGTTGAGAATGAAAGTGATTTCTGGTGATTTCTGGTATGTCGAGGCATTTGGCGTAGGAATATTTATGTCACATCAAGCGTAGGGCTGTATTTGCATCTATGAGCTAGGACCGATTATTCGTATCAACCCCTTGCAATTAGTATCATTGTAGTATACCAGGTGAGGGTTCTGGTCTCCGGGCTTAGTGTGCTTACTGGACGTTGATCACTCCTTTGGGCCTAGTGTAAATTACCGCCGGCCGGGCCTCACTAATTGCTGCATGCGGCGGCCTAGCGTGCTTAGCAGGTTTTACTCACTATTGTGAGCCTAGCACACTTATTAATCTCAAGCGAAACGGAAACCTGCGTAGAGGCTTTGAGTGCTTTGTGTTGAAGTTTGAGGTTTGAAGTTCAAACGCGTGATCACGGCAAATGTTATCCGACATGGTCAGCGACTCACAGTGAGCTTTGTGTCGAAGTTCGAACAACGAGATCACGGGAAATGTTACTCAACCTGGTTACCAAAACCTATGCGGCCCGTGAATGCTTGGCGTAAACTTGGCATGTGCTACCCTTACTAAGGGACGTTGATTTTTATGTGTTCCCCAGGGCCAAGAAACAACCCTGTCCAGGTTATCCCTCCCTAACCTCACCCCAACTAGCACACCCTTACTCTAACTGACCCTAAATGCAACACATGTGATACATGATACACAATGTGCCAAGCGTCCACCTAGGTTCGGTAGGCTTATGACCACGTCATTTAACTTACGGTAGTTACCGTGATCACTGCGCTGAGGAATGCTATGGGAGACGGATCATTCGATTGTAACAGCCGTGCTAGCATCGGAGCGATAAGAACTCCGTTTTGCTTATGACACCTCAACAATTACAGAGTCTTGAGCTTTTCGGGACCATATTTGCGAACACTGCGCCCCTCTCCTAACCACGTCAAACTTTCGTCACAAAAATAATTTTTGAAAAAAATTCATGTGAATAGAAGTGTGTCCGGGTACCCCAAGGTTAGCTTTTGCCCGTTCTCCGCTTGTCTACAGGTGTTTTGGAAGGCTCAGGACGACGTGAATAAAGTGAGTGTGAAGGGCTTGGCGCATGCCCAGATCTGGAACTGAGCCAGCACGGGAAGGTCCGATATAAACTCCAAGCGACCCTCCTACACGCAAATGAAAAACCGGAGGGAGGAGATGCAACGGAGGGTTGTGCGGGTGAGCGTGCTCAGGGCAGTGCTCCTCGGTGGTATTTGTTCTTTCCGTATCGTCTGAGGCTGTACGGAGTAGAGGTGACTGCCGTTAACGTTACCGGTCTCGTTGTCTCATCCCAGTGGAGTGGTAGCGAGAAATGACCCTTTCGGGTTCGGGGGCCATCCTTCGGTCCCTTTCTTCGATCAGTCCATTACCTAATACATCTTGTACCGGTAATGATACACAAGGCCAGTATCTGATTCACCGAACGATTCGCTGATGGACGTGTTTGTGGCACAGTGGGGTGGATTACCATGACAACTCGACTTCTCCTTGCCAGTGCTCCACTTAGTCTCCAAGTCTCTTCCGGGCAAGAGTAGGTAGTTTTGGATAATTAGCGGTATTATGATTGAATGACAAGGCACCACCGAGCATCACCCCTAGCGCACGGACCCGGAAAGCCAGAAGGTGAAACTCCTCCGTACTTCTTCTCCCAGATACCGAATGATACCATCAATGCTCAGTACCTAGTCGAAGTGATCTGGCTCGTGATAGACGCAGGGCAGAATGGAGAGCTGCGGATGCAGGTGCGTTTCTAGCGCAGTGACTACAGCATGATCCACAGCCGGTAATGGAGTGACTCCCCTGATAAAACATAGTACATGGGCGCACAAAAGTGTACTTCTACACCTAAGAAGCCGAAATCCTGCAACAATTTCGCCTGCGCACTGTCGGGTACGGGTCAAAGAATGGCAGCCGATCCGCGTCCGGATACTACGGTGGCATGACGGTCATATGCTAATCTATGTGGTAGAGTTCGAATACCTATATGGAACCCAACCTGGGCGCCCAGAGGACGACGATTATGTGGTACATCTATGATCATCATAGATCTACAAAGGATGAATTGATCTTCTTCTGTGTTGGCAGGGAGCTCGGTGATGAGGTGGTAGTAGATCTATCGAGGATCTCCCGGCTTGTCAGCTACTGAGCTACGGAAGCAGTGAGCACGGCAATGTGGAGGCTAGCTCCTCTGCAACACTTGACCCACCGCAAGCTGGGAGGACCCGCAGTTTTTAAGTGGTTTTGGTGTTCTTTTGCAACCTGACTCAATGCAGCACAGGATAGGAGGTACTCTCGAAATTCTACGTGCAAATAGCTCGAGCCTCTATCATGGTAATAGGTACTATTAACAACCTGATTGTCCTGAAGTCAAGAGGCAAAGATGCTCTATGTGCTGTGTTTTGTGGAGAGAAATTGACAAGAGAAACGAAGAGGGCGAGTGCGACGACAGTTGGGGAAGCTCCGCTATTTGCTTACCATAAAGATCGGATGGGTTAGCAATTGTTGGATTGCCATAGCACATTGCGATGTATGTTGCGGAGCCAATGACCGCTCATATACTGGATGCTTGCTACCTGCGCTTTGATGATGCTGCACGCGAGGGCTATTTGTACTTACTACTACCATTTGGCCATGGCTTAACAGTGACTGGCGGTGGTTCGGCATGACGCTTGTTCGCTGAACGGTGGAGTAGAACATCGATAAATAGGTTCTAGATTATTCCTGCACAATGAAGTGATGATCCAAGTGTTCATGTTGGTGTTGGTGTTGGGGGTTGGTTGTCTACACTGCCAAACGGCCGAGCAATCACTAAGCAGGCGTACGGTGGGCAGATTTACTATGTTGAAACTTGAAACTTGATACCGCGGTAGAATTGCGGAAACAATGGCCTGGATGCTGACACTGGGGCAAACTCTTGGAGATCACAAGCTGAACGGTGCAACGAAGTCAAAGTGTAGTACGAAGGCAAGGTATATTGAAGGCAAAGCACGACAATGGGCCGTGAGTACGGTATACTGTAGGATATCTAGTGGGCAACCTAATTGCCATACTTGCATAGTTTGTAAAGATGAACCAAATGCAAATGCGTAGGAGAGCAGACGACAGCAAACTGGAGAATGATGCGTGTTGGAAGCATACAGGAACAAGCTCGCTTTCAAGGTTGTGGGGATGCTTAGCTTCGGATGCTTGCTTTGAGGGCGGATCACGTTGATTGTTTGGTGGATATCAAGTTTGTGTATGTGCGAATGTGTGTATGTATGTATGTATGTATGTATGTATGTATGTATGTATGTGTGTGTGTGTGTGCGAGTATGAGTGTGACTATGTGCTCTCTGTGTGCAAAGCCTAGGTAGTCTACCTAGGTACCATTCATCTTCTCCGTACATGATTAGGTCAGAAGAGGTGAAGTCGCTAGAGACGCCGGTCCACGTGGCATGAAAGGTTTCCAAGGATCCATTTGCCAAAGTTGCGAGAGAGGATCGCTGCAATGTCAAATCAAGACCATTGCCATCACCATTGTGACTGTTTTTATGATTGATCCAGCCAACACCCCTATGGCCAATGAAGTCGCGATGCCATGCCTTGTCTTCCCGTTTGGCGATGATGCTCAGACGTTATCTCAAAATCCAACGCTCCGCTTAGCTTCGCACTAAAGGCTAGCGTCAAACCAAGAACTCCTAAGCCAATAAGATCCTGCTTATATAATTATGTGTGAAGCGTTAGTAGAGCGTCTAAGGAAAAATAGGACACGTTTTAGTAGTACTCTAATTTTATAAACCTTACTCTTTATATATTTTTATTAATATTATTAACTATAGTACTACTATTATTACTAAAAGTTTTTATTTTAAAGTAGGTAAGATTCTAAATCTAATAGTATAAATTTTATCTAACACACGTAAAGTAGGTGTAGTAAACTATAGCACCTATATATATAATTTAAAGTCCTAAGTCTAAAAGTTTTATAGCTATTAATAACCTACCTACTACGCTACTACCACGTCCTCTACAAGCCTAGCAACTTTTAAACCGCTAGGGAGAGTAACCTATTTAAACGAGGAGAAGTGGGAGGGGCAAGGTTCAATAGTATTAATCCTATAGCAGAGGATATAGGTTTAATATAGAAATATAAGTAAAAAGATAATATTATAGAGTTAAAGTAAAGTCTATAGGAGTTATACTTCTCCTATCCTCGTAATCCTTTATACCTTTATACTATTTAATTTACCTAACTTTTTAGGCTAAGCCTTGTTTCTCTCCTATATTTCCTATACTATAGCACAAACCTCCCCCTTCTTTAAGCTTAGCCCTATTAAGCTTAGCCCTTACTCTCCTTCTCTAGGTTAGCAACCCTAGTTCCTAGCTTATTAAGCTTTAGGTAAGGGGGTAGGAGTATCTAGGGTCTCTAATCTTGAACCTAAACTTAATAAGATAGTTCTCCTCTACGCTCTTACTAGGCTTCCTAGATAGCCTAGCCCTAGGCGCCTAGATCCCTCTACCTTTTATTCCTCTTTAATAGCTCCTAGATACTTTTTAACTATATCTAGAGTCTCTAATTACTTAATCTATCTATTATACCTCTACTACTCTCCTACTTTAGTAGGCTATACCCCCTTTATACTAAAATAGGATTAGTCTAGTACCCTAGCCTCCTTATCCTTACTAAATACAAGCTTCTTATTCTTAATATAGATAGCCTAATTCTTCTTTAACTCCTTTACTATCTTAACCTAACTCTTCCTAATCTATACTCTTATCCTTTCTCTATTTAAATCTCCTATTAGGTACTTCTAGATCTCTACCTTTACTAATAGGTTATCCTATTAAACCTAATATATAATTGCCTTTAAGACCTAAGTAGGATAGGTAGCCTAGATATCTCTAAGAAATTGCTATTAGACTCTACTATATTTAACTAGGTGCCCTAATAGAGTCTTTAGGGCTATACTTATCTATAGGTAGGCTAGTGTAATCTCTATATATATCCCTATCTCTAGTACCTCTATTATTATTATATTATCCTATACTTTTATATACTATAGTAGAACTATACACTACGTTTAAGTAGTAGGTCTAGTAGATTTATATAGTATTACTAGGCTTATAATCCTTACCTATCCTTTTTAATAGATTTCCTTCTCTTATTTTACTATAGGGCACTTCTCCCTTAGCTCTTTAGGCTAGTGTACCCTATCTTCCTATACCTAGATATAGGCCCTCTTATTCCTCCTTAACCCCCTATCTATTTAATTTACCTAATTCTTCTATACTTCTTTAAATCTAATTAGGAGCTTAGTATAGTTATCTTAGTCCTTATTATTAAAAGAAACTAAGCCTTAGATTATCTTAAGCCCTTATCCTAACTATGCTACCTTAGAAAGGTTTATATCCACGTAATAAAAGAATATCTAGTCTCCTGCCTAGGCGTACTTAGTATAGTATAGGTATAAAATTAGGTTTATAGTTTCCTAGATTATAGTATATTAGAGCTAGTATCCTATATCCCCTTATACTAGCTATTAAATAATAGAGTAGTATATAGTCCTATACTACCCTAAATTAGCTACCTACTTTATCTCCCTTAAGTACTATTTATATATCTTAAAGCACTTATCTACTATTCTTACTAGTTCTAGGTCTTTATAAATCTAGGTAAAGGTGTCTAGGGTTATACTTCCTTTCTATAAGAAGCCTTAGTAACTCTGCTTAAATCTTATTACCTGTTATAGTTAGGCCTAGTTAATTATTAGCGCTATCTTCTTTAGCTAGTAGTAATAAGCTTATAAATCCTTAGAGGTGTAATCTTAGTTAAATAGCTTAGTAAAAGCTACTATAGTAACTAGGTTAGCTTATAAATTTCCCTATTCTCTAGGCTTATAGTATAGCACGTTTAGCTATCTATTACTTGCCTCTATATTTAGAGTCTAAGTGTAGAGCCCTATCTTGCTAGTAATAAACTTTAAGTAGCTAAAGCATACCTAATTTAAATCCTACACTATCCTCCCCTTAGTATCCTAGATAGTGCTATAATTAGTAACTTTATAGTACTATACTTTAACTAGCTTCCTTTGCTTAGTATTATTAAGTGCACTACTCCTAATCCTAGTAGTAATTAATTGTAGTATAGAGCGTTAGTTTTTGCACTAATAGGGCGCTTTATTCTTAACTATAGTATACTTATCTTTAGTAATACCCTCTTCTTCTAGTATTATTATCTTAGTGTCTAGAGTCTTATTAAGTTCTTTAAGTAGTCTAGGTAAAGAGTTATATAATTTATTTATTACCTCTATATTAGTATCCTATAGTAATAGGCCTACTACTATATATTAGCTAATAATTCTAAACTCCTAGTAAATATTCTCTCCTATCCTTTTTAAGAGCTAGGCAGCGTATCTTCCTTAAGCTCTTATTATCCTTTATATAGGTAATTCTGCTAGAGATTCTTCCTCTAAGATATAGGTAGCTAATTTAATTTCTTCTAGGGTAGTATCTAGTATATCCTCTATCCTCTTCTTATAACTCTATAACTCCCTTACTATACTTCCTAACCTTAATAGTCCCCTATTCTAGACCACACTCCTATCTAGTAGTATAGTCTAGGCGCGTCTAGCGTAGGATATAGTCCTAGGTAGCTAGTTATAACCTAGATTCTTAATCTCTTGTATTACCCTCTCCTCCTCTACTTTCTTTTTAGCTACTTCTCTGCTTCCTTATAGAGAGCTAGCTAGAATATCTTTAATTTCTTTTAGCACTAGTATCCTATAGTTTATTAATAACCTTATACCCTCTTTCTATATCTATTCGCTTAGGGGGATTATACTAAGTAGTACCCCTACCTAGTTCTCTAACTTCCTATACTATTATAGCACTAGGTGCTAAATCTTAGTATAAGCACTATCCTCTTCCCTATAGCGTATATTAAAGTTGTAAGGGTTACTTATACCTTTAAGCGTTAGTCTAGGTAGGGTATATAGGCCTATTATATAGTAATAAATAATTGCCCTAATATATTATAAGAAATAGTCCTCTAGTTCCTCCTTAGCCTTTAAGATAGTATCTACCTTTCCTATTAGCTTAGCAATTATAACCTAGACCCTATACTAGTTAGTAATATTAATAAAATTATCTTTTAACTAGTTTTGCCCCTATATTCTATAGTATACCTCTAAGTTTAGGAAGCTAGCAAGCTAGTCTAGACCTACGTAATATAGGAGGTACCTTACGTCTATATATCCTTAGTATATTTATCTAACTTATATAGTAAATTAGCTTAGGTATTTCTAACTAAATTTAGTATAATTAGTATAGATATACTATATTACTAAGTGTATTTTATTAAGTTACTTCTTATATATATTACGCGCTTCCTTTATAAATAGGTACTATAACCTAAAATTAGCTATACTACTATATAACTATATAAGTGCTAGGCTAGACTCTATAAAGCTTCTTACTACTAGTATTAATCCTAAAGTTTTATTAAAGTGCTCCCCTAGTACTCCTATAAAGTTATCTATAATATTCCTCTATTATATAATAGTGCTTATACGCATCTTATTAATCTAGCTACCTATAGTTACACCTCCTTTCTATAGAAGAGGGATACCTTTATAAAGTGCCTAGGTCTACGTGTTAAACTCTTTAGGCTAAACTAAGTCTAACTTTTTAATAGCTAAAAGACTCCTCTATTATAATATATACTAATAGTCTAGTACAAAACTTCTAGATATTATAGGCTATAGCTATAACCCTCTAGGTTATAGGCTTAACCTTAGGGACTATAGGGAACCTGTTAATATTAGGGATCCTAGTAAGCCTAGCTTAACTACTAGTTACTTTCCTTTCTAGACTTCTAATAACTATTTAGGGCTTATTATTTTATTTAGGATCTTCTAGTAGTAGCTTTATTAGATACTTATAGTTTTATTAGATATCTAAAGTTTTTAGTATAGTTTATTATAGTAGTAGCAGCGTAGGCAGAATATATATAGGAACACGCGTGCCTTTCTATTATACTTACGCCTTCCTATTATTCTCCTACCTTTACTTTATTCTACCTTTACTTATTTATTATTCTTCTACCTTTACTTATTTATTACCCTTCTACCTTTACTTTCTTATTATCCTTATTATAATTACTTATCTACGCGTAGGTAGGCAGTTAGTGTAGCTAATTAGAGCGTTATATATCCAAAGGGTTAAATTAGCGCA